GAGGGAGGCAATTTTTAGTGTTGTTTAGGTTTGAGTGGTCTCAAAGGAGGGTCTAAGTACCTCAAATTACTTAGGGATTATTGTAGTTCTTTTATCTTTTTATCTTTCAATATATCTCAGCTTCAATTAGGTTCCTATGAAATTCTGAACATATATTAGGAGTGCATTGCAGGGTGCGGCTGTTACCTTAGCTGAATTAGGTGAATATGCTCGAGCAGCCTCTTTACTTGAAGACTTTGGGAAGGTTCCTTCTATTTTGGATTTGGAATATGTGAATTTTTTAATTGATGCTACTTTTGGGTGATAGGATTGGTCTTCAGCTTGTGCTTTTATTAGAAGCTTGAAATGATCGTTTATTATTATTATTTTTTTTTTTTGTAGGAGTTGGGTGATTCTGACATTTTCCACTTGCTTGGAGAAGTAAAATATAAACTTAAAGATTATGATGGGAGTATTGCGGCATACAAGAGCGCCACAATGGTCAGTCTTCTCTCACAAACAGGAACAGGATTTAGCAATACTACCTCTCAAGCTAACTTCCTTCAGTAAATAAATTTCTATATTTTCTTTATCCTTATGCGCACCATTAAATAATATTTCTAAAATATGTCAAAATTCCATTTGTATGTCTGTTGTTGTCGTACCTCACCTTTAATATCAGATAACAACTAGCTTTGAAACTAAGTAAATCTGTTTCCTCCAATTGTTTTTGTCCTGCATGTCAGGCATGCTTTCTAAAAGATACTACAGGATACTTGTCTTCTACGTTTCCTGAAATCCATGATCCCTTTTCCTTTGCTCTCTAATGAAGTAATAGAATAGTATGGAAGTTTGACCGTGGAAAAATGACTGTGGGCATGACCAGAGGCAGCAGTAATTTGTCTATGGCCACTTAAACTTTCTAATCTATGTTCTATGTAGAATGTAGTAAACATCTACCACTTTTTTTTTACTTGCATTCTTTTTCTGCCTAAGGCATAAGTATTAATCTAACTAGTATATCTTTGAGAACAATAATGGGGAATAGCAATATTCATGGAGATTATTGGTTAAGAAATTTTAGAGAAATGTTTATAAAACTAAAAGAAATTTTTTAATATTTTTAAATAATAATATCATAATAGTCTTCTTAAATTTGTGCCCCCAAGAGGCAGCCCAATTTGCAAAGGTTTGGGGTCTCTTAATCATATCGGTTTAGATGTCTCAAGCTCGAACCTTCTAGTGAACTTAATACCAAAATAATTTACATTTATAGGGGGGAGCAAAGCTCCGACTCCTGGTTCTCAGAAAAAAAAAATATTCTTAAATTTATTAACATACTCTTTTCTATATTCAAAGAAATAGTTAAAATGAAAATTATGTAAAGTTTGATCCTTAATAGAATATAAAAAAGAAATATCTTTCCTACTAATATATTTATGATCCTCTCAAATTTATTAACTTATTCTCTGATATATTCCAAAAGAATAGTTCAAATGAAAATTATGTAAAGTTTAATCTTTTATATGGTATAAAAAAGAGATTTCTCCTACTTATATATATATTAGATATTCAATAAATGATTTAAATCTACTCTAACCTATCAGCTTAAGTGTTTGGATTCATTGGTGGTTTGATCATGTTTAACAATATATATCTCGATAAGCAACTGATAATTACATTAAGATTGTGACTTAATGAAAAGTACATGATATACAAGAGCCCATAAAATACGTTTGATGCGCTCCAAACATGTTATTCTGCAGGTGGCTCTTACCTTAAGGAACCACAATATTACTATCTTGAATGAAAAAAATAATAACCTTTCAAAGATTAATATAGGAATAATATCTAAATTTTTATATTTATTTAATTAATTAGAAACCTTTACAAGGTAACTTAAGCATAACTGAATGGTTAAGGCATCTCTAACTCCTTTAAAAGGTCGTATAGGTTTGAATCTCCATCCCATATTCGTTCAAAAAAAAAAAATTTAAATAAAAATCTGATTTTTGATTTGTGATTGCTTAAAAATGTTGTTCATTTGTGAGGTGGACTGATAAAGCAAACATGTTAACTTGGAAAATGCAGACAATTTGTAATGAATTGTTAAAGAATCCAAGGTGTTGATAACGAAATTGTTTTATCACACCTGGTAATACCCATGCCATTATTGTTAATTCTTTCCTTGAATGTGCTTTGATTTTGGAACAGGTATCCAAAGATGTCAATTTTGAGGTTCTGCGTGGTCTTACCAATGCATATCTTGCTGCTAAGAAACCAGATGAGGTTAGTTAAGGTATTAGAAATTACAGGTTTGCAATATGAAAAACTAAAACATTACAAGAACGCCAAAAAAGAAAAGAATAAAGAATTTAAATCTAGAAGAAGTTACATTATAAGATTAATTAGAAAAAGAACTTGATAGACCGCAAAGAAGCTTGACTTTTGGCTATATCCACCCTTTCACCTCAATCTAATGATTTGCCTCCACAGGTAATTTGATTCCTTTTATTCCAAGTTACTTAAATAACAGCTTTTATAGCATTTATTCACAAAAGCTTGGCTTAAGTTTTAAGCTTCATTCCACAAAATAGCCTAAGGATGTTATCATCCGACCCATTACCAAATACCCAAGAAACATTAAATATTCTGAAAATTTGTGACTGATTGAAGGATTAAACATCTATATGGACACTTCTTTTGTAACCTATCCACTGTATTTAAGACACCCAGCTGTCTCAGCCATAATAAAATGTTAACTTTTTCTTGATCTTTATGATTCCCAAACAGCCATTTGCCACAAATAAAAGAACTACCACAAGGATCTTGGTTGAGATATCCATATATGGATTTGTTAAGTTTTTGGGTTGAGTGGTGGTTTATTCATCCTTAATATGGTATCAGAGTGGGGGTTTTCTTCTAACCCCTACGTTGTTGATTCCTTCCCATTTATAATGATTTCCACTTGTTGGGCCCACAAGTGAAAAGGGGAATGTTGAGATATCCATATATGAATTAAATTTCAGAGCGGGAGGTTCTTCTAACCCCTACATTGTTGTTTCCTTCCCATTTATAATGATTTCCACTTGTTGGGCCCACAAGTGAAAAGGGGAATGTTGAGATATCCATATATGAATTAAATTTACCCAACCTATCAGCTTAATCTTTTGGGTTTGGTTTATTCATCCAAAACAATCTTCCTTCTAAACCTTTTAGTGAATTGTCGAGGTAAGAAATATAGCTTTCCATAGTCCCAAAAACTTCTAAGCTCATCGAGTTTTATCTTCCTTCAGATTTCTTGCCATTATTCTCTAAGATCGAGTATCTAAGCCTCAAGTCTCAAAACAAATAATTTTTTTCAAACTGCCGCAAACAATTCTGGAAATTGGAATTCAAGAGGCTGATTTCCTAACCAAGATTCTTCCCAGAAATGGCTCTTCCTTCTATCCCCAATTTTAGTCACTGAAAACTTATCTAGAAGGCCCACAACTTCGAGATGCACCACCAAGAAGTCCTACAATTTTCCCTTTGTTTCTTTTTTGTTAAGTATTAAAATTACCCACCCATAAATACTAGACACCACCTTATGAGATGGTTCATTTGATTACTTCGGATATCTCCAACACCACTTTGCTAAAAGGGCTTCAATTTTTCCTCTCAAATACCAACGCACAATTCTCCACACTTTGGAAACTTGGATATTGTTTTCCAGCCTACTAAGTTTCTTAACCTTTCTTCCCCATTTCCTAAAATTAAATAAATAAGTTGTTTTCCAGCCTACTAAGACTTTTTTTTTTTTGAAGGAATGATGACGTGATATAAAGGAAGGCTAGAAACAACTGAATTACATAGAGTTTGTCTTTCTCATCTTTATAAATTCAAATTCTTCCATTTGTCCAGTTTCTTACCCACCTTTTCTTTATAAGTTCCCGAAAAACTGTCTTTTTAGGACTCCTCCTGTTACGAACATCCCAATGCAAAGCCATACTATCCAAATCTTCATTGATAATATTGACACCACTAGCTGCTGATCATCACTCACCCTCAATCCTGAAATAATTTCAAAAGTTCTAATTGCATTGAACAAGTTTTCATCAAATAGATTGTCCTCCTTGCAAAAGAAACAAGATGTCATCTACGAATTTCAAGTGGAAAACATGGACCTTGTTGTTCCCAACTAAAGAGCCTTCTATTACTCCTCCTGACATTATTTTTTCAGTTATACTACTCAAAACACCTCCAATTAGAAGGAATAAGAAATGTGAAAGAGACCTTGCCTTAAACCTCTTAAAGTGATCCATAAACTTGGTTGCCTCCTTCTAGTTTTAACCTTTTTTCTGTATAGGAAGTTTGTTGCGTGGTTGTTGTAAACTTTTGTTTCATCACTAGCATGTGTGGAAGTGCTCTAGTTCTGATTATTTTGGCTTTTGTTGTTTCAGTTATTCATAAAACAGATTTATTCCCCCACATGATGCAACTTGACATAAATGAAAGAATATCACCCCTTCTCAGCATGCATTTTGCTTGATCTACTTGTCTTAGTAGTACTCTCTCATCTGTTTACTTTGTGGAATTATTATTGCACTCCTTTGGGTGCTCTTTTTCATAATTTCTTTATAATGAGTAACCAAAATTAGACTGATCTAATTGATGCTAGTATAGTTCTTTTTCAAATCAATTGCTGGGTGGTTGTAATAGTTTGATTGTGTTGGCTCTTGGCGGTCATTGACATATTGAGCCTTCTACATCTTAAGGATATAAAGATGTTTGCATTCATGCTTGTGTTTAATTCCGTTGATGGTTTAGTGGTTACACATGCTTCCTCTCACTGCAGGCTGTTCAATTCCTTTTGGACTCCCGTGAACGTCTTAAAAGCATAAAATCAGGAAGTATGGACGAAGGCAACATGATGGAAACAAAATTATTGATAGATCCTATTCAAGTGAGTTGCTATTTAGTCTCGGTCACACCATTCTAATCCCACGCACACACAGAGGAAAAAACAAAAGGAACGTAATCTGATGTAGGAGGGAAAGGGAAGAGAGAGCAGTAGTATAGAGACAGAAAAAACAAAGTTTCCAACCTGACTAAACTGCTCAATACTCCAAAACTAAATTAACCTTACAAGTCCATGCACATTAATAAGCATTTATAAAGGTCAATCAAGAACAAGATAAGACAGCCCAAAAATTACTTCATGTTAGAAAGAAGTCAAAAGCTAAGTGTCGTACTAATTTAGGAAGATGTTTGAAAATTAATTGTACTTAGGTTTAAATCCTATTCTAGTCCCTAAGGCCTAAACTCTCACCCATTTATTTGATTTGGTTCTTATACATTCAAATATTTTACTTTGGTGCCTGAACTTTCCATAAAAACTAATTATATTTGGCAAAAATGTGGAATTTAGCAACAAAGGAGAATGTGAGACAATTATTATGTGGTACTTTTCCCAAAGGAAAGTGATGTACACAAGAAGGAAGGTTTCTTGAAGGAATGATAATGATCCCTTTATTAATGAAACCAGCAGCTATTTATAGGAGATGCTGGGCTTTTAACTACACAGTAAACTAAGTTACCTTGTGGTAACTATAAAACAAAGTAAAGAAGATTCTAAACTAAACTAATGGGCCGAAAACTAACAACTTAACTACATCAGAAAGACAAGAAAGTTGTGGATCAATGATGTTAAAGCCTTAATGTGAAATATTTTGTTGGAAAAAAATTATAGGTTGTTTAGTGAGGTTTCTAGGGATACGGTGGAGGTGGTAGAATGTTGTAAAGCTAATTGTTACTTCGTAACTTTTCACAATATCAATGAAATGAAAAATTATTGAGAAGTCCTCTTCAGAGAGAGAGAAAAATAAAATAAAAAATAAAAAATAATAATAACATTTTAATTTATCAACATTCCTTTTCTTATGGCTCTTCTCTGATTACATGTTCTTTTCATTTGTGTTCTCATTTGAAGATCTACATTCATATATTTTCATCTTGATCCTAAAAGCCCCTGCCTCCACCTGCCATCTTTTTCTATATAGAATTATGTCTTTCATTTGGCATAAAATCTTTTGCAGGTTGAGTTACTACTTGGAAAATCATACTCAGACTGGGGACATCTTGGTGATGCTATATCTGTTTATGATAAACTTATCACCAACCACCCTGATGACTTCCGTGGTTACTTAGCTAAGGTCTTCTCATCCACGTCTCTTGGTTTTACAATTTCATGGGAAGGGGGGATATGTTTATTTTTGTGACTACCGGGCACCATATGAACAAATAAATGGAGAAGAAACAATGTTGCGATGTTACTGCTTTGTTGCTTGTTAAAATCATTATCTGTTTCATTTACATTACATGAGAAATTTTAAGGGTGGAGAAGGGTGGTGGGAAACAGGTCATGTTTGCATGTAGCAAATGGGAAGTTGAATCAATTTTTGCTTTAGAGAGACATTGATGCAGTATGGCAATGAAGTATCATTGATTGCATGCAAGGAGAATTCGAATACTTGTTTTTAGAGAGTGTTGTGGGATGAATAATGTATTGGGCTATGTTAGTTTAGTTAATATTAGTTAAGTTGTTAATTTTGCGTCAATTAGTTTTATTAATTTGTTAATTAGTGATTTTAGAGGTATAATGTGTTTTCTTTGATGAATTGGTGTCAACAAAAATGTTGAGGTATATGAAGGGGTAGGAATGGAAGAAAGGTAAGTATGCTTTCTTTGAAGCTTGGTATTTGATTGCTCTCTCGCTCCTTTGGGATTTTGTATCTTTGAACAATTTTTTGTTTTTTTTCATATATCAATTAAAAGTTCATATCTTGTTAAAAAAAATTAGCTTTCTTTGATAATGATTCAACAGGGAATTATTAACAAATTAATATAACTTCCACATCAAAATCTCTTGTATCCCCTTGTAATTTTGTTGGTAGGTGTTGTATATTTCCCAACATTTAATCTTGATGGTGCACCCACCATATGGTTTGTATTTTAACCCGCTCTCCTTTAAATACACATCAGGTGGCATATCTTGTATTATGAATTTACAACAAAGAGGTATAATGAGCTTTCTTTGATGATGCTTCAACAGGGAATTATTCTGAAGGAAAATGGTAGAGCTGGAGATGCTGAGAGGATGTTCATCCAAGTGAGTATAAAGAGTGATTATGCCCACACATAATTAGGCACATTTATGTGTCGTGCTTTTTTTAACCAGACATCATAATATTCATCAGATACCAAATTCTTGCATAGTGTAAAGACTAAAGGTTCGGGAGAATCTCATTCACTCAATTCCATTCACTAAATGATATATATTGACAAGTGAACAAAGTTCATAAAGTAAGAATATAAAAGGATGATAAGAAACACATAACTAAGATGATTACAATAATACGAAATATAATGATATAAGCTCTATAATACTCCTCCTCAAGTTGGAGTATGCATGTTAATTTTGCCCAGCTAGTTTGCTCCATTTTATATTGACTCACAATACTCACTAGATAAGCTATGTTTATTCCAGTCACTATAAGGTAGTTTAGCTTTCCTAACCTCCTATGCCTTATAGGATCTTCCAACAATTTTCCTTCTTTTGTAAGCTGTAAATTAGGCTTGTCTATTATGTGGTTTTTACCTAACTTTCATGTCTCAATTAACAGTCACATACATATTTTCTCCGTGATAAAAGATTTCTTTTCTTGCTTCTTATTACCTCAATTTTCAAGAAGTATTTCAACATTCCCAAATCTTTTGTATGGAATTGACTATGAAGAAAAGTCTAGAGAGATAAGATGTTTGATATATCATTACCAGTAATAATTTTATCATCAACTTACAGAGCTAGTAAGATGACACCAGTCTTAATAAAATATGGAATGAATTCTAAAGTTTTCAATTACTTGACTGAATTTTCCAAACCACACGCATGGACTTTCCTTGAATCCATACAAAGATTTACTAAGGCAACATAATTTTTCATTTGAGGCAGTCCGGTTGGCAGAGGATTTAGGATCTCTTGGTTATACTATCTTATAGGTCTCAAGTTTGAACCTTCTGGTGAGCTTAATACCAAGAACTAGGGGTGTTCACGGGTTGGGTTGGGTCGGGTGGGGGCTGTTTTTGGGACCAACCCGAATTTTCGGGTTGGGAATTTGTGGGAACCGACGGGTTGAAAACGATGGCCAACCCAACCCAACCCAATAAATTCGGGTTGGGTTGTCGGGTTCTTCTTCTTTTTTTTAATTGATTAATTAATTTACTTTTGTTTTGTTAATAACATGGACTGAAAACAGAGAACTTTGCTAATAGTGTAGAAATTATCAATGGCTTATGTTGTCCCTTTTATTTAGGAGGCCTTGGGTGATTATTGAAGTTTTTTTGGACCAAAAACCGAGATGAGATTTTAATAGTTCAAGAGGTTTTGTTGTTAGTTGAATAAGGCGTTGAGAGAGAGAGTATACCAAAGCGGCAGCGGCGACGGCAAGAGGTGGAGATTGGAGCGGCGGCGGTGACGGCAACGGCGAGAGGTCAAGACGGGAGCAAGGCGGCGGCGGTGGCGGCAAGATTGAATCTAGAAAAGTGAAAAAATGGGAACCAAGCTTGTTGAGAGAGATGGAGGAGAGGAAGATGAAATTGAAAATGTTAAAGAAGAGAGAATCAAAGATTCAAAATGGAGAGGAAGGAATTGAAACCCTAAAATCAATGGTTGAGATTTAATGAAATGGATGGATGAGATTGAATCTAAAAAAATAAGTTTTTAATTAATAATTATTAATTTATTATATACATGTAATATTAGATTATTAGTAATACATATATATTAAAAATATATATATATAATCTCGGGCCGGGTCGGGGTTGACCCGGGATTTTCAAGGGTCAACCAGAGACCCGACCCAACCCGGTCGGGTTGGGATTTTTCCAACCCAACCCAACCCAATGTTAGATTCAACCCAACCCAACCCGGGTTGGGTTGGGTTCGTCGGGTTGTCGGGTTCCTTGAACACCCCTACTAAGAACTCTTCATATCTCCTCGGTCTGAGCCTTGGGGTGAGCGCAGGTGCCCCTGGGTATAGGAGAGCAATGCCCCGACTCTCAGTTATTCAAAAAATGTTTCCATTCTCCCTTTGAGCAACAAAATCTGGTGGTTGCTTTGTATACACTTCTTAAAGATCATCGTGTAGAAAGGCTTTTTTTTTTTATGAGAAACCAAACTTTTCATTTCAGTGGGATCGATTTATCATTACCCGTGCATCAGAAAGACATTTTTATTATCAAGCTGATGCTAGGACAATGATAGATGGATGCCAACAAGATGAATAACTTGACAGAAGCCAATTTAGCAACTGGAAAAAAAAAAGTATCAGAAGAGTCAACTCCATAAGTCTACACATAGCTTTTAGCAATAAGACGAGCTTTCAATTGGGCAACTGATCCATGAGGATTAACTTTAACGAGAAACACCCATATACAATCGATATGCTTTTTTCATGCAGGAAGCGAAACTAATTCCCAAGTACCATTGTCATCTAAGGCAATCATCTTCTCTATCATTGCAGCACGCCAACCAGAGTGTGACAAAGCTTCACAACTAGATAAAGACTCAAGGGATGCAATGAACGAAGAAGTAAGAGAGGACAAATGTTTATATGGAACAAAAGAGGAAACATGATAAGTGCAATGGCGTTTACCTTTGTAAAGAGCAATAGGAATCATTGCTCATTACTGGATCCAATGACGAAGAAGTTATTGGTATAGGGCATGTGACCGAAGGAGGTCGCTGTCAAGAATAAATTTGAGTAATAGGTGGGTGAGGAGGATTAGGCATAGGTGGAGATATATCACTAGAGGGCACTTCCTTACAAGAAGATACAATTAAATAGACAAGAAAATCATCATTGGACGCTTCCTCTCATTATTCTAAAAAATGATGAAAAGAAAGAAGTATCCTCAAAGAACATAACGTCAGGTGATACGAGATATCTATTGAGATTAGGACAATAACACCAGTACCTCTTTTGAACTCGAGAATAACCAAGAAAAATACATTTCAATAACTTAGGGGTCCAATTTTGTGAGTTGGGGGCGAACATCTTAAATGAAACAAGTACAACCAAAAGATTTAGGTTTAATAGAAAACAGATGTTGTGTTGGACATAAAGTATGATAAGATATCTCACCCTTAAGAACCAATGAAGACGTGCAATTAATTAAGAAACAAGCTGTCACAACAGCACCGGCCCAAAAATATTTTGTAAGCATGCATTTGAAACATTAAGGTCCTTCATTTTTCAAGGAGATGTCTATTTCTTTTCATTCTACTACTCATTTTCGAGATGGAGTATCAACACAAGAGAATCTTAAAGACTATCATGTTCACCTAAACTAGAACGAAGAACATTAGAGAAATATTCTTTAGCATTAGACCTTCAAGAGAAACACCAAATTGAGTTTCAATTTCAACATGAAAGTTACGAAAATGAGAAAGCAGCTCATAACGAGCTTTTATTAAATATAACCAAGTTATGCTAGAAAAATTATTGACAACAATAACAAAATACTAAAACTCACTTTTGGACTCAATAGGACAAGGACCCCAAACATCATGAACTAACTCAAATAGAGGACGAGTTGGTTTATTGACTCTAGGATACAAACTTAGATGATGAAAATTAGCAAATTGACATGACTCACAATCTAAATAGAAGACAGATTGTGAAATTGATGGGAAAACACTTCAACATTGAGATAGACTGAGGACAATCTAAGTACATATATGGTTGTAGGCATTTGTGAATCAAACGTGTAGAGACCTCTAGATTCTCGCCGTCTACCAATGGTCATCTCTGTCGTAAGATCCTGAAATAAGCAATAGAAGTGATCTCATTCACTATAGTAACATCAAGCAAAGTTGTAGATGGTGAAAGGGTATAAAATGAACTAGGATTAAGATATTGTTGTAGTCTCCATTAAATTAGGTACATTAATTTTACGATAAAGATATTGTTTGGAGTGTAAGGCGCATGCCCAGTCATGAATTTGAATTGTGAAGGGAATCTTAATAATGGCTATGTGCACTGTGCAGGCTCGATTCTTTGCTCCAGAGAATGCCAAGATGCTTGTAGACCGGTATGCTAGATGACATCGACATTCTATTTTCCATTTAGTTATATACACAACGCTCACCAGAAGTTTGGTTCAAATAAGATATATGTTGTGAAAAGCTGAATCCTAAATTGGAGCCTAGAGGAGACAAAGTATTTAATACACACAAGTATAACTTGTAATGAAACATGCAAGTTTGTAAGTATTCATATGTCTATCTGTATATTTAATACCAGTAGTTCAAATTTGAAAACGGTGAGCTCCTGAAGAAATATCACTACGGCCTATCTACCCAACTTCTGTCTAAATTTGACCCCTGCCTTTATGCATGATTAATGTAAACCCATCGTCATTGTTGAGAAAATTTATGAATTGAATTTCTACCCAGATCCAAACTTTAAAACTTATATTCAACAGCAAAAGATAATGAACATCCTCATTTGGATATACCTTTTGGATGATGCCACAATTTTAAATGAGACTAGATCAAGGACTAACACTGATCTCCTGTTTAAATTTTCAAATTCAATTTAAATAACATGTTCTAGCTCTTGAATTTTCAAATTTAATTCTGTATGATGCTATACAGAGAATTTTTCTCTATTCATTATCTTGTTTGATGTTGATTGTTTATGATTTCGTCTCGATTTATTTTTCTGTTTTTAAGTGGAAGAATTGTTTGATGAAGATGCTAAGTCTTAGTGAAGTAGGAAAAGAAAGATGCCTACACACACATTGAAGGCAAATTTGTGAAAACTCTTTCCCCAGACTTTGCAGGCTGTAAGGATACAATGGAGGTGAATGAGAAGTTTAAAGATTATCTTCGTATTTTAATAATAGTGTCAATTATTCAATATTTTTTTTTAATTGTTATTTGGTCTAGTGTTTAGAAAGTATCATCTTTTTTAATTATTCCAAAATAATCATCTATTCAACTTTTTCTAAAAGTGTCTCTATATTATTGTTGCAAACTCATTGCAAACTTTTCTGTTGATACGCACACTGTCAATCAAGTAATATGACAATGAGAAGTATCGTCCCCTCGAGGACTAATTTACACACAACAATTTTCATTAAGCAATGCAATTTAAAGAGAGAGAATGATAAGAAAAAGCTTTGATTTGAACCTAATTATAAGAGATACTAATAATAAGTAAATGCTAAGATTAAAATTGCACTATAGAGAGCTAATCCTAACAAGAATCAATGGAAACAAACGAGTCGGGATTTATGAACTCCTAATTTAATTTTTGATTTTGCCCAGTTGCTATAGCAATGTCGTAGCAAAATCAAGCAGTAAACAAAAATGACTATTTAGCATCGTAAAATTCTTCCAAATTCATGGGCTTTTGTTTATGAACTAAGCTGGACATATTCCTATGGTTTATAACCTATTAGAGCCTAAATACAACAATAAAAGATAACAAATAAAATTCAGCATTCCTCAAACTGGTGGATGAATGTTCTCCATTTCCAACTTATTAACCAAATGTATATTTGCTTTTTAAAAATTCATAGATCAAAAATAAACAATTTTTAAGTTCAAGAATCAAAGATAGTTTTAAAAGTTCAATGTCTAAAATGAAATTTAAACCCATACTATTTTATGATTTTTTCTTGGAACAATAAATAATGAAAGATTAAACATTATTCGACCTCTTAAGGAAGAAATAAGATGTCTTCACTGCTGAACTAGGCTCATATTAAAGAAGAAATAAGATGTCTTCACTGCTGAACTAGGCTCGTATTGATCCTTCCAAATTCATCTAAATAATCTAATAAAGATATACAACAAAATAAATAACATATAATAATGACTAGATAAAAAGTTATTTCACTAAAATATAAACACCAATAAAATTATAGTTTTAAAACCACATGCAGTGAATTTAGAAAATTCTCTTAATTTCTAGATTAATTTATAGTAGTATATTATTCAACTAGGAATAAGGGGTGAACAAGAAGAAGATCCAGTTTTACGTATTTGATCTGAAAGATTTGGACAAGAAAATAGGTTGGGTGGAGGAGAGAGATTTTAAGCACCAACTCCAAGATAATGGGAGGACAGAATCAAGTCCATCCACATACTGTTTAGCTGGGAACTGGTAATCAAGCCAGCCATTCATTCTGTTCTTACTCAACTTCACGGTTTATATACATTAATATACATACATACAATTTAACTTGTATACCATTAACTAAAAATCAAACACTTGAGTTTACAACAGCACTACTACTTTAACCAAAGAATGAAGCCCTTCATCATTCGTCCAAGCCAAATTTCTGGTACAATAGTAAGAAGTTCTGCATTTAAGCGTTCCCTGAAACACAATTCATTGAATTCAAGAGATGCGATTCTTCACAGATTTAGACAATTTGCATGTAGTTAGTGTGGTGATGATCTTCTAATCAGTTGTGATGCAAGCAGTTTGTTAGGCTAGGATTTTAACGCACCTTCACCCGACAGCTGTTCGAGTCGAGCAACTATGTGTTTTCCATAAGTATATTTCTTCAGAGCTTGAAGATGGCCTCTGATACGATTCAACAGCATCTCTCGTTGTTCATCGTTGCATATTTCAATTATCTTTTGAATAACATAATTCGCAAACTGGTCTTTCATCATTGTCTGAGACAGTAAACAAGCAAAAATCAGTAGCAGAAACCGTGTATGGACTCCGCATCATGAAGTTCAGAAAATTTGAAGTTATACAGATGAAATAGATGAACTACTTTGGGCTGGATAACTCGGTCTCGGCCTAACATTATATTCCTTAAATAATGCAAATAACAATATGCTTCTTGGCTATTTAACATATTATCATATGGAGAAGAAACACACTCAAAAATATAAAGAATACAGGTATTAAGTTCCCGCACCAACTCCTAATCTGATAGAACAATTTTCTGGCAAGATTATCACCAAAAGTATCAAGAAAATTAGTTGGACAATAATTTACTAGTGCACACAGTCACTTCAAGGCACAGTAACTTCATACTTGCAAATAGGCCCCAAATCACTAGAGTTATATGAACGTAAGCGTGTGAGGAAGAGGGAGTCTGTGTGAGGAGGTAGCATTACGCAGTAGTAGGTGGGGCCCATAGGGAATTGTTGTTAGTTATGTGTGGGCCATAGGGGTATTTTTTTGTATATTTCGCTGGCTGTACTTCTCTGTTGAGAATTGGGAGAGAGGGAGCTCTCTAATCCCCCTTGGCTTGTGTTGATAAATAAAATTGAGGCTTATGCCTATCACATTTGTATTCAGATCATAATTTTATGGCCGTACAAACCAGAATAATAAATGAACATCCCCCAATCTTCCAAAGAATTAAAACTATGGTTGTTACTTATAAGGCACCATTCAATGTGCAAGTAACAACATACAAGATGAAATGAGTACAGCAGACGAGATGAAACTGAGCTAGGGCACTGAAAATAATTGATGGTAATCAGCAGTAAAAGTTGAGATTTAATGGAAAACCTTTGGGACACTCACAGAAGTATTTGAGATTTTGAAATTAATTGGTAGAGACAAGTGTTAGCAGTATAAATGGATCAGGCATCTGAGCGTACAAATGCATGCTTTATTGAGTGTTTCATATTGCTGGTAGAGGAACCAACCAAATTACCATCATACTCTCCTTAATATCTAGAAGAAGCTAACATACCAACAAAGTATCATTTTCCTCAGATTGCCCCATAATTTCCTCAATCATCAGCTCTCTTTCAGTCATATCACCATGTTCCAAGCACTTTTCAACAACATTTGATGCATATTTATGCTGGCTCATCCTCACAAACTTTCCAGTCATCTTGCTGATTATTTGGCTTCTTTCATGGCGCATTCCCCTCTCAAGAACGTGCTGTAGCAATTAAAAAAAAAAAAATTCACACATTACTTATAAGGCTTGCTCCCATGAGACGTATGCAACAAAGTAGTGGTTCCAACTTTCACGTAAAAGCTATAGCTACTTAAGTGATATGGTTAATAATTGAAACCATTTTGGAAGCATACCATTAAGTGAGATTAGATTAGCTGGCTTTATAGAACTAACAGGTCATAAAGAAAATTAGCTAGCAGCATAAAGAAAAACTTCTATGAGTATGTTAAGTGCAAACACCAGTTCCCTGTCACCTGCATCTAGAGATAATCGTGGTATTGATTGCTACAATACATAAATTAGAGAATAATTTTATTTAAGAGAGTATCTACTTCGCCAACCAATGAAAGATAGAAAACCAAATAATAGAGCCTCTAGAAAATAAACAATTCATCATTTTATTCGTAGAACTAAATTCATTATTTATCACTGCCAACAAGGTAATTTACTTGAGCAGAAGAAGTGTGTGTTTGAGAGACGAAGAGAGAGAAATTGACAAGGAGGGCACATAGTGATATAATGGATATTTTAATCATATCCATTAAAATATCTTTTCATCTAAAAAAAGACATTTTATTCCTATAAAAAATATCATTAAATAGTTCTCTCGTAGTATACTTGATACTTAATTTATATAAACACTAGTATTTGAGAGAATCCAATGTAGTCTATTCTCATTATTAAAGTCCATATATATAGACAAATATACGACGTTCACCTAATCCTATAAGAAGAAGGTAAAGGATAAATTAATACATATTAATACAAGAGTATAAATATACTAATATATATACTCTAGCAATTTCAAATATTTCTTTATGAACATATGATGTATTCATTGATACTTTTACAATAATTAGTTTAGTTATCTTATTAAGAAGTTTGTTGCTAAGTGGTTAGTTAAGAAGTTAGTTGGTAAATTGGAATTGGTTAGTTAAGTTTGTTACCCTTTCCCTCCCAACAGAAGCCTATAAAAGGCATCTTTCCCTTTTGTTTCCTTCATTGAAAAAATCAATAAAGTTTTCATCCTTTGGTTATACACCAAATTGGTATCAGAGCCCTGAGCTAAGTTCCTCGGATCTGATGGCTGGAAAGACCGCAGCACCTTCTGGCAAGGGACCCACAGCGAATCAACCATTGTCGCCAAGATCGACTACTGAACGTTTATTGTTGGTAGAGGATTCTTTGGGCGAAGTTCGTGCCAGTGTGCAGACAATCCATGGGTTGATGGAAAACCTGTCGAAACACTTGGAGAACATTGCGAACGAACAAGAACGACTTCGGGATTGTAGAGACTAAGGTTGGAGAGAATCTAATGTTCTGTATTCTCATTATTAAAGTCTATATATATAAACAAATATACAAGGTTGACCTAATCCTATAAGGAGAAGGTAAAGGACAAATTAATATTAACACAAGAATATAAAATATACTAATATATACTCTAACAGGGATGATTTGGGCGGCCATGGCACAGCCGATCGTGGTGGCCAGCAACGGAATCATTCAAGAAACAGATCTAGAACACCCGACGTAGCTAGTCGTGAACAGGGCCTTGAGCGTCGATTCCAAGATTTGCAGTTACGCATTCAAGATTCCGATTCTTCGGATGCTGAAGACAATCTTTTTCGAGCCAATCCTAGGCGCGATCAGGAGGAGTACCACCATGGCGGGGGTGTTCGTCCTGATTTCCGTATGAAGATAGAACTTCCAACTTTTAATGGGAAGATGAATGTCGAAGGGTTCTTGAATTGGGTCAAGAACGTTGAGAATTTCTTCGATTATACCAACACGCCTGAACATAAGAAGGTCCATCTGGTGGCCTTCAAACTGCAATCCGGAGCTTCTGCCTGGTGGGATCAGCTTGAGATCAATCGCCGCCGTTTAGGAAAACAGCCCATTCGTAGCTGGCCACGGATGCTCCGTCTGATGCGTGTGAAAGGTTTCTGCCAGCTAATTTCGAGCAACTGTTGTATCAGCAGTATCAGAGATGCCGTCAAGGTTCGAAGACCATCGCCGATTATGCTGAAGAATTTCACTGGCTTGGTGCAAGGACTAACTTGGCCGAATCAAAGGACTACAAGATCGCGCGATTTGTAAATGGTCTTCGAGAGGACATTCAAGATCAATTGGATGTCCAATCCATCAATATGTTGATCGAACAATCACCATGGCTACCAAGATTGAAGAGAAACTTGAGCGGAAACGATTGAAGCCTTCTATACGTCGGACTACTTGGGACAGAGCATCTTCTTTTAAAACTGCTCTTCCTGAGTCAAGCAAACCAATGGACTCGGGGACTTCATCCACTCTTACTCTTGCCAACAATCTTGAAGAACCAGCTAAGTCTTCTTTTCCTTTTAAATCCCCTGATCAACCAACACGAAAAGGTACTAATCAATATACCCACCCTACTTTGGGCAAATGTTTCCGTTGTGGGCAGGTCGGGCATCTCTCTAATGAATGTCCTCAACGACGTGCTATTGCGCTGGTTGATGAAGATGAACCTGATGTTCCGGAGGATGATGACATCTTGGACAATGATACGGCATATGTCGAAGCCGATGAAGGTGATCTTGTCAACTGTATGATCCAAAAGATCCTTTTTGACTCCCAAAGTTGAACTCCAACCGCAAAGACATTCCCTCTTTCGGACCCGCTGCACCATTAACGGTAAAGTGTGTAATGTGATCATCGACAGCGGCAGTAGTGAAAACATGGTTTCTCAGAAACTTGTCTGCACTTAACCTCAAGGTGGATCCACATCCTAACCCATATAAGGTATCTTGGATACGAAAAGGAGGTGAAGCTACTGTCAATTCAGTATGCACCGTACCTCTTTCTATTGGAAACCAATATCGAGATCAAATCATTTGTGATGTCTTGGAAATGGATGCCTGTCATCTTCTCCTTGGTCGTCCCTGGCAATTGATCTCCAAACAATCCACAAGGGGAGGGATAATACATATGAATTCACGTGGATGGGCAAAAAGATTATCCTCTTTACCTTCCACCATCGACCTTAAGAAGAAACGTGACAAGAACATCAATCCTACACCTTTGTTTTCCCTTATTAAAGGCAAAACCTTCATCCAGAAGGAGGACTCTGTCGTTTTGGCTTTAGTAGTAAAACATGACACACCTGCTCCTTCCGCAGCTTTTGACCAACCCGAAATCCGGGAGTTATTATCCGAATTTCCCATTTTAAGCCAAGATCCTATTGACCTCCCTCCTTTACGGGACATACAACATCGGATTGATTTCATTCCGGGAGCTACTTTACCCCATCTTCCTCATTACCGCATGAGTCCTAAAGAGTATCACATTCTCCATGAACAAATTCAGGAGTTACTCAACAAAGGTCACATCCGGCCAAGTTTGAGTCCCAATGCTATTCCAGTTTTGTTGGCTCCTAAAAAGGATGGTTCGTGGCATATGTGTGTGGATAGTCGTGCCATTAACAAGATCACCATAAAATATCGTTTCCCTATTCCTCGTCTATCTGATTTATTGGATCAGTTACATGGTGCCCAGCTTTTTTCAAAGATCGACCTAAAGAGTGGATATCATCAAATCCGTATCCACCCAGGGGACGAATGGAAGACAGCATTCAAAACCAATGAAGGACTTTTTGAATGGCTCGTCATGCCTTTTGGGCTATCCAACGCCCCAAGCACCTTCATGAGGTTAATGAACCAGGTTTTTCTTCCTTTCCTTAATCACTTTGTTGTTATTTACTTTGATGATATCTTAGTTTATAGCAAAACTCACGAAGACCACATCACTCATTTACGCACAGTATTTCACACATTAGAAACACATCAGCTTCATATTAACCTTAAAAAATGCTCCTTTCTTCGTACTGAGATATCCTTCTTAGGATTCATCATCTCTCGATTTGGTATTTCGGTTGACCCAGCCAAAATTGCAGCTATTACACATTGGCCTACCCCTACAATTGTCCGAGATGTCCAATGCTTCTTAGGCTTAGCATCTTTCTATAGGAAATTTATCCGTAATTTCAGCACCATTGCCGCTCCTTAAGCTTAAGAAAGGACAGTTTACATGGGATACTGATCAAGACCAAAGCTTTCACAACCTCAAAGAAAAACTCAGTACCACACCCGTCCTTGCCCTCCCTGATTTTAGTCAACCATTTGAAATAGCAGTGGATGCTTCGGGCTTGGGGATTGGGGCAGTTTATCACAACGACACCATCCTATAGAGTTTTTTAGTGAAAAATTAACTCCCCCTAGACAGAAGTGGTGCACCTATGAACAAGAATTATATGCACTCATATGGGCACTCAAGCAATGGGAACATTATCTTATCGGTAAGGAATTCATTCTTTTTACCGATCATTTTTCACTAAAATTTCTTCAAACACAAAAAACCATTAACCAAATGCATGCTCGTTGGATATCGTTTATTCAAAAATTTGATTTCGTAATAAAGCATAAAGCAGGCGTTACTAATAAAGTGGCTGATGCCCTTAGTAGAAAAGCAAGCCTACTGACGTTGTTAGCTGGACAAAACCTTGCTTTTGATCACCTACCTACATCATATGAACATGATACTGATTTCAAAGACATTTGGATTAAGTGTCAGCAACATGTCAATTGTGAAGACTTCCATATCATGGACGGTTTTCTTTTTAAGGGTGATAAACTCTGTATACCACACACATCTCTACGTGAAGTCCTAATAAGAGACTTACATGCTAGCGGTCTGGCAGGACACTTTGGGACCACTAAAACATTTGAACTGGTGGCTKACCGATTTTTTTGGCCGCACATCCGAAAGGATGTCAATAACTTTGTTTTACGCTGCATTATATGTCAAAAGTYCAAAGGCCAATCCCAAAATACGGGACTATATACACCATTACCAATACCAAAATCTATCTGGGAGGACTTGTCTATGGACTTTGTCCTTGGCTAGCCAAAGACACAACATGGCTATGATTCGGTATTGGTAGTAGTGGACAGATTTAGTAAAATGTCTCACTTCTTACCTTGTAAGAAAACTTCCGACGCCATATACGTGGCCAATCTGTTTTTCCGTGATATAGTAAGGCTACATGGGATACCAAAAACTATTGTCTCGGATAGGGACGTTAAATTCTTAAGCTACTTCTGGAAGACACTATGGAAAAAGTTTGATAGCGGATTGCGATTTAGTACCACTAGCCATCCTCAAACGGATGGGCCAACGGAAGTTACCAACAGAACCTTGGGAAACCTAATCCTGTGTCTTAGCCAAAACAAGCCAAAGCAATGGGACCTCACTCTTGCCCAAGCTGAGTTCGCCTACAACCATATGAAAAATAGATCCACAGGGAAGTCCCCCTTTGAGATTGTGTATACTAAATTACCTAGGCTTACTATTGATCTTGCTAATTTGCCCCATTTTGTTGATATCAGTGTCGAGTCAGAGAAAATGGCTGAAAGGATCGTAGAACTACATAAAGAAGTCATGGACAACCTCACACAAGCTGCTACTCAATACAAAACCGATGCTGATGTTCACAAACGACCTAAACAATTCAAGATAGGTGACCTAGTTATGGTTCATCTTAAGAAGTCGCGTTTCCCTAAAGGAACCTACAACAAATTACGGGACAAGAAGATAGGCCCTTTTGAAATCCTGCACCAATATGGGGACAATGCATACCGCGTCAATCTTCCAAAAGACTTGCGAATCCAGCCAGTATTCAATGTGGCGGATATAAATGAATATAGAGCACCAGACTCTTTTCAATTAGCATGTTGAAACTCGAGGTCGAGTTTTCCTTAGGAGGAGGGAATTTGATGTATTCGTTGATACTTTTACAATAATTAGTTTAGTTATCTTATTAAGAAGTTAGTTGGTAAGTGGTTAGTTAACAAGTTAGTTGGTAAATTGGAATTGGTTAGTTAAGTTTGTTACCCTTTCCCTTCCAACAGAAGCCTATAAAAGGCATCTTTCCCTTCTGTTTCATTCATTGAAAAAATCAATAAAGTTTTCATCCTTTGGTTATACACCAACATAATTCAATTAGATGAAGGCAATGAGACGTTTGAATAGCATATCAAATTCACTGAAGAGGATTGCATTGTAGAAAGGGAGTGAGTAAAAAGGTCCGAGTATAAACAAAAACCTGGATGACATAATTTCCATATTGGTCTTGAGCAAGAACATAAACAGAGTCCAAAATCTCGTCCACTATACACTGACTCTGGGCCTCATCAGAACAATGCTCCAAAATTCTCTGATACCATATTGAAAATGAAAAACAAAACCGAAAGATAATCACATTTTTTAATAAATAAATTTAAAAGAAGATGAAGAAGAGACATAACACTAAAATCATCATTTATCAAATCCAGCTCATGTTCATTGTTACCTGGATAACACGGCAGCCATATGGATGTGTGGAAAGCGTGGCAACTTGACCTCCAAAAGAAGAAATGATAAAACCAATTTCTTCTGAAGGAACACATTCTATACACTTCTGTATAACATGATTCCCATTTTGATCACGCACGCATCTCATCACATGACCATCAAGCTCATGAATGAGCTGTGTCTTTTGATCCAGTTCAATAACTTCAAGTGCCTAAAGAAGCATCAAGCATAAGATAAAAACTTAGGTAGCTGATATGACTCGGCAATCAGTCTTTATTCAGAGTAAGCCAACAATTTTATTTCCTTTTTTATTCTAAATAATCTCTACCCGTTGCCCCCAAGGGGCCGTCCCATCGGCATCCGCAATGGCTTGGGGGTCTCTTGGTCATCCCGACTTAGAGGTGCTAAGGTTTTCGAATGAGTTTAATACCAAAAACCCTTGAGGTCTCCCGGGTCCGGCCCTTAGGTCGGGTACAAGTTTCCCCGACTAGAAGGGAATAAACTTAACTCCCAGTTATAAAAAAATAATAATAATAATAACAATAATCTCTACCGTTAGTTTCTTAAGTCGTATTGGTTCTATATTTTCTACCTTACATTAGTTAAGACTGCTTTTTAAAATAGTTTTTCAGGAAAAAATAAAAGAAAAAGAAAAAAGCACTCAAAAAGACGTTTTTTTTTATAAGAAATCGAAATTTTTATTGAGAAAATAAAAACAAGAAGACATACACAAGGGCATACAAAAAAAATTAGCCCAACAACCAAAGACTAGCCTATAGGAAGGGTCTCGAATTCAAAATGATAATTCATAATTGATGATTACAAAACAACTTCTAAATCAACCTCATAAGGAGGTGTTAAATCTAATGAGCTTCCAAACTGACTCACTATCTCCCTCCACCCCTAAAATTTTATTGTTTCTCTCAATCTAAATCCCTCACATAATAGCAAAGAAACAAGCCAGCCACAAGAACCTTCCCTCCCAAAGCACCTCTTCCATCACAGCACCAAAATCCCTATTATGAATCCAAGGCACCTCAAAAAGATCAAAGCACCCCCAAATACCTTCGGTGAACTGACAATGCCACAAAATATGATCGAGGTCCTCCAAAGCATTCTTGTAAAGCACTCATAAAGACTTGTCTAATATAGAATATTCTAGAAAATAGTTGGCATGCAAGTATTGATTATTGGTTTCTAAAAAAGTAGTTTCAATATGATGATAAATAATGTCTTCTAACACAACCTCAAACTTTCCTTATATTTCAAAGTTTAAAACAACAAAGGAAGAGTGCACTTGTGTACATCTCAGATTCTCAATAATCAAACTTTAGTTACTATGTTCTTAACCTAGCTTAGACCTATATATGTTACATTTCTTACAAAAAGAACAATTAAGAGATCTATGCTCTGCTTATATAAATATACAAATCCTTCAAATCCTTCATCTTCCTTCCTGAGACAAAATCACTATAATTACAAACTTCAAGTTGCAAACCTTTTCTATAAACAGAACAAACAGGGTCATTGCGAAGAGAGGATTTGGGAGCTCCCGCCCCTAAAATCATCAGACTTGACACAAAATTCCAAAAGATAAAAGATCCTCTTTTCCTAACGAACTTACTCTCCTCTTTTACCTCTTCCTACCGTATACATTTTTAATTAGGGGTCTACCACACCTATGATCTCACCAACGTTCTTCCTCTGTCTCATTTCTTTTCATCCTGAAGGATTTCTTTTATAGAAAATTCAATTTAAAAAAAAAATGGAAAATCGAACTTTCAAATGCACCAACTTACAAGGGAGAGATCAACAAAGCAAACTAAAAAGAACCAGAAAGAATAACAACTGTTTACAAAAGGAAAGGAGCTAATTGGTTAAGTAGAGGAGTTCACACGAAGAATGACTGGGACAAATTTGTTCACACGAGTTAACAAAGCACAAAAACAATCTAAAGGACAAATTCTTCATGTTCATGGCTGTTAGCATGCTTTTGGCACCTCATTTTGCATATTTTTCCCAATATCTCGACAGTCTCGAGCATTTTTCAGAAAAAATTGCGATTGTTTGTATATATTATTAGGAAGGAAGGAAGAAAACAGTGGAGCAAATTAAAACTTGAATCAATCCAACCATAATTCTCTCAATGCTGTAGAGTGCTTAAAATTATCAAGTCATAAAGAAATTTTAGAAACCAAACTCAAAGCCTCAATACTCAAAAGCAGCTAACCATCATGCAACACCCCACCTGCCAAAAATCTCCAGCAATGATTGAAACTGTAGACCCCCCCACCACCCAGTTTAATTTGTGAGTTGAAGCACTGATAACCCAAGAAGTCTTCTCAAATTGAAAATGCAAATATGAAAAAGGACCAAAATTATCACATTTGCCATGTGGTTTGTGACAATTTACCTTCTGGATTACACGACAACCATACATCTGCAAGCTTAGAGGTACCATCTGTCCAGCAAGTTGATCAGCAAGCTCCTTCCTCTGCTCATGGGTTCCATGTTCAAAAAACTGTGGAAGATATGTAAGAATTAATCGAGCAAACACACATATATCGTTGAATGCAAAGTCCAAAATAGAATATTAGGATTAAAACTTCAAGACACAGAAAATGCACATAGTTCTAGAATAATAATATACCTTTTGAATGACATAATTCCCAAAAACATCAGTCATTAATTTAGAGGCATGCGGAAGAACTTCTTTAAACACAGATGCCTTCTCTTCAGAACTGCAGTGCTCGAGCTTCTGTTGAATAAAGCGACTCCCATGTTGATCAACACTGAAGTAAAATAGGTGTGGAAAATCATGATCTATAAGAAAGAAAATTATAATTGCACATGACAAATTTGAGGGTAAAGATGCTGAAGAAACATTGCCTGAACTCAATAATACGCCCAGCTATATCAGAGAGTTCAAACTTCCGTGCATTGCTTGACTTCAGTTCTTCAAGAAAAGAGTGCCTTTTGGGGTCATCGAAGTTATTGGAGCCTCTTTGCCCCTGCCATCCAGAATATGCCCCTGCATTTCGGACTAAACCTGGAGGAAACCACATTTCATTTCGTTGGCCTAGATGATTCACCCCACCAACTGGAGATGAGGGCGAAGCAGGGCTTGCAATAGATGGGACTGAAAATTGCATGATGCCACTCATGCTAGAGGAATCTCCGTAATTACCACCAGTAACCCCTTTTCTGAGACTCGAGATGTTAAAACTCCCATTTTTTGGTGACTGAATTTCGTTATCACCTAAATAAGCAGCAACATTTGAATCTTGTTGTGAAACAAAAGAATTGATCGGCATTTGACTAAAATTTCTAGAAGCCAATTGACCATGATGAGCTGAACTACCATAAGGCTCCTCAATTATACGTTGACCATAGTGTACATGCATGGGATCCACAAAAGGTGGGTAAATGAATCCAGGTTGGGCATAAAGCTTGCTCAGATGTTGTATGTCACCCACAGGTGGAATACTTTCCCCTATTGAGACACCAGCATTTCGACCACTGAAGTTTGATCCAGAAGGCTCTGGCAGAGGAACTGCACCATGTGAAGGATACCCAGCCATGAATGGAGGAAAAACTGTGGAAGCCATAGCATATCCTCCCACATTGAACTGAGGACTAAACAAACCTGACGGTTGATAATTATGGTAAAATGGATTTCCTGGAGCCATATATGCTGCTGCAGTAGCATACAAGGGAGGAGTGAGTGCTGACGAATGAAATACTGTTTGTACCTCAGCAGTTGAAAAATTGTGTTGTCCATGTGAATAGTTTTCAAGCCCAACTTCTTGGTGGCTAATTCCTTGAGAAACCATCTGGGACTGAATATCTGAAGGTGGACTTGGAAACCCTTGTTGCTTTGACAAATAGATATATGGGTGATTTCTCCCATAAGATTGTTGATTTAGTTTGTTTCTATTACTCTCAACAATGGATGCTTTCGTTCTAGACTCTAATTTGGGAATATCATGTCCAATTGTCCCAGTTTTTGCTGCAATGTTCTCCACACAAACACTTTTCCCTCTTGATTCCTCTTGTTGTTGGCTCCGCGTTCTGTCAGATTTCTCTATCTTTGGAGATTTCTTCAGAAGAGCATCATTGGATATTAACCCCATTGGATCCCTAACTACATTACTTGTCTCCAAGCAAACGTCAGAAGAGCATGAACTTGATTCCAGTACTTTTGAAATACTTATAGATGAAACACAAGAGGCAATAGTGTCCAAATCACTCTCAGCTGCTTGTTCTGTTGTTGATCGACTCGTTAAAAGTGACTGATTATACACAGGAGATGGGGTCCGGGGGAAGTCTTCCTGCACATACCCAAAGTAAATAAGACAGGTTAATAGGATACAGGGTTGGTGAAGAATCTATTATAATAAATACCCCTGTATCTATCTGAACAGGTTAAGAATTACAGGTAGGTGATATTAATGGTATTAGTACATTACAAACTTAACTCTCAGTACCAGACAGTGAAATAAGAAAATAAAGATAGTTTTGGAAGATTTAGTTTCAATCCAATTAAATAAAAGGAAAAAAGAAAGATCTACAGTAGCCGTGAAACCAAAAATCAGTATTGAAAACATCATTTTTTTTCTAACTTCTCAATGGTCTCAACTAAAATGGTACACAATACCTGTATCAAATCAACCAAGCTCTTGCGGTGACTTGTTGTAAAAGATATGTTCTGTGTAGGCAAAGCAGTACTATTTCTCTCTGTCAAGTTTTCGGAAACTTGCTTTAACAGTCCATCCTCCGGAGTCTCCTCCTGATGAGTAGAAAGGGAGCCTTGGGATATCAGCAAAAATTCATTAGCAGTGTCATCTGAAAAGCTCACTCTCCGATTTTTGCTTAATCCGCCAATGTGCCGCACTAATCTACGATTTTCTCGTGATATAAGAGGGGGAGGAAGCCTTGGATTCAAGTTAACATTGGAACAATAGTATTCGAAATAAGCTGGGTGAGAGCGCAGCTGTTCTTCTGACATGCAATTTTCTAAAGCATCACATAAAGTAGACAAGCTTGTAACTAGGCTAGAGTCCTGCTGAGTTAACAGGTTTCCAATAGCTGCAAAAGAACCCTCCATATTTGGCGGTGCACTACCACTCCGATTAGGAATCAAATCTGATAAATTTCTACTAAAATTATGCATCTCTAAGATTGATCCCAACTCCTCTGATGCAATGTTTTCAAACGGAGATCCAAAGGCTGCTATATCTTTAGTAGCTGACCAGTTTCTATCACCCAACCTGTCCACAATTCTGGTAGGGCTCTCAGTTGCCATCCTACTGTAAGAATTGTATGAAATCCTTTGTCCAAAAACAAAGGTCTCTTTAGTACAATTTCTTCATCAGTGGTGTTAATATATAATAACACAAATGCCAAATGCCAAATAAAATAGTTTATATCATCATCATGGCTGGATGCCAATAAATTGCGCTGAAGGTAAACACTGGCACCTGAAATCTCAAGGTTTTTTTATTTCAAAACAAATGCCTAACAAAAGTTCATTTAACTGATGGGAGACAAAACCATCAATGAGTAAAGATAGGTTGCAGGAAGAAAGTGCATGCAAGATCACAAAAGCCCAAACAAATTCACGCACACACATTAAGAACTAAAGCTCAAATCCTAATTCTGTAAAATTAAAAACAATATATAATATATCTCCAAATTTTCATGATATAATTACCTTCGCACTAAGCAAAACAAATAAAAATTTTAAGTTAAGCTTAAATATTTACATAGAATTAAAGAATAGAGGTCAAGAAACAGAGCCAAAAAAAAAAGGAGATCATAGACGACGAAGAAGAAGAGGAAGAAGAATGATCAAATATATTAACATATAGATGTAGAAGGAAAAATTAGCATTCCTCTTTCCATTATCGGAGTGATAGTCAATTGAGCAATGCTTAGGCATTTGATCCTACAAACAATCTTTCAAATTTACACAGGTAAAAAATCAAGAAACTTTTCATGGGCTAACTTGTCGATAGAATACAATTTTTACCTTAATTGAACTAGCAAGAGTAAAAACGGAAGCTAAGTGCAGCTAGATAAACAGAGCAGACTGTTCCACACGTATTCATTCTAACTCCAACTCTTGAATCCCAATAAAATCATAAGAAATTGAATCATAAATAAACGGTCTAAAGAAACCCAATCAGACACTAAAGGCCCAAATGAAATAGAAGAGGATGATACAAGAAGCAGTAGCTGAAGCAAAAAACTTCCAAGAGGTCAAACAATGAACTTTTTGGTAACAATTAGGGAATTCAGACGCAGAGGAAGTGGGAAACAAGTTCCGAGTTGTTGACAGTTGAAGAAGATGATGAAAAAGAAGCAGGAAAAGAGGATGCAGAGTAGGAGTATTACCAGCAACAGCAGCAGTACTGAAAAGTATGAATTTCAGAGTTCCAAGCCTCTCGGAATTTCTGCGGAGGCAAAGGAAAAAACAAAGAACGAAAAGCTACGGAGAAAAAATGGTGGGGAGAGAGACGAAGAGGAGAGAATTTAGCTGTTTTTTAAGACAAAATAAATGTTTGCTTCCAAAACCCATAACACAGTGTGGGTGCAGAGACTCAAGGGTTGGGAGAGAGTTGGTAAAAGCAAAAATAAATTGAGATTTTTTTTTTTATTATTATTTTTATTTGACGGAGGGATTTTATTTTTTAAAATATATGATTGAGTCCTAATTTTGTATACTTTTGGACGATGTTTAATTTATTGGTAGATACTCTTTTTAAATGTCGTATTAATTTCTCTCAAAAAAACAATGTCGTATTAATTTCCTCTAAACAAAATGTCCTATTAATTTGATAGACATTCTTTTTACTTTTATTTTAAAAAAAATTATTATAAAAAAAATACTTTTCTTTTAAAACCGATTTATTTAATTGAGGTAGAATTTAAACTCATAAAATAAAATAACTACGTAAGTTAGTAAACTTGTCATATGAGTACAATAACGAAATTAAATTTATACTAAAAAGGTAAAATTTTTAATTAAATTGGTTTTTTTAGTTGGAAAAGTAGGGATGAAAATTCGAATATATGTTAGCCACTATATTTATTTAAAAATAGAAACAACTTAGGTTAAGCTTTTATTTTTCTGAAAAATTATTAGATTATTGGAAATAGTATTAAATATCCACGACATATCGATATTTACAAATATCAATTGGTTCAACAGTAACATGAGAGTAAATAGACATTTCCATAATATTGTAAAAAGAAATCGACAAAATGTAACTACTATAGATATAATATTAATATGGATCTTTTTTTACTTATTTAAAACTGATGAAATACTTATTTGTTAGTTTAAATAATTTTAAAAAATATATTTATTTTTAAAAATTTTAAAAATATTTTGATACATGCGTTTTTTTTATATTTCTATGAAATGGAGACCACGATATTTCTATTGACATTGACATTTAAAACTTTGATTATGGTTATAGAAATGACAGACTGAATAGGAAAAATGGCACTTCAATGATAAAATAAGGAAAATAATTAACTTAAGTGATGATCAAATCTCGTTCTCACTATCCATACGAATTTGACAATTCATTCATTTTTATAAAAAAAGAATATAATTTTTACATTCATCTCATTTAATAATTGCAAAATGGAGAGAGGATGATGGTGAAAAAATACAAGGGAGGGGAAATATAATTAAACAATTAAATATAATAGAAACTTGAGGAAGCAGCAACAAGTAAAGTCGAAGGCAGGGGATAGATTTGGAGAGGAGACAAAGGTGGGATCCTACGTAAATTGGGCGAACGCCCCACTACACGTCAACGAGACGACACGTGTAACAACACGTGTCTACTGAATGAGGACCGCGTATGGAAATCCAGGATTCGTCAGTAAACAAAAATATAATAATAATGATAATGCGAGGCATGACTCATTCTACTGGGCCTGGTGTCACGGGTCTAATCTCTAGAGTATTAATTTTTGGTACAATGTCCGCTGCGTCGTATAATTTAACTTTGAATGTCTATTTTGTCCCACTTTGATCTAAGAATTATCTGCGTACCTATGGATTGGCTCAAGTCATCGAGCTATCTTGTTCTTGTTTTCACCCTCGTAACATCTTTTGACCACAACAGTTTCTAATTGTCGAAATCGAGAATCTACGGAAGTGATCTAACACCAAAGTGTACCAATTAATCTACTAATCTTGATCATGAGTTTACATAAATAGAAACAGTACAAGTATAAACACGTATTGAAGCACATATTTTAGGAGAAACAAACAATATTACACTAAACATAAACATAAATCCCCAGGTGCTCCATATAATTTGTATGTAAAAATGTAGCTAGTCTAATTTATCCTGTGTTCCAACCCGAACTTCGACATTTTCTTTTAAGTAATTTGTATTTTTTCCGTGATTTGATTTGTGATTTTCCTTTATTTTTCTACTCATTTTTCAATTGCATGGAAGGAACCAAATTTCATCATTGTTATTTTGGAAAGAAGGAAAAAGGATCCTAGATTATGTCAATTTTGAAAAAATGAAAATAAAAGAAATTAAGAAATTACAAATTTTCTGTACAAATATGTCTATTTAAAAAAATAAAATACAAGAAATATAAGAGAATATATAAATAAATTTTAATTTTAAATTATAAAATTGTGTATCCATAAACTACCCTCTTAACTTAAAAAAAAAAAAAAATAATCTTTTTCATTTACAATGATCTAATTGTTGCCGTCAAGCTTAAATGTCTAGGCTACATTTTTATTAATTCTTTTTTTTTTACAAAACATTTTTATTAATTTTACATGGATTTGACTATTTAAATATAATAGTTACTAAAAACTTGGGACGATGAAGTTTCTAGCTCTTTTTATACATATAATTAGTATCATTCTTATTTTATGTTTTAACTTTTTATTAACGTGGAGAAACTATCAAAGAAATTTGATAGGATCAATATATATAAAAAAGTAATAATAGTTCTAATAGATATTTTACCTGTAAATTTGAAAAAGAGTCACATCAAATCTAATCTGGTCGCCACTCAATTCCTAAAACATATAAATTTTCTTATGGAACATATGATATTACACAAGTTACAAATGTCAAAAATTGGTAGTAAAGCATGAAATGTAACGACCTTTGATATGTAAAGGAAAAAATAGTTGTTTCCAATAAGAACATGGAAAGTATAACTTTTACATGTTTGTTAGGTTCATGGTTCTAAATATCTGTCAACACGACGACATTTCCATCGACATGTCCATGTTTTCATGGATTCGACATCAACATTAGGGGTAAATCGATATTTCAATCATAGTACAAAAAAATTGACAAAATATGAAAAATATCAACAAAATGTCGCTAATATATACATAGTATTAGTATTAGTTATTTTTTTAACTTATTTAGAAATATGAAAATGTTTATTTGTTAATTTAAATATTTTTTTTCGATTTTTTAATTTCTATAACTTTTACATAAATATTCATCAACATCGACATTCTATTGATATCTCCATGAAATTGAGGTCTTGACATTTCCATCGATATCCACATTTAAAATCTTAGTTAGGCTACATAGCGCTTTCGGGAGATTTTGAGATTTTTTTTTATATACAATATCACCCCTTGTCAATTTCTTTATTTTGTGATCTATGTTAAAGGCCAAAAGCTCACCCATGCCCTCGTGGTGTGTAGCCATAATATAAATATCAAAATATGAAATAATAAAAATATATAATATTATTATAATTTTTCTTTTAGTGTATTTTTAAAGTTATATATTTTTTCTTGATGTCAAATATTTTTGTACCAACAAAAATAACTTCTTTTTTATTTTTAATCAATTGTTTTTTAAATAAGTAATCACGTAAAAAAACTATTAATTTGTATAAAATAAACTATAATTAATATTTCAATTTTTTTAATTATATAGAAAATTTAGTCAGTCTTCAAAATTACCTTTACTGACCGTGTTTACTTGAGAATCCAGGAATGAGAATAAATTTTTTTATTACCATCAAATTGTGGACCCACCTCAAATTTGAAATCTCATTTTTAAAAGCGACAGTCTCATTCATTTCCTACATCCTAATCAATCTAATTTTCATTATTTATTTTGTGGGTCCTACACATTTATTGGAGTTACTTTACCACTTTTATCATTTCTCTCATTTTATTAATGAGATCTATATATTTTTTAATTATTTATTTTTCATTTCTAATTTTTTCTTTTAGTAAAAATTTATACAGCTTTTATTGGTTGGTATGATTTTATTATTATTTAATTTTAATTTTTGTTTACTTTGATATTATTAATTAATATCAATTGATTTTTTAAAATATAATTCATTATCATTGACTATTTGAATAATAAATTTGAATAATATTTTATATTAAATTATAATAAAAAGGTATTTTAATTGATATAATTTTATTTTAATATAATAAAAAATATTTACTATCAATTGTATTGTAATAAAATAAATTAAAATAAATTGTTATTGTTATTTTAATTAAAAAAATTAACACAAGAATGCATTTATAATTAATTAACTAGAAATAAGAAAGGAATAACATTCCGATTCCGATTCTAGACAGTTTTTAGTAAACAACATTGAATTATGATTCCGATTCCTGAAAATTTATGTAAACAACATCAAAGGAATAACATTTCGATTCCGATTGATTTTTATTTCGATTCCTGGTAAGTAAACATGATCTAAATGAACATGTGTCTACTACTCATTTGAGTTTAGCTACCATCTAGAGGATAATTTTTTTTAATTCATATGTGGGTAGGGATCGAAACTCTGACTTTATAGTAAAAATTTTTATTGAAAATGATCGTCTATAAAAATTGAAGCACCATATTTCTCTCATTATAATTTTTTTTTTTTTTGGTTTGTTAGAGCGAAGTTAGATATAGAACATCCAAAATTGAGAATCACAAGTAGTGAAAAAAACAAATAAATGTAACGAAATGAAGGTTAGATAATTGGTAACGTATTTATGAGTGGGAGAGAGTCATACAGAGAGGTAGTAGAAAGGGAGTCATCGCATCAAACAAAAAGATTCTATAAGGAAGAAATGCAATTTGCAATCGAGTTTCCATTTCAGCTGCTAAGAATAAGATTAGAGAAAAATCGCAACAAAATCAGAGAAAAACAAAAAGTCCTCTTTTTAATTACGCTCCAACTCTAATATATATATATATATATATATATTATATACTAAGCGGCTTTCGTCTCAATTAATTCCACATTACAACCAGCTCACTCTACTATATTTTTGATTATTAAAAAAATACATAGAAAATTATGAAAAATACTTGACTTATCAATAAGGAGAAAATCTAGCCATTCTGTAGTACGGAAAATTTTCATACCATATGTGAAGTAGTTTTATTATTCATATATAAAGAATATATCTTTTCTATTTGAGTACTACATATTTGGAGGCATGATTATTACACGGTATCTTACTTTTTCTTGAGTTTGTGCCTACTTTGACTAATTTTACAGGACCACAGTCTCACCTTATTATATTTGGTTGAAAAAAAACACACATCATCAACTCCAATATAATAAAATATAGATTAAAAATTACTTTTAGCCCTGGTACTTTCGAATTAACAATTTAGTCCTTAAACTTTAGTTTGAAACGATTTATACGTGTACTTTCAAATTAGTAACAATTTAATCTTTGAACTTTAACATGTAACAATTTAAATCATTGTAATTTAAAGTTGGTAACGATTTAGTCCTTATCGTGATTTTTTTTTTGTTAAGTTTCTTGTATGTATAGATAGATAAACTAAAAAGAGACCAGATATGTTTATGAATTAGAAAAATTAAATTGTTATATGATAAAATTTGACACTTAATTTTAATGAAATTTTTTGTTGTTACAAATTTTAAACTACAAGAACTAAATCATTACAGGTTAAAATTACGAAATTGTTAATACCGAATCGTTACAGATTGAAATTAAGTGACTAAAGGGGTGAAAGTAGAAAATTATGATTTTTAACGTAAAATATATAAATAAAGCCACTGCGTTAGCCTTCCCATCCCATTTCATTTGGTCAGTCCCGTGAGCGCTCTGTTTAATCCCAATCGCCCGTTCAACTAAAATCAATTTGGAAATTTCATCTTCTAATTTTGCCCCTCTCCTTCTCCCTCTTCCTCTCCACCATTTCTCATTCATCCTCTGGAGATCTTCACGGATTCCCTTACTACAGTACCTGCTCCGCTCGGCTCTGCCTCCCCCGGTACGACTTCCCTTCCTTGATTTGTTCATCCCATGCTTTGTTTCCTTTCTTGTTCCTTCTTTTTACCTCTTCACGTACGCTACTGAATTGGAAAATCCACTTTTCGCGCATTGTTCTTATTAATCTGTCACAATTTAGCTCAATTTTTGCATGATTGCTTGATTCGGTGCCCTTTACCGCTCATATTTGGAGTCTTCGATTGTTTTTTTTTTTTTTTCGTTATCTGTTTGGATTACCACGCCCCCTGCAAATTTTCTTTCCACGGCGATCTGAAAAAGGAAATATATCTTCACCGGCGATGTTGATTATCTTTACATTTAGTGGGTTCAGATATTTTATTGCTTTACTGCGCCTACTTTGCATTGCATTGATCTCTTTCAGGATTAAGTTGCTTGACTTTGCATAAACAATCGGATTGTTTTTGCCGATGCTACTGGCCAACATGAAACGGCCGTATGATTAGTATTTTAGTCCAGAACCGAACCATTTCCAGCATATCCAGGAATCCTAAATACAGGGGAGAGGATGCTTTTGTCGAAAAGCTTGAAGTGCGTAGAATCTAGATAATGTCATTATATGACATAGAATACGTACAGTTTCCATATAAGAATAGTAGCAGAAGAAGGAAGATGTGAGAAGAAAAGAATTGGAGGACTGGAACAAGTATAATCTCTGCATTATGTTTAGCTAGCGCAATAAAATTTCTGCATACTCTTTTTCCTTCTTTCTCATCCCTCCTTCACCATTTGGAAGCTCAGTATATGGTCAAAGCACATGAACCCATTGATAACATCCCAATCTTTTTTAATCTATGATCTGAGGAATGAGAATGTTGATTTATACAACATTTATAGATTGATGGACGCGAGAAACCATTCCACCTCCCTGCGCCCAACACTAATGTAAGGTAAAGGTTCAATATTGTTATTGAGAGCTTAGCCCATGTATTGCCGGCAGCATTGCTGTTTTAAAGGTCTATCGTTTACATGGAGCTACTTATCTTTCCAATTTTAGTATCTTTAACTGTGAACATTTGATCTTCTACGCACATGATTCTGCGCCAGCTTGAATTTCTTTGGTTTATTATGCAGGTTTTTTAGTTTCCATGTAAATGGTCAACCTGAATAATAGCTCAGGCGATGACTATACGAGACTGACTCAAGAGGGAAGCTTCACACAATGCAACTAGTACCAAATGATGATGAAAATAACGAAGATATTCTGGAACGTGCACCCATTTTAAGTCAATTGGATTTTGTGTCGCAGTCTGTGGAATCATCATGTTCTGCCGAGATTATATCTATAGGGAGAGAGAGCTCTGTCAGCGACGACGATTTACAAAATCTTCATGTTGATGAAACTAGTCATCTGGTGAATGCAGACCAACCACAATGTCGTATATGCCTTGAGACTGGAGGTTTCTAACATTCCTTTCTGTTAAATATGTCATGTAATTTCACCAACATCAGTTAAGACAGTGTTTTTCATACTTTTTAACAAATATAAGAATGTTATATTTAGGTTCACTTGTGAGTTAAGAGTTGAGACATTGTCAGTAAATACATATTCTGTCTTAATTTTCTCTGAACTTTCCTTCGACCTTTTATTAGTATGAATATAAATTTGCTTTCAGGAGAAGATTTAATTGCTCCATGCCACTGCAGAGGCACTCAAAAGTATGTGCATAGATTATGTCTTGATAACTGGAGGTCCACAAAGGTCAGTTTTCCCTCGGATCATGTTGCTCCTCTATTCTCAATTGTTACTCCTTTACTCCTGGACGATGAACTGCTGTCTTAGAGGGCTACTCGATCATAAAATTTTTAGAACTTCATGGATTATGACTCTAATACATCTGCTTTCATATACCATACAAACATGTAAAATTTGAGAACAATCAAGTTTTCAATGTTTTTTGACCTCTAATCCATTTCAGTAATTCTGTTAGGAGGGTTTTGCTTTTGCACATTGTACGGAGTGCAGAGCTATGTTTGTGTTACGTGCAAATGTCCCTCCTGATCGCTGGTGGTTGAGACTAAAGTTCCAGTTTCTCGTTGCTAGGGACCATGCGTTCATTTTTATTATTGTTCAGCTGGTAAGCTCTTGTAGTTACATGTATACTCAAATCACTTTTATGTCGAGGTGTTTAATTCAAGTTTGGCTAAATTTCTCCATTACTATTATGATATAATTCCATTTCATTGTTATGATTGATTTTTCTAGAGAGGTCTTCGCTATGTGCTTTGAACAGATTGTGGCATTCTTGGGGGTGTTGGTGTACAAATTCTACGGAGAGGAACTCAGGGAAATGTTTGGATATGAAGAACACCCGTATGGGTTCTATGCCATGGCTGGTACAGTGAGGCTGCCGACTTACTCCTTACTTTTTTTTGTTCTTCTTTATATCTGTATTGAATTTTTTGGTGTAAGTAATATTCCCGCACAATTTTTTGGTATCATTTGATTAGAATTATGATTTGCAATTGAATGGATCCTTGAAGAAAATCAAGTTAACGGCTTAAGAAAGTTTAGGTGCTATGTTATCCGGCCTTTTAACTTTTTTGTTTTATAATTTCTTTTCTGCAGTCTTGGCTATCATCTTGGTCGGTTTACTCTATGGTTTCTTCATAGCCATTATTTGCGGACAGAGGATAAATGAACGCCATTACCATGTCCTTGCTAAGCAAGAACTGACAAAGGTCCAGTAACTATTTCAAGAGGATAGTTTCAATTTAAGTCCGTCATTCCCCCTTTTATCCCTCTCGTCAACTGCTGGCTACCTCCGTTGTTCTCAAATTGTCAATCCCTTCTACCACCTAAGTTCAGATAAATTTTATTCATTTCAGGAATACATAGTCGAAGATCGAGAACATAACAAGAATGTTCCTGAACTGGATCCCAGTCATGTTATGGAGCTAAGGATGTTGGGCCTATATTAATCTGGAATTGCTGAACCCGCGGTAGGATTCAAGTAAGGAACTCCATCTTGTATCCTCTCCACGTCTATACTATATCTTAAGTGGAGAATTAGTATTTTGGTATAATTTGTTCACCAGTATTTTTTTCTTGTTCATGAGCATAGCTTAGATTATCGAAGTTGGACTCGAGACTTTCTATCGCTTGCGCTTGCTTTTCACTCTCAAGACAACGGTCTATCCCAACATTCTATTTTTTCCTTGGCTTTAAGTTTGTAACTCCAGATTACGCTCATATTATCGCAACATGAACATAGCTTAGATTATTGAAGTTGGACTCATCCCAACATTCTATTCTTTCCTTGGCTTAAGTTTGTTAATCTGGATTTTCCATGGCTTAAGTTTGTTACTCCAGATTACGTTCATATTATTGAAGTTGTTCCTTGGCTTAAGTTTGTAACTCCAGATTTATATTTGCAGTGTTCTGCAAGAACCCACTTTTTTTAGATAAGAAACTAAAGTGATAAGTGGGTCTGCAAGAACCCACTTAATTTCGTTTCGTTTTCTGACCTCGTGATCTTCTCAGGTTACTAATTGGTTGGCGGATATACTTTCGACCCAAAAAGGCAAATTTATTTCTGAAATGTTGCCAATTTGCTAGTTCGAAGAAGAGTGCACTTCCGAAATTCCAGGAATTTATATGGAATTGGCATGTCTGGTTCCTTCTCCTTTACCATATCCTTCTGTTTTGGACACAGATTTCTTTGTGTAAATGGACATTTCGCTTGGTGAAGATAGGGAAATCTACACATGTAATGGATTTGTATTTATTTGACAAAATATTAGGACATTATATGAATTATTTGAATTAGTAAATTGAATCATACATTACATAATTTATATTCTGGAACTCAACTTTGTGTTCTAATCATTGGATTATCTAAAGTGAAGACCAAGTTGGAAATGCATTAGCCTGTATCCTAACTAATATGTGGTGACAACGTCTGTTTATTTATTATCATTTAGATATTTGATATCAGGTGACCATCCAAAAAGAAAAGAATGTAATGGAAGATTGCACCTAAATTTCAATCAGAAAGTAAAATGAACCAGACCAGAGAATTAGTGGGTAAAATTAGAGGTCAAAAAAGTTATTTGATAAAGAGAACTATGCTCAAATGGGTGGAGAATCAGAATAAAACATTGAAACTTCAGTTTTTAGAGAGCATCCCAAGGTATTGAAGAAGTGAAAACATTGGGTTATGATATTGAGATTAAAAACTGAATATAAAAGAAGGAAATCATAAAGGAAACAAATTAGCCACCCAGAAGGAAGAACATCTATAAACAAAGGCCAGAATAATATACATGCATATTGTATTCCAAATTGAATTCAAGAGTAGGATATTGAAGCAAATGTATTGTAGAGTAGATATGACTAGAGTTCTCCGGCAATGTCGGCGGCAGCCTTGGCGGAATCCTGCACAATTTGTTTGCCTTGATCAAAACTCTTGGTTAAAGCTTCCTTCACGTTCTCATTTCCATGCCCGCCGCCATCTTCATCGTCGTCAGCCTTTCCTGGTCGGAAACTGGAAGCAAACGCAGATGAACAAAATTAGAGGCAACGCGCATGCACGCACGCACATGCAGATGAGTAGATGTAATTACTCTATTTTGGGAGGGAAGAGATAGGCGAGCAGTGGATCAAGGACCCAGGTCCTAAGGCGGTCCCAGTAGTGTGGAGTAGCACAAGGGGGTGCTGCGGATGTTACTGTGAACACAGAAATGGCGTCGACCAATGCTTCTTCAACCCAACTCCTGCCCCTGCCCTCGCCCTCAATTCTTGCTGCTCCTGCTTCTTCTTCTACACTCAAATTGTCGTGATCGTCGCCTGCTTTTGCAGCAACACCAGCCGAGATGATGACGGTGGTGCATAACAACAAAACAAATGCAAAATTAGCACTCCTTCTCTTCTCCATCATCAGCTTGCACCAGGGGACGACTGGGAGTATGCTCTTGCTCTGCTAACATTGCGGGTGGGTCGGTCACGGAGGTAAGGACACAGTCAGTGCTGAACTCGATGCAAGGTGGACACTGCATGCTCTATTTTGGCTACACGTCTCCACCCTCCATACCCTTACACTTTGACTCTCATCTTTTTAGCAGGAAATACTCGCGTTCAACGACTAAAAAGAAAAATACGAAAATAAATATTTATTTTTAAATAAAATGAGTTGTCAATTTTTCAACGGGATGGTGAAGACAAGATACCATTAAAAAGTTGACAACTCATTGAATTTTAAATATCCGGTTTAAGAGTGACAAAACAGGAGCCTGAGTATTTCCTTGACGTTGTTTTTCTACTGGTTTGTTTACAATTGACACATCAAAATTGTGCAATGCCCAACCCACCCCAAAAATCTACTCCTATCCAGATTTTTAGTACCAAATTAACATATGCACTTTTCAATTACCTCTTAAGATGCGCCAAACAAGAAACGATTCAATTATATATGATTTTATTTGACAAACAGTGGCAGTGAGAAGAAAATCGAGATCCAAGCCAAGTGGTGAAAACTAGAAAGTAGGGTAACGTAGGTCTGTTAGCTTTGAAACAACACAGTCAGACAGAATGCCAGGCCACACCAAGCAAAATCACTTCATACGATACTTAAAATTGTAAGGCGTTTTCATTACCTAAAAAAGAACACTCGAATTAGATCGATCTTGCTTGGTCCTAAGGGGAAGGTTAAAGCCTAAATCCGCATCTCGAAAGACATAGAAATTGGATTCCATTTTCATTTTCTGAACTTAAAAATAATACATACATATAAGCATCCATCCAAGGATTCCCAATCATTCACTGAGGAGTAAAATTCTTCTGCTTCATCGAAGCATCCAAACCAAAAGCTCTCATTTCCCCCTAATCTTAAGGACCGAAGCTTAAGCCAAACCTAAAAGCTAGAATAGCCGAGAATAAATGATTCTAGTAGCCAAGTCTGGCTGGCGATTCAGTTGCCCAAGCTGAACCCGTTGTCATGAAAATATGCATGCCTGATCCAAGAATCAAGATGTCTGCCCCTTGTCCAGCCATATTGCCAAGCCACCTGAAGTGAAGAGTTGACATTCACATGGCAGCGAAACCAGAGATGGTTTCGTTTTGTATTCTGACTGTCACAAATCTTCCACCTATCCAAACGTACAAATATATTTCTTTACACTAGTTTATCAAATCCAACTTAATTTCAACAAGCTGAACAGCTACGAATGAATCTGAGAGAATAATGATAAATAAATACAAAGAGTATCCACATTATCAACCAACTAATCACCAGCTTATTTAGAAATCACTCGGGCGTTGATTAATTGATCCCAATAGTCCTCTGTGCCAATTTGGGTACAGCTAGAACCCACCTGTACACAATAATCAAATGCCAGATGCGTTCAAAAATGTGGAAGAGTTGGACCGGCAAGTCTGGCATCCACAAAGAAGATTTGCAACTGACTGCACTTTTGACCTTGCCATCTGACACTCGATGCAAAATCTAGCTGCACGGCCAAACATACATAGACTAATCCATCCAAGCAAACCATATAATTAAACAATCGCTTACTCTTAAATCATGCCAAATATATATAATATATATATATTTGGATAACTAGAAGTCGGAGCTTAAAGCTCTCTTATATTTAGAGCACCCCAAGACCCGGACCCAAGAGACATAAAATTTTTTTAGTATTAAGCTCATCCTTAATAATACTTGAGACCTTAGAGGCAATATGACAAAAAAACCCTAAATCCTTGCCAGGATCAGGCAAATCATGCCGGATGTTATGTGTCTCCCCTGAAGAAACCATCCCGGGGAGAAAAACAGGAAGACATAAATGTCATACGCTTTGAATCAAATTAAACTCTCCACCGACTCGGACTGCTTAATTCACTGGGCACAAGTTCCTCTCAGTTAAACACAATTGGATTTCTATGACGGACCACACCCAGTATGAGAGAACCGGGGGCAGGGAGTATAATATTCTATCCAAGTTGAATCCACAAAATTTCACTCATGAAAACAAGTTCATTCTTTGGAAATAGACAAAAAAGAAATTTACTCAGTAGTTTTATAAGTTTATAGAGTATGATTCAATTCGAGTGTTCTTACTTCTATAGGATGAAGATGAGACAACATTGATTATTAACTCCATTCCCTGTACTCTAGAGCTCGTTTATTATATAACATAAACATAAGAAAGAAAGTTATCTCGCTAACTTCTAAATCATTCAACCAGCTGTTTGCAAGAGGTACGCTGGAGAAGCTGTTGAAAATTGAAATGCACAGCAGATGACATTTTAAGGAGAAACAACAAATTAAACAATATCAGCCTTTTATAAGCACAGAACTGAGAAAGAAAAAAACCGAAACGATCACCTACTTCATTGAGAGCTGTCAAAATTTAAATTTTCGAGCTAAATTCCTGTATTCAGACAAAGTCTTGAACCATGTCTCACAAATTTAGAGACCCTAAAGACAACAATCGAAATTACGGTATTACCATACAAAATATCCTAAAACCTGACAGGAATCCAAGTTTCCATTAATTGAACTATACCTTACTCGTCGAAAATTCCGGCCATTAACCAGCCAAACCAAACCAAACCCACTGGTGCTCTCCTTCAATACATGCCCCTGCTATTGTTCAGAATTGAGCCTAGTGTGCCCAGAACAGCAAAAGCCAAAAGGGGGCTGACATCCAGGGTATCGAATATTGGAGGAATTATATTCCGGAACAAGTTCAAATACGGATCACAGAGATCACGAATTGCTGAGAGTGGCTGGCGTTCCCAAGGGATGTTGGGGAACCAACTCAGCAAAACCCTAACCATCAAAACCCCACTGTAAATATCGAGCCACTTGGACAACCCTGCAGCCACGACCGTCAAAGGCGTGTTGAGATATCCGCTGGGGCGGTCCCGTAGCGCGGCGAAGAACATCGAGCCGACCGAGTTGTACGCACCGAGGCCAGGAGAAGGGCTTACGAAACACCCGGCAAGCAAAGTAGGCCAAACATTCTGAATTAGTTTGAGAATTAAGCTGGAAAATGTTAGGGATACAGAGACAACGGTTGCAAGTATCCGGGTTGGGCCGGTGAGGAGGGATCCGATCGAAATTTCTTCAGACTGATGGGAAACTATTGCTGAAGAACAGGAAGGCGATGCGGAAGCTGAAACCCTAAGGCCGAGATTTGGAGACTGGAGAGTGCGCGGACGGAGGAAGAGAGGTTTGTGGACCGGGGAAGGTTGCCGGCGATTGAATGATTGGGAAGAGACGGCGGCGATAGAACTATGTGGGAGGATGGGAGGTCGAAGGAGAGCTTGAGAAGCGATGAGCGAAGACGCCATGGTTGGAGCTTGGCTCTGTGTTTATCGGCGAAGATTCTGGTCGCAGATGCAGGAGAGGAAGGGAAAGAAAGATAATGTATGCCTGTGGTGTTTTATTTGTGCATAAAAATTTTAATCGCAAAACTTCCACTTTAAATCTAAATCTAAATTCAATTACGGGGAAGATTTTTCTTTTCTTTTCTGTTTTTTTTTTAATTTTAATTTTTTTTAACTTTAAAATAGAAGTACCAAAATACCAAAAGTTAGACTTTCTTTTTTTCTTAACGACATGCGGTCGTGGATCGAACCGACGAACTCTTAGTTGAAAATATATGTCAATTACTGCTAGTTATGCTTACTTTGACACCAAAAGTTAAACTTGAACTTTAATAGATTTGCATTTGATTCGACCAAAAAATGCATTGTGCCAATATAATATATTTCATCTATTACAATCACATAATTCTCTCCTCGATTTCAATTACATAGAATATTTTCTCAAAGCAAATATCACTCGGTTAAGTAGATCTAAATACTAGGTTTAAAGGGTTTCAATTTGATGAATAAATTTTAAAGTCGTGACCCCTTTTGTAGCACTTGGAGCACAATCTCTCGCTATATTTTTTTTCATGTGGGACAACTTTTCTTCTAATATTTTGCTAAAAATCTTACAAATTCCACATTGACAATATATTTGAAGAATTCACAACTACTACACTTAATTGTATTCACTAATAATCATAATTTTTAATTCAGAGAACTATAACGTACACCATAAAACTAGATCACTAGGACTGTCGCCATCCAAGATTTTTCTTCTTTGTCGTATTTCGGTAAATCCTGCTAAAATCTAAGGTGCGACTTCTACGCCTACTTGACTCACTCAAAAGTTCTTCAATCATCGACATAACTTTCACCACCACATCTTGCTTAATTGTCAAGCCAATGATCATGTGTAAACATGTGGAATCACTAATATCATATCCACTATCATAGTAAAACAGATATACCATGAAGATTGTTTATCTCTCTCTTTAAAAGAACTCATCGTCTCTCTTGATGAGAAACATCTACCCTAGAGCCCTTTGACGAACTGACTATGTTAGGACAATCCTTCTTCATGTGCCCATACTGTCTGCATCCCCAATCATCTTTCTTTTGCACGAAGTATGTATTATTGTCCAATTGCAAGCTACCAGTGCCAATCTTCCTGTGAAATACGTCTTTCACCCTTCAACCCTCTTTCTCCTGACAAAAGTTTACTAGTTAATTTTGCAAAATTCAAAGTCTCATTCCGGTACATAAAGATCAACTTCATGTTTTCAAGGTGGAAGTGATAAGATGAGCTTGAGTGCATTATTATCATTGTCTATCTTCACTTGAATTGCTTCCAGCTAAAAAATGATGCTATTGAGAACACCCAGATGATCTGAGATTATTGTACCTAACTTCATTCGCAGAGTGTGAACTGCTCATTCAGGTACAACTGATTTGAGATGTTTTTTGTCTGATACAACGTTTCAAGCTTCTCCTAAAGTTCTTTAGTTGTTGGAACTCCGTACACATTTGCAAGATCATTCTTAGTCAAACATGTTATTATCGCGCTTGCAGCCCTCAAATCCATTTTCTCTCAATCTTCATCACTCATGTTGGACCTCTTAGAACTTCTGCTGGACTCTATTAGACCACCATCGATCACTACTTAGCTTTTCAGAAGCATCATCGCTCGATCTTCCTTTCGACACATTGTGTAAAACCCTCAAATATATTCTCTCAATCTTCATCAATCATGTTAGACTTCTTAGAACCTCTACTAGACTCTATTAGACCACCATCGATCACTACTTAGCTTTTCAGAAGCATCATCACTCGGTTTTCCTTTCAACACATTGTTGTAATCCAAATTGTATCAACACATCCTTCGCTTGCAATTGCCACAAGTCGAAGTTGATTCTTCCGTCAAAATTCTCTACGTCAATCTTCACTAGACTGTTAACAATTGACATATCTGCTTCACACCCTAGCAAATCTGCAAATAGTGAATAACCCACACTATTCAGAATCGTAGCTCATTCCAAGAATCTTTTATGATATGAAAGTTCAGACAATGTTGAAACCACAAAGCATAGTTAGAAATTGAAAAAACTGCAAAACTAAAGCTCTTATACCACTTGATTGGAAAAAACATTACTTCTATCACATGAATAAGCATAAAATAATTAAGAAATTAAAAGGAACTAACAAAAAAAAGAAAAAACACAATAATTTAGGTGGAAAAGTCTAAACTAAAGAAAAATCAAGGATGTGAAAAATTATTAAAATTACAGAAAATTATCTCTCCAATCTCAATTACACAAAACACTTTGTTAATTATAGCTAGTACACCAACCTTAAAATTAATGTTTCAATTTGGATGAATAGAATACAAATTCATAGGCCCTTTTTTTACTGCATTTGGACCAAACTCCCTCTTCGTATCTTTTCGAGGTGAGACAACTTCCCCCTTTCATGTTTTGCCAAAAACCCAATACCATCCTCTGTACCAAGGCAAAAATCAACCGTAAAAAACTGTATGAGGTTAAAAAAAAAAGAAAAAGAAAAAGAAGAAATATATAGTACAAGAAAAAAGGTTAAAAATAAAAAAGAAAAAAGAGGAGGATTTGTGGAGGAGTGAATGTGTGGCATTGGGTTTACGATGAGTGGGTTGGAAGATTGTGCAATAATATCCAAAGTGACAGTGAAGAGGAAGCGACCTTAGACGCTGAAGCTTTGGGTATAATAATGGCTTTTTTATTACTTGGTTTGCACTTTAATGAAATGAAATCTACAGCTTTCTTTAATCTCACCTGGCTGTTATGTATATATATATATAATATTATATTATACATCCATTTCCATTCCTTACAGCTATAGATACCGTGTAAAGTTCATCACTGTTTGTCTACATGTGATGATGTAGACTGCTTGCCCCTTGATTCTCCTTGTCTCTCTCTCTCCCTATCTCTGCATTTTAGAAATAAAGATTCAATGATTTTTATAAATACCCATTTCCAATTCATGAATTAGGTCAAAATTGTTCGTGTAATTATTGATTCGCGGGAGTTCAGTGGGGTGAAAATAAAGAAAAAGGAAAAGGGTTTTCCTTGGAACGTCTGATCACAATTCACACCACTGCAAATTAACAAAATAATTAATAAATTGAGGTGGGATGTCTCCTGGGAGGTGAATAGTTAAATGGGATTGTTGTTTTGCTTGACCTTTATACTCCGTTTGGTGGTTTTTGCCGGGCCAGACAACCTACCAGTTGTTGCGGCTCTTTGAAGAGAGAGAAATTCTTTTTATACACACTCAAAAACTCAAAACTCAAAACTCCAAAACCTCAAGAGATGGCCACTGCTATGGAAATGGGATCTCAGTCTCGCCTGCCCAGCTGATTCACTAACACCATTTCCATTACTTACAACCGATTCAGTCACTCACCTTTCTGTCTCTTCCCCTTCAGGTACTTCCTACTGATCTTAATCAATCATCTATCCCTTATCCTCATTTCTTTTCTCTACTTTTAGTTCTAGATCTTTTCCATTCTCCCTGTTTTTCTCTATGATCCGGCTATTTTAGTTGACTTCTGGCCGTAGATGGGTTCCATCGGAAATGGGTCACTTTTGGATTCTTTATCTTCAGTCTCAATTGACCCTTTTCAGTTTTCACATTCTTATGCGCTCCTTCCACCTTCGTTTTACTTTGTTTCTTTGATTTCAACGCTATGGATTTCAACAATTTGAACATGGATCTGTTATCTCCTTACATTTCCAGATTTGAAGTCGTCAGAGAGATGTCATTCTAGTTGATGAACAATTAGAAAAATATATAATTTTGGGAATATATGATTTCAGTGTGGATAACCTCACGGGAGATGGAATTTTTTACCTAACTCGATCTAGGAGAATGTATTTGAAGCCAAGCTTTCTTTTGTTCTCAGAATTTTTGTTACAGCCTATTCTTTTCAGGAGTAAAAAGTCCAGATAGAATTGTAATGGGATCTTCTAGCAATTCACTATCTTTTCCATTACTTGTTATTTAGTTTTAATCACTCACTGTTTCTCCAATTCTTAATGCCCATGCTATTTCTTGCCATGGATGGAGCAGTTTATTGCTAAAGACTATATCATATTGATATATGAGATTCCTCAAGAAGTGGGTAAAACAGATAGATAGCGTTACCGTTTCTTTTCGTGATGTGGTAAACTTACTATTCTTCTTGTTTTCATTGTTAGAGATTGAAGAATAAAAAAATACAATATTTAGGAAACTCATTCCTTTTTTGTTGTTTTCATTTCTGACATCAAGCGTGACTATATTTTTATTTTATCAAGCAAGTGCAAGTGTAACACATTTGTAAATGTTGGACTTTGTATAGATCTTTTTGTTTGTTTGTTTTTTTGGGAAGAAAATATGCATCTTTACGGGGTGAACACTTTATCTATTATTATTTTGGTAAGATTTCATTTTTTCTTTTAATGAAATGAAGATTGAGTGCAATCTTTTCTTCTCAGATAATGTATGTGTGATGTTCTAAATTTATGGCCCGTGCTTGGGTTGTAGTAAAATGAATTTGTTCTCCGGGTCCTGTTTCTTATGCTACTGTTTTGTTCTTGCAGGAAACCGAGAGTTTGTCTTTTAATAGTTGCCCCGCCTTCACAGTTCCTTTTGGTACAGTTGAAATTCTTAGAACCAATTGATGGGTTCCAGATTCCCATCTCATCAACTTAGCAATGGCCTCTTTGTCTCGGGGAGGCCAGAGCAGCACAAAGAAAAGACTCCTACAATGAGTTCAGTAGCAATGCCATACACCGGTGGCGATATTAAGAAGTCTGGAGAGCTAGGGAAAATGTTCGATATTCCTATGGAGGGCTCTAAGTCAAGGAAGTCTGGGCCTCTCAATGTTGCTCCTTCAAGGACTGGATCTTTTGGAGGCGCTGCAACTCATTCAGGACCGATCATGCCAAATGCAGCCCCCCGGGCGGGTTATACCACCTCTGGTCCTATTGCTTCTGGCATGATATCTAATTCAACCTCATTCAAGAAGTCCACTTCTGGGCCACTAAACAAGCATGGAGAGCCTGTAAAGAAAGTATCTGGCCCTCAATCTGGTGGAGTGACGCGCCAAAATTCTGGACCTATTCCTCCAGTTCTTCCTGCTACTGGACTTATTACATCCGGTCCCATTTCTTCTGGTCCATTAAACTCATCTGGGGCCCCTAAAAAAACCTCTGGTCCTTTGGAACAAATGGGTTCAATCAAAATAAATGGCCCTTCAATAGCACAAAATCCAGCTGTGACTACCCTTAGCCCAGATGATGAATATTCTTTTGGAAAGAGCTTCCCAAAATTAATATTGTGGTCTGTGATTCTCATATTTGTGATGGGGCTCATTGCTGGTAGTTTTATTCTTGCAGCAGTTCACAATCCCGTTCTTCTCATTGTTATAGTTCTACTATTTGGAGTAGTTGCTGCATTATTTACCTGGAACACCTGTTACGGAAAGAGAGCTCTTATTGGTTTCATTTCTCAATATCCCGATGCTGAACTCAGAACTGCAAAAAATGGGCAATATGTCAAAGTTTCTGGGGTACGTAGCATAACAAAGTGCACTTTTATTGATAGTCGTGACAATAGCTATAGCTAATTTGGTAGCAGATCTTTTGTAAGGCGTTGGAAGTAATGAAATGCATTTAACTATTAATAATTATTATGCTTTTTTAGTGAACTGGTAAGACTTTGCATGCTTCCTGTTGAAATGTGAATTTGACCAGGGTGACAATATATTACAAATATCATCCAAACTGCCCTTGTTAATCTACTATGATTTTGATTTTATGATTCTTTGGTTCCAGTTCGTAAAATGGCATATATAATAATACTTAACAAACTCTGCAGGTGGTTACATGTGGTAATGTGCCTCTTGAGTCGTCCTTCCGTAAAGTTCCTAGATGTGTCTATACATCTACAAGTCTTTATGAGTATCGAGGGTGGGGTTCAAAACCAGCAAATCCTGGACACCGCCGATTCACATGGGGACTAAGATCATCGGAGGTAATTTTTATGTGCCTATTAGGTGCTGAAATACATTTGGTTGTTGACTTTTTGCGCATTAAGTGCCAGTCCTTTTTTGTCATCCAGTCTAAAATTGTAGTGTTTTATGTTCCTTCAGTTTGGCAATCTCTTTGATTCGCAAAAATATTGCAATGCGTTCCATTGTATTAATAGTTATCACAATCGTTACACATTGGTTGTGGTGGCTTTTAAGATGGTTGGGACATTGAAGCCCTGATGATCTGTGGCTGATGAATGTGGTTTTCCAACATTCCAATTGAAGGTGTTCAAAATCAACCAGAACTGATCTTTTGAAATTAGCAAAACCACGGAGTAAACTGCAAGTTGTTACACTAACACATGGATTTATTTAACTAGTTTGTTTGATGGAAAATCCATTTATTTTCATTAAGAACAAAAAGGGAAAAAAAATGGAGAACCATAAAATTAGAACAAGAAAATGGGCTCCAATTAGTAAGACTGGAAAAACCAAAGGATAACTACAAGAACTTTTTTTCCCCTTTTCTTTTAATGAGAAATAAAAGTGCAGCAGATATAACAAGTATGTTTTGGGCTTGCATCCGAGAAGGAGACAGGAATGGAGGTTAAGAGCAAGGAGTTTTCATAAAACTTACACGAACAGAAGTATGGCAAGATATGGAATTGCTGCATGATATTGGATCTTGCTTTGCTGGAGCATGACAGCGCTCACTTGCCTTGATATGAGGACATATTCTAACACAAAAATGATGCACCCTTTTGTTACTATTCCCCATTTTGGTACTAAGAGTACTTTTCATATCCCTATGAATAAGATAATACTATGATATTTCCTATGTTTGTGTTATCCCTATTTACTTTGTGTATTAGTGTCATAGGATTAATTAATTCTTAGTGTATAAAATGTATTCTCTCTGGATCTGTTTTTGTTGGTAATTAAATGATTGCTCAATAGCTTGGTTCATAATTAGACTTTGGGCGATTTCTTTTGAAAAGGTTTCAAGCAAGAAGGTACTTTTCGTTAGGCTTTTCATGTGATTAATTAGGATATAATGTAGGCCCTTCCGGATCAAGGAAGTCCTGGAATTGATAATCTTATTGAGTATAATATCTCTCTTCTGACCAAATGGGTTTGGAGATTTCCCGTTGGAAAGATTCCCTATGACATTGAACTATAGAAAATGAATATAGAGTTGCAAGGACTTCCTCAAGAATGCAAAAGCTGAAGAGTATGATTGCCAATGGGGTCTCCATCTCTGTGGATAATGGGTAAAATACCAGATTTGAGAGGATGTATGGAAAGGTATTCAGCTTTCCTCTCTCAATTCCCTCATCTTCATGCAATCTCTAACAGCACAGCAAGAACTTACCTATTGACAAAAGGCGTGGCTCGCCTCCAACCGTAAGCTTTGCAATAACCTTAATGGTCTAGAAACTCATGAATGGATTTCATTTCCCTCATGTATATTTTAGCTGATGTTCTCCTTAACACTAGAGAAGAAGACCATTGCCATTGAGTTTGGGAGTTGTGACAAAGACGGGACTTGTAAAATCCCTGTTTCTGACCTTTCTAATCTCAACTCTATCTAGTTAGAGTCTTCCCATCTGCAAATAATATATTATATATGTATTATGTTTATATATCCTTAAGTAAAAGGTGAAAATACCAGCCGTATTTTGGGACAAGGCTACTTCAGTTGATTCCTTTTGTAATAGTATTCATATTACGGCATCTTGACGGTATCATAGGAACGAGAAATTCTTTTGTAACTACAACCTCTCTCAGATCATATAGGATTGGAGAGCTCTTCTTTTTTAGTGTTCTTTTGGGAGAGGGACGTCTTGTCCCTTGTCCTTGGGCTGTTTTCTCCGTTTTTTTGTTTCTCCTTCTCAATGAAGTGTTTCTTATCCAAAAAATAATAATTAAAAGGTGAAAATCTTTCTTTGGAAGCTGCTGCTTAAAAATTTAGCAATGTTATAAATAATTATATGAATGATAATATCATGATTTTGTGAATCTGTTGTACAATTGAAATAAGATGTCTATCTATGAGTAAATTTATTTTGTGGTCATGTTTTTGTTCCATAGAGACACGTGGTCGACTTTTACATCTCTGATTTCCAATCTGGATTGAGAGCATTGGTTAAGACGGGTTATGGTGCTAGAGTGACCCCATATGTTGATGACTCTTTTGTTGTTGATGTCAATCCGTCAAACAAAGACTTATCTCCAGAGTTTGTCCGATGGCTTGGAAGGAGAAATCTTTCAAGTGATGATCGTGTAATGCGATTGCACGAAGGGTAAACAACTTTTTCTCTTCTCTTACAATTTAACACGTCTGATGTCTCAGTTTTATTCATTTCATTTGGTTTTTACATGTTGTTTGATTTTTAAAGATAGTCTCCACGAATAGCCTCAGAGCTCAGTAAATTCATGGTCGGACAGTTGCTTCCTTTCTTACTGCCGTATTCCAACAGTTTGTTCTGTTCACTTCCATAAGATTTCCCCCTGCTGTTGGTTTATTATTATTATTAGAAAACAGGGAGAAACTCTCATTAGAAAATGAAAAGATTGAGGAGTTACAAGAGGGATCTCCATCTGGTTAAACACATATTTAGAGGATAATTACTGAACTCTTTTGATTTGAGAGCCCAAAAGGACAAAAAGGCGATCAAGCAAAAACTGAAAACTCTCCTTTTGCTGTTCTCCGACTGAGATATATTCCATTAGCATCAATTGGCTGACTTGGTTCACGTGCGTTCACCTAATTATTATATCGTCCCCCGCATTTGTCTCAATGTGAGCTGGCTGGTCGGTCCAGCAATTTTAATTCTGTCCTCTCTGAATCGTTGATATATTGTGTCACGCTCCCTTCTACCCACTTGCTTTAGTTTCTTCTTCCACTCATTTGAAATAAATGCACCATTAACTGCCTAGGGAGAAAAATAGTGATACTTTCATTTCATTTCACTTTCTTAAATATATTAGTTCATCTTTTGAAGACTGTTACGACCTTGGGTTTCTGTTCTTATCTAGTTTCTTTTGTTGCTTTGACATGCTCATTTGAACACCAAAACTGGGAAACGTCTGCAACAGGGATGGTGTTCTCTTAACTTAAGATGGAACAGGAACGTTTGTTTATTCATCAGAAACTTAGCAGATTTATATTGTTATACTGGGTCTTTCTTTCTTTGACAAGCAACTGTCTGCAATGGTCTCGATTGCTTAAGTTCGACTTTTCCTGTAACGGTCGTTCAATAATAGATTATAATGTGAATTCGATGACCGAATAGGATTGAAAGCATTATTGTGATTATTAAGCATAGTGATGATTCAGAGTAGTTTGTTGTTGTTAAAATGAAATGCAGGTACATAAAGGAGGGTAGCACGGTTAGTGTGATGGGAGTCGTTCAGAGAAACGACAACGTGCTTATGATCGTCCCCCCGCCAGAACCGTTAACCACAGGATGCCAGTGGGCGAAATTCATTTTCCCAGCTAGTCTTGACGGTATCGTCCTCAGATGCGAGGACTCGTCAAAAATCGACGTCATTCCGGTGTAGTCATATGTGCATAAGAAACTTGTTGAGGTATTACGGTTTTTTGAATGATATTTTGTTGCACTGGAAACGTGCAAGTATTGGTGGTGGTGGTGCATCCACTGAACAACCAAAGAAGACATAAGCCATTTTTTCTGCTCCCCCACTTTCTCTTCTCTTGGCTTGATGTATAGTTTGTATTCATATTCCCTTTATATCTTTCTAGAGCTTGAAATTACATTGTTGGGTTTGTACTTTGTTTCCTTATGAAGAAGATAAACCTTAAATCTTGACCTGACTGGGTAGTTAAGTATTATTATATAAAGAAGTATATGCAAGTATTTTTTGTGTATGTGTGTGTCAAATATACAAGTATAACATGTCTTTTCCATTACATTTCGGGTGTGTTACGAAAAATACCATCTATGGGTATGTCAATCGAAATCTCGGAAGGGGGCGGTAGCTTTTTTTCTCGTTCTTAAAGTGATTCAAATTGAATGATAAATCAATTTCTTCGCCTCTTTGCCAATAAATCATAATTACTGTGGACATGTGAGATTACATTGACTTGTAAATGAGATTGGATTAAGTTCTGAATAATTGGGAATTTTGCTTTTGTTAACTAGAGAGATCTGAGCTATGAAAATTTTGTCTCACTTTTTCGTTATTTACTGAAAGACTAAAAATATATCTTCTTTCTTTCGACAGAAAGAGAATGAATGTTGGAGTGATCTTGATCCTTGTAGAGTGAAAACGGACTACACTGCATCCGCGTGAACCTCCTATTTAAATTAATTTTTAAGGCATCACTTGAACGTTGATACTTGTTCTATCATCACCTCTAAACACACCTTTATCGTAGAAATCGAGTTTCCTAAACAACTAAGATTATAGCTGTTTTTAAAAATATTTTGAATCCCAAACTTATTTTGAAAAGAATGCAGAAAGTGACGTGGGTGACTGTGGAAATAAAAGCTAATGCAGATTTGGAGGCATGTTGTTGTTGTAGGGTGGCATCAGCGTTCTCAAAGTTTACTTGTACGCCAAGCATGGCAATACAGATAACAACCATCGCAGTCCTATTTCAGAAAAACAAAACATGAAAACAAGGCGGTCTTTGGTGGATCCACGGGCGTAGCTCATAGAAATCCAAAGGTGGCCGGGGTCGATCATGTCGTATGAGTCAAAATTCAAAACGTAAAGTCAATATGAGCATAACTCAGCGGTAGTTGACATGTACTCCAACAAGTTAAAACGAGCTTCCGATCCGAAAATGAGATCCGACCAAGATCGATGAATTAAAAGAGTCACGATCTTGAGAGGACACGTTAAGTACAGTTTAAATCTACGATATTTTTGTGCAGAAAATAGGCTCGAGCGGGGACTTGTGATCTTCTTGTATTCAACCACTCAAATTAGAATCTTTCGTCAACTAATTTCACAACTCATTTTTCATAAACGTCCTTTGGAGGAAAATGTTCACTTTTACATTTACAGAAATCTTTTTTTACGATATTACGTTTCTTAATTTCGGCAATCTTCCACATTTATTATTTTATTTTTTATTGATACTTTCTATATATGTAAAATATTTCTACATTTATAAGAGATTTTAGATTACAAAATTATATTGTTTAATTATTACCCTTTTGTTTTTCGACTTGTTTTCCTTTTTCGATGTTTTTTCTCGACATTTTATTTTAATAGTATTATAAATATAAACTTCTCCCAAATATTCTTTCCCTATTTTAATTATCATCTTCCTTTCGTTATTTTATTATTATTATTTTTTCAACAGTAAGATAAATATATACTTTTCCAAATGTTATATAATATATATTTTGATTGTTATATAATAAACTAGAAGATTATATAAACCTTTCAATATACTATGTTATATATACTTTATATACTATTTTTGTCCAGGGTGACTGTCATTTATTTTCGGTTTTCAATTTTATTTTTATGCCTCTAAAAAATAGCCACCCCCAACCCCTCAACAACAGTCAAGCAACTGCAAACCCGTGATTGTGCAACCCACCACAAACGACAATTTCCAACAATCACGCGTTCTAAGATTTGAACAACAACAGTGGTGGTAACATCCCTCCACAATAGTGTGACTCCCTTGTGTTGATGTCCCTCCACAGTGTCAGTTCTACAACAATGACAACACCTATGGTGTGGTAGCCTCGTGAACTTGACGGTTGACGATGTCGTGCCTGATATGTAGCCCACACGCCAACCTGAAGCAACCCACAATATACTCTGCCAATGACAACCCCAACGATGATCTTCATAGTGATACGATATAACGTCGTGGCTCCCTTATCAAACACCTCCCCACCCGATTTGCAACCCCAGCACCTAGACTTGCAAACAACTGCAAAATCTAATAGCAAACACTCATTTCCAACGACGAACAACAGCCTTTTCAGTGAAAGAAAGAGATGAGATTAGATTATGGTTTCTTGGGTTTTTATCTTATAATTTGTTTATTTATTTATTAAAAAAGATATGAACATGGAGCTTGATAATTATCATATGTCCCTCCTTTATTTTTACAAATCTTTTTTTTTAGGAAAGACAAATCTATAACTTAAATAAATCACATTTATGTAATTAAGTTATGTTATTATTTATTGAGTCTACTGGCCAGGTAAGACGGGCTTGGTGATCCCTAGCCCACGACACCTTTTAGCACTCCTCAGCATTCATCATTTCTTTTTCAATCCATCAATCTTATTTTAAATTAAATAAATTCTACCATACTCAAAATTCGATACAACTGTAATGATTATATATATAATTAATTCTAATATACCCAACAATTCAATTTACCTCGTGAAAATCCTACTATATTGATCGAGTCGGACTTAAAAAAGTGTTTCGTTTATTTTCAAAGTATGTGATGCAACATTAACCTCTTAATTTTTCTCCAATTGGGGATGGAAAAAAATATTGTTACTTGTATTGATTTTTTCCAATAAAAAATAGTAAGCCGTCTCCCGCTGGTTCGTCTTTTAAAATGAATTTTTTGGATAATAAATTAAAGTCTAATAGTCGAGCATAGTTCAATAGTGATTAACCTGTACTAAAAAATTATTTATAAAATAAAAAAAATTTGCAACGGGTAGCAAAAATCTTGTATGTATTTCAAAATCTGTTCACCTATTTTTAAAATTTTCACTTATATCAATGGTATATCAGATACTCATGTAAGTATAGTATAAAGACACTCATATCAATAATATATTAAATGTATATCACATACATATTGTACAAATACTCATATCAACAGTATTTTAAATGTAAATCATATACATATTGCAAGTATATCAAACACTCATATCAGTAGTATATCAATTGTATATCACATACATATATTAATAATTAGATATATTACACATATATATCATTTGGGTAAAATTGTCATTTTAAAAGTAGACATTCATTTTTTTAAAGTATTATATTTGAAAAAACTAAATATAATTATTATTTTACTAATTTTATCAAATATTTTTGATATATTTGCAACAGATCCTAGAATAAAGTATAATATGAGTTTAAATGAAATAATATCAAATATGTGGAACTTGAAACCCTTTGAGAGGAAATTTCGACGTTCACTCCGAGAAATGATTGATATTTGTATTAAATAAGGGCTCTCCAAGCTTCAATCGTCTTTGTGAAAATTATTTTATTCCAACGAATTTTAGCCGAAGAAAAAAAAAAGAAGTAGAAAAAGGAAAAAGACTGTATTGAATAAAGATGATTAACAATAATTACAATATTAATTATTTCAGATTTTGGTTTGATTTTATTTTTTTTCTTCTTTTGAGAAGGCCACTGACAAAACCCCCACCGGTCGATGCGGTTCTCACTCTCAGGGTGAGGGAGAGCGACGGAAGTCAGATAGCGAGCGAGAGAGGTAGCATTTAGCAGTGTGTGTGAGACACATTCTTGGAGAGAGACACAGAGGAATTGAAATTTGAAACTGAGATTTCGATTGGTTTTGGAAGTATCTGTTTTTCAGACCCATTATGTCTCTTAATCTCTGGATTTCTGCTCTTACAACAACTGCTACTACTGCCATTTCCTACTGGTGAGTGCCAAAAATGTATTTTTCCCATTTCCCTATTCTCATTCTTCCATTTTCAGTTCATTTGTACTCTACTACTTTGCAACTTTCTATAGATCGTCTCCTTCCAACTTATGTTTGCTCAAATGGGGTCGTGGATGTGTGTTTTGGTTGGTTGTTCTTATGGGTTTCTGGTCACCTGCAAAATTGAGTACTCAATTTATCGTAATCTCCAGTCTTCTAAGTCTGAATCCTTTAAATGTCCTAGTGTTTGTGCAGATCCTAGCGCCTTATTTTGTATTCGTACGCAATCGTGATATTTAAATTTTGTCTCTATGCAAGTATATTTATCTTGAACAGTTGAACTTATGTAATTTCTTTTTTCCCATGCTCCTTTTACTTGGGAGGAGGGATTTTCACGTAGCAAACTATTGTTCCTAGGATTTTGTTTTTCTTCGTTTAAGCCTGTATCCATATCGTCTAGTTTCTTGCACATGTTCTTACTTCACGTCTCCAAACATTTTATTCATCATCACTTCTGCCTATCAGTTGATCTGGGGTTGCTGTCTTTGTTCGAATAAGGTTTGGAATCCCCCAGTTATTTTATCGATTTATTACTTGCTGTTTAAGTGAATTAGAAGATCATGATGCTTAATCATCTGCTTGTTGATACTATACTAAGCAAAGGTTCATGAAATAGGGTAAGCGTGGGTAAGAAGAGTGTGTATTTTTTTTCCTCCTCTCCATCAATTATTTTCATCACAGAGCCATTCGATGTCTGTTACTGTTTCTCTGAGGTTACTGGCTTTTGTAGTTGTTTTGTTCTCATCTGACAATCATCTGCTGATTATCCAGCTTTGGCTATCCATGTTTTATGTTCTGATATTCTTGATAAACAGTATCTCTGGCTCGTCGTCCAGATTTCAAGAAATACTTGTTTCAGGCATATTGTTATTTTATCATCAAATAGTGATTTAAATTGATTTGGAAATTTTGGTTTTCAGGAGAGACTTGAGTACATAAGTTGCTCATATTTCTGTTGTGTTAATCTTGATTTCTTGGGGATTATTTCGAAGAGGCAAGATGAGTTCCAGAATACCATCTCATCAGCTTAGCAATGGCCTTTATGTATCAGGGAGGCCTGAGCAGCCTAAGGAGAGAACTCCAACAATGAGCTCGGTAGCCATGCCCTATACTGGTGGAGATATTAAGAAATCAGGAGAGCTAGGTAAGATGTTTGATATTCCTATGGATGGCTCCAAGTCCAAGAAGTCAGGACCTATTACTGGTGGCTCCTTGAGGTCTGGATCTTTCGGAGGTGTTGCATCTCATTCTGGACCTATCATGCCTAATCCTACAGCTCGCACCATGTACACCACTTCAGGTTCTTTACCTTCTCAAGGCCTTTCTGGTTCAGCTTCACTAAAAAAATCAAATTCTGGACCTTTGAGCAAGCATGGGGAACCTGTAAAGAAGTTGTCCGGTCCACAGTCTGGTGGAGTAACGCCTACTGGTCGTCAAAACTCTGGGCCTCTTCCACCCGTACTACCTGCAACAGGTCTTATCACATCGGGACCCATTTCTTCAGGCCCTCTAAATTCTTCTGGAGCTCCACGGAAGGTTTCTGGTCCTTTAGAATCAATGGGATCCATGAAATTACAGGGTTCTGCAAGTGCTGCTCATAGTCACGCTGTGACTACTCTTACTCATGATGATGATTATTCGTTTGCAAAGAACTTCCCAAAGATAGTATTATGGTCATTAATTCTTCTATTTGTGATGGGCTTTATTGCTGGGGGCTTTATTCTTGGAGCTGTCCATAATGCAATCCTCCTTATTGTGGTTGTGGTTCTTTTTTGTGCTGTTTGTACACTTTTCATTTGGAATACTTACTGGGGAAGAAGAGCAATTATGGGTTTCATTGCTCGCTATCCAGATTCCGAACTTAGAACTGCAAAAAATGGACAATTTGTGAAGGTCTCTGGGGTAAGTATGTTTCTTCATATTGTAGGATGTTTTTGTTTTTCGAAGCCAACTGATGTAGATGGAATTGATGAGATCAAGAAGTGAACAGTTTTTCTCTTAGCCCGATCTTTGTTAACATTCAATTTCATTCTAATGCCTATTTTTCACTTTAAATCCTCGGTAATCCCGTGTTTGGTTTTCTTCTTTTATGATCATGTTGATTGTGTCAACCTTTTGTACTTCTGCACCTCTATCCAGAAATTAGAGTCGGTTATACTGTTTAATCAGCAAATGATTTCATTTGGGTAACCCAGATGTCTAGTCATATATTTGAGAATTCATGGGAAAAGAAGGGTTTAAAGGTCTAAAGAGCATAATTCCTGTTTTTTCTTTTATATTGCCTCATAGAGACAGTGCTGATTAGATAGAATTGTTAAATGTACTTTGTATCCCAGTTTATACTTCTACACAAAATTCAGCAGTAGACATACTTTGTCTCGTGACTTAATTACATATATGCGGAAACAACTTCATTGGACTTGGTCTAGTTAATTATTTTCAAAGTTCGCTTATAAATACATAGATTTGTTTTAAAGAAATTTCTTTTGGCTCCGTACATTAGGAAGGGAGAGATTTTTGGATATTGACATGTGATAGTTCTGAACTTCTGATGCATTCAATTGTTAGAGATGTCATATTCACATCCCTTGTCTAATATGTTGGAGACTGATTATTTACCTATTCCCATTGACTAAACCGTTTTTCATAAGAAATTTAATGTTGTAGTTTCATGAATGAAAAAAAATATAGAAAATTAATTCACTTTATTCATCTTGTTATCATTATATCTCTTTATTTGTAAATTGTAATTTGTTTTGGTCATGTTTTAAAGGTGGTTACCTGCGGTAACATGCCCCTTGAGTCGTCCTTCCAAAAAGTTCCAAGATGTGTATATACATCAACAAGTTTGTATGAGTATCGTGGGTGGAGTTCCAAAGCTGCCAATCCTACACATCGGCGTTTTACTTGGGGGCTCAGATCACTAGAAGTGAGTGACCAAAGACAATTTGTTGTTTAGGTGGATCAATGTTATTATCCTTTAAAGCTAATCTATTATCTCCTCTCCTGTTTTTGTTTGGGTTGAAAGGGATGGAGGGTGTTGAGAATTATGGCATATTGTGGTTCACTTTATCATGGTTTTTCTTTCAAATTTTTTAGTATTGACGTTCTTTTTCCAATAAAAGGTATGATTCACAAATTCAATTGGAGTTTGCATAGTGAATTAATACCGTAAAATATTGCCACACTAGATACCTAATAAATTTGCTGTTCTTAGATTAGAGTACCTCTAGTTCCACGTAGGTATTTCAATTCTCTGCAATTGTAACTCTTTAAATGTCCTTCAGCTACTTTGTTGCTTGATTTGAATGTTCAATTTTGTTATTGAGGTCATTTTACAGCTGGATTTTTGATGTTATTCACAGAGACATGTGGTTGACTTCTACATCTCTGATTTTCAATCTGGACTAAGAGCATTGGTTAAGACTGGTTATGGAGCTAGGGTGACTCCTTATGTTGATGATCCAATTGTTATTGATGTTAATCCAGTAAACGAAGAATTATCTCCAGACTTGGTCAGGTGGTTAGGAGAAAGAAATCTTTCAAGTGATGGTCGACTAATGCGTTTAAGTGAAGGGTAATAACTTATCTCTTTGACTCTTTGAAGTAATTCATGCCTACAGACTGTTTTTGGCTACTGATAAAGCACAGTAATAGGTATTTTGTCCAGAGTTCTTTTTCCCATTTATTATTTGGTCGAACTTGGCGAAATGCAGAAGCCAGAAATTTTTTCCCCTATTGGGATAAGAAACAGAAATGTAAAAGCCAGAACAAAAACAAAGTAACAGAAATGTAGAAGCCAGACAAAAGCAAGTGTCAAATATTTTAAGTTCTTTAGAGCCTCTAAAGGAATGGCTTGGGTCTCACATCTATTTGCAAATTAGGCTATTAAATTGTAGTAGTTAACTTTGGAGTCACTGTCACGGTTTGGTTCACTGTTTTACAACCTCTGATGATTGCTGGAACCAGCAATCTTTGGTCATCTATGTTCTTGTCCTATTATCCTACAAATAAAATTGTCATTTACATATTATTTGCTTAACTCTCCCTTGGAGAGTTCTTTATGTTAATTTGGAATTACAGGGTCTTTAGGACTAATGGTAGTACCATAATCAACACTCTATTTCACTAGTAAGTTTTGTCAATTAGGCCCCATGTAGAGTGCTTCTGGTGGATAATGTTTACTCACGTGGTTCTATCTTAGGGACATGGGGAACTGTTAAGCCAACACAGTAATAGTATGAATTGGATTTTCCAACGAATGCAAACTCCAATAGCCCCAAGGTCTCTTGGTCATATTGGTTTAGAGATCTCAAGTTCGAACCTTATAATAACCATCATGAGTGGCCTATTGGTCCAAAGGGGCTAGAGTTAATTAAGAGGGAATGTGTTCAAATCCCATGATATCCACCTGCTAGGAATTAGTAATTCTTATATGTTTCCCGACACCAAATATTGTAGGGTCAGACGGTTGTCCCATGAGATTAGTCGACGTGCGCGTAAGCTGGCCTGGACACTCACGGATATAAAAAAAAAAAAGTTCGAATCTTTTAATGAGCTTAATACCAAAAACCTTTGATGCCTCTTGGGTTTGGACCTTGGGGGTGGGCGTGAGTGCCCCTGTGTGTAGGGGAGCAAAGCTTCGGCTCCCAATTATTAAAAAAAAGAATATATGCAAACTAAACTAAGTACATTGTTCGTATTGGTACATAGAGAACTTATGAGCACCTTTCAATTTGTACATGATATTATTGAAGAACGCTATAACAGTTATGTGCTAAGTCTTATTATTTACTATATATGCAGGTATATCAAGGAGGGAAGTACTGTTAGTGTAATGGGAGTTGTTCAGAGAAACGAAAATGTGCTAATGATCGTCCCGCCACCTGATCCAATTGCAAGTGGGTGTGAATGGAGCAAATGTATTTTTCCAGCTAGTATCGAAGGTATTGTTTTGCAATGCGAAGACACGTCAAAGAACGATGTCATACCTGTTTAGTATCACGAACTCGTTTGACTCACTGAGAATCTTCTTTCTTCATTTAATATTGCTTTGGTGGTGGTAGAGGTAGGTAGGTTAGGACTGACGAATTGACAAGAGATTGCAGTTGGGGATGGGCTGGTGTTGTTTTTAGTTTTGGTGTATAGTGTTGGAGGGGTTTCTTTTCCATGTTTTTGGTGTTGGGAAAGGGTGAGAAGGCTTCCTGTAATAGGGAATGGGTTGGGTGCTGTGGAGAATTCAACTAGTTTAAGAAGATTGACTATTTAATGTTAAATAGAATGGAAGTGTTATGTGTTTTCTGTTGTTTGTAATATCTCACCAGTTAAGAAGCACGGACACTTCATTTTGGGTAACGTGTCCATATCGGACACTCCGATATTTATCGGAAACATATCGACCACTTGATAGTTTAATAGACGCATATCACACACTAGTTGTAAAAAGTGAATATGGATTCGATATTTGTTAGGCACAATATCGATCTTAAGTGTAATAAATAGACATCAATAGTAGTACAAGACAAAATAAGAAACTTTGAGAGTAAAATACATCGAGTTTATTTTTTATACATTAACATGCATAAGTTCATTGATCTTCAATTTCCTTGCTAAAAAAATTGTAAATTTTGGTAAACATGTCATTGTCGTGTTCGTGTCTTAGATTTTTAGAAAATAACGTGGTATCGTGTGAATTGGGTTTCACTACTTCACAACGATTTCAGTGACCGTCATGTTCTAGTTATATAGAAAGATAACTCGTCTTCACTTTCATTGACTGTGATTTCTACGTTATAAAAACTTTTTTTTTTTTTAGTTAACATTGAAATCACAAACTCTTTGTTAGAGATATATAGGAAAGCTACTTAAAAAGTATAGATAATTTATTTCGTGTGATATGTGATATCATATCAAATGGGGACTCGTTTTTTATTTTGCGGGAAGCAGTTATCGAATTAAATATTTGCATTTTGTTGCCCCCACCATCTATGAGGTTGGATTAGATTTAATACTTGTTTTATTTTTAAAGTGCTCTTTGATTCTCCAACTTTTATAAGCCTTTATTATGATCAACACTCATTTTCAAATTCATTATTAGCCAGTATATGGTGTATGTGCCAGCTTGAGCTAAGAGAGACATCTAACTCGCCAACAAAAAGGCCTTGAGTTCGGATGTTGGCTAATTTGGTTTATGGTTGAGATTACATAATGAAACATTAAATAGAAAAAATCGAATTTTCATAATTCGACATAAGATGATATAAATGCTCATGATTTAATTAAAAAAAGGACCGAGAATAAATTTGCATACTTAAAAAAGAAAAAAAGAATTACATGCTATCTCGAGTCGGGATAGCATACAATTCCAGTGTATTTTCTTTAATATTTGCGCATTTATTTTTAGTCATTAATTAAATTTTGAGCATTTTTTTCCATTCATAATTGATTTTTCAAATTAAAAAAATAGATTGTTTTTCATATTAGGTTTGTAATCGAAAAGAAAAAATCAAAAAGATCAACATTAACTCACTCATAATTTTCTTTCAGTTTCCAATTTTGACAGATTTTATCAAAATGAAGAAATTGAAAAAAAAAAAAAGTAAAGTGAGGGCGTTTTAGTCTTTCCACGAGCCCAAAAAGTGAAAAGAGGTAAAAAAGAAAAAAGGAAAAAATGTCGAGCAGTCACAAATAAATTTTTTAAGAAAATCGGTAAAAAATACAACTTAATTATGGTGTAAAAAATCTCAATCAACCGAAATGTGAAACGATTATTATGATGAATTCAATTCAAATGAAATAGAAGAGTCTCTTTACTTTCGGTGGGTTGAAGTTGGAGAGAGTAGCGATCTTTGATGATTGTGTCGATAAGCCGAAGAACTGAAGAGATTGTAAAAAATAATCTATGAAAACAAAGCAATTGCACTGTGATGTGATTGCGGACGAAAAGTTGAAAATGCCGCGACTTTAATGGTAATCTGCGTTCCAGATCTTCTGATTTCTTGAGACACAAAGAGAGATAGAGCCGCAGACAGATTCAAATCCTGTGTTTCACAAATCTTGTAAGCTGCTGTCACGTTTGCCCTTTGCACAATTGGGTTTCGATTACCACCGACGCGCATGAGAGATGGCAAGGTCGTCATCAAAACACGCATCACTGAAGTTGGTGCTGATATGCTTGGCGCTTCTTGGATTTGCTCTCATGGCCGACTTTATGTGGGCTTTCTCCTCACGCTTTTCTTATTCGTTATCTATTGCATCCAATTGGGCTCCTCCTTATCACTCCGACAGCAGCATAGCGGTGCCCAGAAAGTCAGACGATGGAAATCTCAGGAAGGTCAGCTTCTCTTGTCCAAGATTTCTGTCTTTCTGCACTTATAATTGATATTAATGAACAGTTCAAAGGTTTGGGATGTTGATTTGTGTATAGATTTGAAAAGCTTTCACTCTTGGGTGAAGGATTATCACTAGCCGTGGCGTTGGCATTGCCCTCTTTTTTGCCTATTTGGATTCTCCTCTGGCATAATGTCAACATTTCCCTGCTTCTTGAATTTGATATTACGCTATTTTGTTGCTTTAGAATTTGAGTAAATTCGTATGCACTCTGGTGGATTAAATCTTCACTGTAGTACATTGAACCAGTTTTATTCACTTTTTCACTGTAGACCATTTTGTATCCGTAATTTAGTTTGAAGTACATTGTCTTCATTGTTCCGTGAGAAAATGCTGGCAAGAAATGGAATTAGAACGTTTACTCTCCGGATAATATGAGAATTCTTGAGAACAAGTGTGGTCACCATGATGGTTGAATACTGAAGGTACCTGCAATAGTCTGGGTACTCCTCGGTTCACTTTTGTTTTATGAGATATAGGAAATGTGCACTAAATTTTCGTCGGATTTGACATTTCTTTTTCAGTAATCTTTAGTTCTTTCTATCTTTTATGGTACTTGCAGGGAGAGACTGCAAAAGGTAGTAAAGATGCTAATCCTGGGAGAACACTGTCAGCAACTTTTGCTGATCTGCCGGCCCCAGAGCTAACGTGGAAAAAGATGGCAACTGCTCCTGTGCCTCGCTTGGATGGTGCTGCAATACAGATCAGAAATCTTCTATACGTATTTGCTGGTTATGGCACCATTGATTATGTGAGAATCTTACCTAGTTTTTAACTTTTTAGTTATATTGAATTTGTGTGCAGGGAACAAAAGGTTTGCAGCTATGTTCTAGTTTTCTGGTCATTTCTTTGTGGCTACTCTGCTCATTGAGTTCCATTTATTATTTTAGAAATCATGAAATTATTTATTAGTTAAAAAGTTTCCTCTGGGTTTGGAAAAACCATTTGTTTCTTCATTTCCTTTTCCTTTTTCTGTTGATGTATGTGATCAAGAGAATTTTGATGGAGCAATATATCCATAAAAAAATCTGCAAAACTATTTTAAGGGCAAGTGTGGTGATTGTAACGGAACATGTTCAACCATCCTTATTGTTGTAACAACCTGCAAAATTGCTTAAAAATGACGTGGATTTCTCTGAATATATTGCAACCAGCTGCAATATTTTTTTTTTCTGTTGAAAAGCTCTGGTATAGGCAGTGTAATTATTGTCTAAAGAACTAGGGTTTTAGTTTCTAGCACTAGGCATATTTTGGCAGAATCGGAGATTATCTGTAAATTTAGCATGCTTGATCAGACTTAATGAGCTATGATATTTATTCCTACTTTTTTCTGATGACTAAGGAAGGATACATCACATAATGATATTTTCACCAATTAATTATCAAGAGGAAGATTTGGCAACCTTGGTCTGTTAATAGGCTCTTATTTTTGTTTCTCCTTTCTGCCAATGAATAATAGGTACATTCACATGTTGATGTGTATAATTTTACTGATAATACATGGGGAGGAAGATTTGACATGCCAAAGGAAATGGCACATTCACATTTGGGAATGGTGACCGATGGAAGGTACATTTATGTAGTCACAGGGCAATATGGTCCACAGTGCAGGGGGCCTACCGCTCATACGTTTGTGCTTGATACTGAGACAAAAAAATGGCGGGATATGCCCCCATTACCAGTCCCTAGGTATTTTGCTTTGTTAAGATACACACATGAATTTTATATTAGAAGTCACGTACCATTAAATAGTTTTAACATGATGAGATGATGAGATATTTACAGGTATGCACCAGCAACTCAACTTTGGAGAGGTAGACTTCATGTGATGGGTGGTAGCAAAGAAAACCGGCATACACCTGGTTTGGAGCATTGGAGTCTTGCCGTGAAGGATGGGAAAGTCTTAGAAAAGGAATGGAAAAATGAGATACCTATTCCTCGAGGAGGACCTCATAGGTCTGTGTGTTCTCTTTTGCCATAACTTGTAAACGCAATTTGATATACATTTCCAGTTTATTGGTGAAGATAAGTCTGCATGGATGACTTGTCCCTTGAGTAACCAGTTTTGGTTTTTTATTTTATGCATGCTTAGAGGAGTCTTTCTCTTAGACTTCAAAAAGATCAAACATTCTTTACTTCGTCTTGCACTCCCCACATGAATTTCTCTTGCATTTTGTTAATTATTTTTGGTCTATTGTAGGGCATGTGTTGTTGTTGATGATCGACTTTACGTTATTGGAGGTCAAGAAGGTGATTTTATGGCAAAACCTGGATCCCCCATTTTCAAATGCTCTCGCAGGAATGAGGTAAGCTCATTTTCTACATTTTTGTCCTTTAATTTTGTCGACATTTCTGCCTGTAGGACTATCATTCATTTGGTCATGTAGTTGAAAAGTGTGGCCCATTTCTTTTGTCAACTTCTCGTCCATGTTGCAAACCTTTTTCCCTTTTGTTAAATTTGATGAACTTGAGTTAAAAAACACGCTTGATCTGCTTTTTACATGTATGATTTGCCCGTGTATTTTGATATCTACATAGTACTTTAAGACTTCTCAATGTTGTTGAGATATCTACTACTCATACTCTCTAAGGCACTGAATTAGAATGCAAGAATGTTATAAATTTTGGTGTTCTCATGGCTGATTTAATCTTCTCGATTGAGTTAGGTGGTTTACAGTGATGTTTATATGCTGGATGATGATATGAAATGGAAAGTGCTGCCATCAATGCCAAAACCAGATTCCCATATTGAATTTGCTTGGGTGGTGGTTAACAATTCAATTGTTATTGTTGGCGGCACAACAGATAAGCATCCTCAAACCAAGAAGATGGTTCTCAATGGAGAAATATTCCAATTTAGCTTGGGTTTGCAGGTATCACTCATTTAATATACTCCTTATGCACTTTATAAATCAAAATACATTTTCACGGGGAGGCACATGCCGATCTTCTGTCTTAACCCAACACTAGTAACAGATGACATTAGACTATATGGAAACACATGGCATTTTAATATGTTCTATGGTTAAAGTTGAATGACACTATACTGTTGCTATCTATACGGGGGTTGCATGATACTTTTATTACAAGTTAATTCAATAATCTACATTAGACTGAGTTGATACGTCTGTAGAAGTACAAGAATTGGAAAAAGAAGAAGAAACAAATAGAAGTATAACGAGGAAACACGTTAAAAAATGGCGACACAAAAGGAGTAGAAATATAGTTCAGTCTTAGGTGGATGATTTACTTGAGCATTTCTGTGGGTTATGTTTATGTTTCCTCCCAGTGAAAGTAAAATTTGTGTTGCAGCAATGGTCAGTCATAGGGAAGCTTCCATTCCGTGTGAAAACCACATTGGTTGGATATTGGGATGGATGGCTGTACTTCACATCTGGACAACGAGATAAAGGACCGGACGATCCATCGCCAAAGAAGGTGATTGGTGAAATGTGGAGAACAAAATTAAAGCTGATCTTATGATGACCTTTTCAAATAGTATCACATTTTTTTTTGTCAACACGAGCTTAGCTCAAAGGTCATGAGTTCGAAAAATAGTATCACATTTTTTCCAGACCATTTCCGCAGCTTCGTTCTAGCTGTGTGTTTCTTGTAAAGCGTAGAGGTTGCTTGAGAAGCGTAGAGGTTGCTTGAGAAGAGAAGAAAGTTGCCAGTTCCCTCGTACTGTTAGATGACTAAATATTTTATTGCTCCTGCCTCCTGCCTGTCCTGCCTGTATACAGAAATAGAAACACAAACACTGTAGTTGTACAACTTCCATTTAGATGGGAATATGTCCCTTCTTTTATTTATATTCTTTTATAGAATAACACTCTATTACTTTGAATGGGAAGATGATGTTATTATTATATGTGGAGTTGATTGCTGGTAATTGATCACAAGAAAAGTCCAAATGCAAAAATACAAACATGAGCATGGAAGAAAGGTGGCTTAGGTGTACAGTCACTAAAACTAAAATAATGATCCGATTGCTTTAGAAATCGTCTGAATGTAATTTAGGAAAATTTAACAAGTTTTGTTTTTATTAAAATCTAAATTTGCCAATTTACCTCATTGCTAATTTAAGAAGATTTATATAGTTAAATACTTTTTTTTTTTTACTAGAGAGAAAATATGAATTAGCTAATTTCAAAATAAATATTTAGTTAATTTATTTTAAATAATTTTCAAAAGACAACATTTGCTCTGAAGGGCTCTCTACCATAATAAGGTATATATTTGTAGTTGATCAAATAAAAGAAAATACTAATAAATTATATAAATAACATAGGTTCCATAATAGAAGTCATTTCCGGCACTTTCTAAGTGGGTATGTTGTATGCCATTCTTGACTTTGACCAATTTACCCTATTTTTGTTCACATAATTACATTAGTTTGGAATTTCTTATTTAATTTACATTTTACTTTAAAGTCTATATTATTTTTGTAATTTATTTTTTAAATAAGAAAGATATATTAGGAAAGTGTATTTAAAACTGATTTTTGCTATATATATATAAGCGTTGGCATTGAAAGCTAACAAAACGAGTTACTGTTAGTGGCACGATGATTATTGATTGGGCGTTAAAATTTGATTTTGGTAAATTGCTTGACCCCCGCGTTGCCGTTTACCAACTTCAACCATTTTCTTCCGTCTTCTCAACTTCCAACTCACTCAGATTCCTCTCGCCTGAGCTTCCACTTCCACTTCCATGGCGAGGATCAGGAATCGGTCTTTACCCACCAGACGCTGCTTCTCCCATCTTTCCTATTTGCTCAACAGCCCCCGCCGATTGGTCTTCCTCTTTGGTGCCTTTCTTTGCGCCACTTTCGTCGTTTGGGATCGTCATGCTCTGCTCGCCGATCACCAGGTTGTTGTCTAATTGATCGTTCATCGGATTCATTTTGTTGATTTTCGACTTGTATTCTACATTCCACTTATTCGAGCTTTTTCCTACTTGCAGGAACAGGTTTCTAAATTAAACAGAGATCTAAGTCAATTGCAAAGTGCGGTAAGATGTTTGACAGCGCTTTAATTTCTTTGATTGAGATAAAACTTAGGTTGTGAGAAGTTTAAATGAACATTGCGACGTTTGATGATTTCGTATGGCAGACCGCTCAAAATTAAATTGTCTGGAAGCTAAAAGTTATTTTGTGGTAATATTTTTATTCCAATGACTGCATATGAAAATACTCGCCTGATGTTAAATTATACAGTTGGAAGATTTAAATATTAACCACGGCGGTTCCTTTGGAAAGAGAAGTTTGAGTTTCAAGAAGAAAGTTTCTATTACTAGTGATCCCCTCGATCGTCAGAGAAGTGAGAAAGTCAAGGAGGCTATGATTCATGCTTGGAGTTCATACGAAGCTTATGCATGGGGAAAAGATGAGCTTGAGGTATGACGTATGATTAATGTGAACAAGAATATTGCTCTCTGCTCACTAATCATTCTACGCATTTTAGGTCTAAATTGGGATTAGTGAGCTCTTATCATATAGAAGCGAATATACTAGTTGTAATGATTTCTCTTCCTTTTCTGTGGAGTACCAGCCACAGTCTATGACTGGTGTCGACAGCTTTGGTGGTCTTGGAGCAACCATAGTAGATTCTCTCGACACATTGTATATTATGGGTCTCCACCAGGAGTTTCAAAAAGCAAAACAGTGAGTCTACCAATTATTTCATTTCCACTTTTGTTAGATCAACTAGCTTTATTCCAGCAAAGTACAAAACTTGACAAGAAAAAGATGATTGCCTGAGAGTTTATAGAGGATCTTATATGGAAATAGATTTCATTTTATTAGGAGAAACAATCGTAAATTCAATTCGATGATTCCTACAGATTTATCTTATAAAATTTAGTTGTTTCTCTTTTAAAAATGGTATATTAATCCTTTTTCTTTCTTCATATTCGTTTTTCTAAATCTTGTCTGTGATATCTCTATATGTTTGTCTTTAGGCCAACTAGGTAGTTTCCATCTTTGGAATTTTACATCTTTAGATTTTTTGACAGGTGGGTTACAAATTCATTGGATTTCGACAAGGATCTCGAAGTCAGCGTTTTTGAAACAACAATAAGGTGGTCTCATTGGAGCTGACATGTTATATTCATTGTCTTGGAATGAAAAAAAAAATGATTCTAATTGTGTTGCCTTTCATGTTAGGGGAGAAAATAATATGCTACTCTTCTATTGTCTATAATTGATTTGATGCAAACCATTTTCTCACTCAGAGTCGTCGGTGGACTTCTTAGCGCATATGATCTATCTGATGACATAGTTTTTCTTAACAAGGCAAGAGATATAGCGGATAGATTGCTGCCAGCATGGGATTCACCTTCAGGGATTCCTTATAATTTCATTAATTTAGCTACTGGGAGGGCTCATAATCCTTCTTGGACAGGAGTAAGTTGTTTATTTCCACTGCAGCATTCAGCATCCTTAGAATTCTTTTGAGCCCAATCTTACGTTCTTAGGCTTTCTCCTTGCCTGCTGAGACACATCAAGCTATTTGCTTCTTTACTGATATCTGTGATAAATGTAATGACGACTTTGATTTTTGACCTGCGTTATTATAATCTTCGGCATGTCCTCTTTATAAAAGTTGTAATTTTCGATTGAAGAATAATGGAGAGAGATGGGTAGGAAAAATAAGATCACCATAAACACGTGGATTATGCAGTAAACTTCAAAAAGAGGAAAAAAGCCAAGGACTATCAAAATATATTACATGGAAATTTGTTACACTTACAGTTACATTCTCAGGAAGAACCATATTTTTTACCGAACAGCAGAGAAGTGTGGAGGAAAGACAAGTACTATAAAATAACACCATATAGCACAAGAGTTCATATTAAGGAACAAAAAAAAGAACTGCTAACATTCCTATCATAGATCCAAATCCCAAATACATAATAAACTCTATTAATTCTTTCCCGAATAAAAAAATTTCACCTTTTATTAACTCTAGAATTGCTACATTTCCATGTAAGCTTGCTGCACAAACTTTTTAATAATCACTGCTAAAGGTTGAAATTAAGTGACAGCTTGCAAAACTTAAAAGAGCAAGAAAAAGACTGCTGGAGAATTTTGATGAGATACAAACAAGGGTGGCTACCCCAAACATATAGCTATTTTAACTATTATTTTGTTCTTGAGCTACTGCTCTACTACAACAGCGTTGGGAGAGTTTTTGAGTTTGTTGTTTTCGCATTTCTACACATTGTGGTTGTATTAGATGTTATACAACTTTAGGAAACTCAGAACATGGAAAATATTTTCTTCCTTTTTTTAGAGTTATGATCCTCTAGATAACTGCCCATTTTGAATTGACCTTGTAATTATCTTTTACCCAGGGCAAGAGTGTTCTTGCAGATTCTGGTACAGAGCAGCTGGAGTTTATAGCTCTATCTCAAAGGACAGGAGACTTAAAGTATCAGCAGAAGGTTGTAGCCTGTTGGAATTCGTTTATTTACCTTAGTATCGAAGTTGTGCACACTCACTTGCAGAGAAACCAGGCATTGCCTTTCTCTGTTTTCAGGGTCAGGGTGGTTATTATTATTATGTGCTCTTCTAGAGGTGCACCTTGACACTCACCTAAACACTGGTCGCACTTAAATGCACTTTCAGTGCCTTATATGGCAAGCGAGCAACAAGCTATTTCTTTTTGATGTCCTAATTTTGTTTTTCAACAAGGGAGAGCAAATCTATCACTTAATTTTTCTGTTCTTTTGCCTTTTTCTATGGCAGGTCTAAACATATGAGTTTGATAACTCATGTGCTTAAAAGAGATATGTTTGGGGTATATTACATGTATTTTATTTGTACCTTCGGGTATATTATATTAATTTTTATGCAGATATCTTTCACTTAATCTAAAATTGTGTCTTACCCCTTATAAAACAGTGGTTCTATGGCATATACAATATACATGATCAACAAGGGCTGAGGTCGATTATAGCCATTAATGAATAAAGTTATTTTGAATTATATTGGCCAGTGGCATAATGATGACAGCCTCTGTAACATTTTAGGTGGAAAACGTCATAGCACAGATAAACAAAAATTTCCCAGCAGATGGTTTACTTCCCATTTTTATTGATCCCGAGGTTGGAAAAGCATTATCTGGCACAATCACCTTTGGTGCCATGGGTGATAGGTATTTGATTAAGAATTTTTGAGTTTGAAGAATTGAACTTGCATTTAACCTATTCATATAGATTGATCATATTTTCGATTTCTATGAGGTAGTTTTGATTGTGTCAAAAATTTTGTTCCAGTTTTTACGAATACTTACTCAAGGTCTGGCTACAAGGAAACAGAACTTCAGCTGTAAAACACTACAGGTAAGAAAGCACTTTTCCTTATGCTGTAACAGCGTATTCTTTGTAATTTCTACTTAAATCTGTGATGGGGGCCTGAGCCTGTCTTTTGATTGTGAAAAGGAACCAAAATTAATAATAACAGTATTTAATTGTTCCTTCTGTATTTACCTTTGATGTAAAACTATTTTCTTGTCAAGATCAAGCTCTTTTCTTGGAATTTGAATGCAGGGAAATGTGGGAGACTTCAATGAAAGGCCTTCTGAGCTTGATCAGGAAAACAACACCATCTTCTTTCACATATATTTGTGAGWAGGATGGAAATTCCCTGATTGACAAGGTGAATTATGGTAACTTTTTGCTAGTTACTCTTTATTTACTAATCTGAATTTTCTTCCAGATGTTCTCGTGGTCTTATGTTTTCCAATACTGAAATAATCCTGTGTAGATGGACGAATTGGCATGCTTTGCACCAGGAATGGTGGCTTTAGGATCATTTGGGTATGGTCCTGAAGATGCCCAAAAATTTTTATCCCTTGCAGAAGAGGTACTTTTAAATTTTAATGTCTAAAACTAGTCAATTTTATTCTCATTGTTCACGGCCTCTCTAATTCCAATTGTCTAAAAGTTGAGCTACCAGAATATACTGTCCAAGATCAATGTAGAGTATAACACCGTCCCATTAAAAGACTGTCTTGAGTCTTGACAGATTCATTCAATCATCAACTGGTGCAGTTATGCTCTAAATTAAGGAAAACAAATTAAGGAGTAATCCATGTTAGATCATGTCATCCCTTGCCTGTGCTTTTGTATATAACTGCGAACCTGTTCTGAGCTCAAGGCCATTTATACTTCAATCGACAAAGATTGGGTTGACTGGTTTACAGATATAGTAAATATATTGAAGTCTTCTTATTGCCTAATTTTTTGATGTAAAAGTATCATCCGTTTCTTGGGCACTATTCTGAAACTTTATGAAATTAATTCGCTTTGCAGCTTGCTAGGACATGCTATAATTTCTACCAGACAACGCCTACAAAGTTGGCTGGAGAGAACTATGTCTTTCGCCCTGCGACGGTACATTTACTGAACTATATAGAGAGAATAATTTGGTGTTGAAGTCGCTTGAAAGGAAGAGGTTTCAACTCATGAACGAACACTACTTTCAGGACATGACTGTTGGCACGTCATGGAATATATTGAGACCAGAGACAGTTGAATCGCTCTTTTACCTCTGGCGTCTCACTGGTAACAACACGTACAAAGAGTGGGGTTGGAATATATTTCAAGCATTTGAAAAGAACTGTCGCATAGAGTCGGGATATGTCGGACTGAAAGATGTAAGCATTTCTACCATAACTGAATTATAAATAATTGCATCATAAGCATTAGTCTATATTGGTAAGATGCTCCGACTAGAACCATCTCATTTAGTTGTGTTAGATCACAAGTTCATGTCAAGGTCAGTGAGTAGATCCTAATAGAAAGGTTGTGAACATTTTTCCAGTTTTAAACTGCAAATTAAACAGGTCTTCTGTCTCCATCTGCTGCTAACAATGCCACTCTCGGTTTGATTTTGTGATCACTTTCTTATAGGTTAACACCGGTGTGAAAGACAACAAGATGCAAAGCTTCTTTCTTGCAGAGACCCTCAAATATCTTTACCTGTTGTTCTCTCCACCCTCCGTTATACCGTTAGATCAGTGGGTATTCAATACAGAGGCCCACCCTCTAAGAATGAAGACCCGACTCGACAAGGAAGCTTCCGAAAGACAGTATCACAAAAACATGCCTAAAGTTAAGTTGTACGGCAGAAAGGTTGATCCAAGTGGAACTAATTTTACATCAATTTTAACTATGTAAGCCAGTCTGCCAAGTTCGAGGCGACGGGGACGTTGAGCATCTAGTTCTTTGATAAAGGTATTAGAGGTTACCTTATTGGCAAGCAACTATTAACATGCTTGTAGATTGGTGTGTTTGATAGTAACTTATATGCAATGCTGTATAGGTTATTGGCCAAGACAGAACAGTTGTTTGTAGCGTTTGAACATGTGATATAGCTAGCAGGCATGCATGGCCCAGTAAAGTTTTGGAAGAATGGTTTGTGTTTGTGTTTGTGGTTTGTTTAGCTTCATATAACCCCTCTTGTGAACAAGTTCTTCAAATTGGGGTACCTGAAAAAGTTTCGCATTAATATTTCAATCAGTCTATAACGGATCAGGAAGAAAGTTTATAACGAAATAAAATGAATGCTCTGCTTTAAGATATCTACAATTCTTTTGGAAAAGTAATCCAACTGTAGGACTATGTTTTGTGATTTTACTACAATTGTCGTCTCTTTTATGAACTTAAGTTGCCATTTTTCTTTAAATCACAAGTGGCAATTACCCACATACTATATAAAAATATATATATTAATTTTTACTTTGAATTCAATTTGTTTAGTCCAGACAATTAATTCTGCTCATATTGATCAACAGTATAAGTCAAAAATAAGAAAATAAAGGCAGAAAACTTACTGTTCAGCTCACCTAGATAATCTCCCAGCCTGAAAACAAGGTCACATCACATTGTACTGCACTTTACCTCTCTCTCTCTCTCTCTCTCTCTCTCTCTCTCTCTCTCTCTCTCTCTCTCTCTATATATATATATATATATATATTATATAAGAACAAAAAGTCAGAGTTTTGATCTATAAGTGGGGGAGGTTCTTTAGGATCATATAACACTTTTTTTCTTTTCCTTATATAAATCTTCTAGAACCTCATCAAATTTTAAAGACGAAAAAGCAGTTTTCAAAACACGATATTAATTTTTTTTTAAGTTGAATTTTAGTTAAAATATTGAATTTTTATGCAGAAATGCATGCAAACTTATATATGTCTCATGCCTCGTCGTCTAAAATATTCTCTTTCCATAAAAGTAATTAGCCGGAGAGATTAAACTCAATCTTCTTTTGAGTTATTTAACGCAATTTAGAATCCATTTGATAACATTCTTGTTTTTGTTTCTTTATTTTTAAATGAAGAAAATTGTATTGCATGGTTTCAATCTCAAATAATTCAAATATGATAAAATAATATTTTTATTTATATTTTGAAACACATTGGAAACGGGAACAAGAAAAGAGAATCGTATTTTGGTTGTTTCCAAAATTTCTATACAATTGTAGAATGTTTCCCAAAACACGAGAAACAAGAAACAAAATTAGTTATAAAATACTTAGATTTTTTTAAGAAAATTAAAAACTAGAAACAAGAAACGAAAAGGTTACCGGCCTTAGTTTCCTTTTTGTCAATTTTTTCTCCAACAGTAATTTATACATAATAGAGAAAAAAGGTTCTCTCTTTACACATATTAGGAAGTGGGAAAAGATAGAGAAACGACAAATGTTCTTACTTTATTTCAAGCACAAAAATGGCAAATATGTATTCCTTAAGTGTGTACCCCTAAATCCTAACCATTTGAACATAGCTCAACAGGTAAAGATACATATTTCTAACATTATAAGTTCAAATTTTCATTCCTAGTGTTGTATTAAAAAACTCAAAACCCAACGCAAACACAGTACAATGGACTTAAATAAGGAGATAATAAATAAGCTTAACTATAAAAATAGAAAAACAAAAACAAAAATGCCATCAAAGGAAAGGAAACTGCCCTGCATAATTTTATTTCACCAACAACATTCATGATCATGATTCATGAAAGAGAACTAAATCAAGTAATTGACGAAACTAAAAGTATTTGAGAGTGATTATTATTTTTCTTAAGAAGTGGGTTGGGAGGGTGTCTTTTTAGTACAACAAATTGAGGTATGAGTATTCAAACGAGTAGATGTCAATTACTACTAAGTTATATTCCCGTTCATGTGGGTCAAAGAGATTCGAAGCACCGTAAATGAAAAATAAAAATAAAATGGAGTAGAAATTTGATACATTAAGATGGTACACAGATCAGGCATTTGGTGGAACTGGATATGTAGAAAGAGAGCGAGGCAGGATTGGAATGGCAAAAGAAGTCTCCAACAGAACCCTATGTTGATATGACTCGGGATATGCTACAGCTGCTTGTGCTTCTATTACATCTTTCAGCACCTTTCTGTACCATTTCTTCATCTTCTTCACCATGGCTAAGCATCTAAGTTTCACCCATCTCACTCTTATCTTCCTCACCATCCTACCAAGCCGCCCCGGCCCCGACCCTGACCCCGGTCCCCCGAGCCTCGCCACCGGCATTCGTCGCCTCCGACGAAACTGGATCCCCCGACGTGCCGCGCACCGCAGCCCGGGGCCATTTTCTGTCTCATAACCTTCACCCATCTGGCTTTGACAGTGAAAGAGATGGAAGAGATTTATGTATGAGATAGAGAGGCTGATGAACTCAAATTTTGCATATAACATGTGCACTGCAGTTGCTAGGCTGTTTGCTATATAAATATAAACATCATAATTTACAATATCATATACATATTCATATATATGGCCTTTCATCTGGGTTACTGTATCTTTTTGTTTTTAGTAAGAGCCAAGTTTTGATGTCGCCCCTTTTGGTCTTCTAATCATATTGGATCAGGGGTATTTTAGTCATATTTGATGAGAGGTCTCAGGTTCGAACCTTATGAGAAAGCTTAATAAAAAATTCTTGATGTCTCACAGGTTGATACGGGGGATTAAAGCTTTGCCTTCGAAGAAAAGAATACACGTCAATTACCACTAAACTATATTCATATTCGCAAACAGGACCAACTTTAATCTATGTAAGTCGTTTTTTATATATATTATTGTTTATGCATGGAACCTTATTTTAACTTATTCTTTATTTTTCAACTTTTATTTTCTAATTGATGTTGATCGGTATGCATGTCAAGTGGACCTTAGTGGAAGAATCAAATGGTAGATCATTATAAAAAATATTGGAAGAAAAAAGTTTTGATTTAAATTGTAGGTCCATGAGTTAGTCGAGAGTTGGATCACATGAATTACCTACATATTATACTCCAACTTAACTTTGAATTTTGAAGTCCATTCAGATTGGTTTTAAATTCTACTGGAACTTGGTAATTGAAACCTATTTTTATTCGAATAAAAAAAAAAGATAAGAAACAAAAAACAGTTACCGAACATCTGTTTTAAAAAGAAAAATAATTTAAAAGAAATAAGAAAAAGAGAAAAGAAAAAACCTTAATTATCAACAATAATGAAGGGATAAGATAAAGAATGAATTAATTTGAGACTTAGAACATCGTTAAGTAATTACTAATACAATATAAAAAAAAAAGGTTGAATTATTGAGGTTGGATGGAACTTTTGAGTGACCCACATGGTGATGTGATGCAACATATATAATATAATTCCCAATTTCCTTTATAAAAAATTTATGGGAATATATTATGTCATAAGGGCATACTTGGAAATAACTTTGTTGTCTCTTTCTTTCTTCTCATATATATATATATATAATATATATATTTTTTATATTTTTTTTTCTTCCTTGGAGAATACTCTCTCTTCTCTTAATTAGCTCAGTTGTGAACAAATCTGATTTCAAATCTCATGTTCTTAGCATAAAACAAAGGGCTTGGCTTGGAGAGATGACAATGGTTTGTTTAGCATAATTGGAAGATTGGGAAAGATTGTAATGCACAACATATTTTGTTTTATATTCTTTTTGTCGTAAACAATTTTGTAATTTTTATAGCAACCATCCATTTAGGTCAAATAAATGTTCAATTTAAGGCATCCAACTCTTTGAATTAAAGATCACATGATCTATTTTCTAACTCAACCTTTTCTTTTATACATGTTGAAAATGAGTAAAATGTGTTTGATTATTCCTATTGGAAATATAGAATCGAAAGATCTTGCAGAACAAAAAATAATACTAAGTAGCGAAAAGCGTCTTGATGTTGCTATGGAAGACCATGACGCTGGTTTGAGGCATAACTTCACATTTGGAGCGTCATGTGGCTGGTTTGGAGGACCATGACACTCGCACAAGTTAAAAAGGTGGAGAAAAAAAGTTTTTGATTTTTTGTTTCTTTTAAACTTAGGTAAGTTGGTAGTTGGATATTATAATTAGAGGAAAAAGTCAGCAGATCTTTCCTTCCATGCAAGGGTCGTATATATATTGTTTGAGATTTTGGGAGAGCTTTGCGTATAGTGATTCATGAGTCTTTTATTTTAGAGAATGGTGAGAGAAATCATTCTTGAGTAATTGCAAACTCGAGTACTATTTCTCTTTGACATTTTAGTGAAACTTGTAATAGTAGTTGAGAATTATTACGATTCATTATTTTTCTGGTTGCTGGCAAGTTTTAAGTTGGTTTATCTATTGTTTTTACATGTTGAGCGCCAGAGAATTTGCCACTCCGTTGCATATTCGAGAGGTAACAGTTAGCCCTTCAAATTTCTTTCAATACAATAGTTATAGAACAAGTCGTTCGTTTTATGGGATAACTTCGGCCTCGAGCTCGAGGTTTTCAACACAGCATTGATTTCTGTTGTGATCAATCAGAGGTTGGATTTCATTCTCATAATTATCTTTTTTATTAACTCAGATAATGAACGAGGGAAAGAGTCAATTTCTGTCCAAATTCCTTCCAAAGCTGACCTAAATTTATTCTCCCTTTGAATTATTTGATGGGGATCGAAAAAAGGAGAATAAAAGCATCCACATATCACTTTAGGGTATTCTCAAAATTGACCTAATAAATTTTACGATTCGGACAACACCATATAGAGTATATTAATTCTGTGTCCCTCATTTATATTTAGGTTGTTGATTTTTTTTAGATAATTTTTTTAGTTTAAACTTGAGACGAGTTTGAGTTAGAACAATTAAAAAAAAAGTCAATGTCAAACTTGAAATTATATTTACCTTATTTTTATATTATATTGTGCTCCCTGAATGAAATTCCTAGATCTGTCACTCCTCTACATCACTGGATTTCATAGACTTGAAACTAATTTTTTTAATTTTAAATTTATAATATTTGTTATAATTTTTTAAACAAAACTTATATATCAAAGAGAGAGGGCCAAACAGTCACAAGTGACCAGACAAATTTTAGAAATCAAAAGCACAAGCCCATAAAGAAGTTTTTTTGTAATGCACTCTAATCAATTTATATAATATATGATATAGAAGAATCTCACCTCAATAATTTGGCCATTTGCATATTATAAAAGATATTAAAACCCAACCACATTTAATTCCATGGAAAAAAAAGTGATCAATTTGGAGCTTAAAAATGGAATACCTCGGCCCAACTTTTTTTTATGTGGAGGTAGGAGATTCAAACTCGCGATCTTTTGGTGGAAGATAGATTTCTTAATACAACTTTGTTACCAGATCCAAGTTACATATTCTTCTAGCTTTGCATATTAACCATTACTTTGGATACAAAATTTTTGTATTTGCAAAGGGAATGCAAATAAAGTCTCACATTGGTTAGGGAATAGAGCCTAATTATTTATGGTATATAGATGATGATAATTATCTCTAGGTATGGGACGTTTTGGTGAAACGAAGAGCAAAGAAGTGAATGTTATGTCTAAAGCGAATAACATCATACAATTGTAGAGATACTGTTGTCTTTAACAAAAATCTCATTTATGATCAATTGCAATAGTAATAACGTTGATCATATATGTCCTCAAGACGTAGATATCTCTACTATTTCTTTTTATGTAGACTTTAACCGATACACTAAACTAGTGAAGTTTTTGCGAAAAAGTAAAGAATTTTGTGAGATATAATTTGACAGGATTAGATTTTCCTCATCTTTCCACAATGAGAAACAAGCAAAAATGTAAGTTTGAGATTCTAGATGGATGCCACTTGTCAAAAGAAAAATTTTATTTAGTAAGTATGGATTATTATTATTATGATTATTAAATGATAGTATGAGATTATTTACTTTAGAGATAAGCTTACCTGATTTGATTTGATTGTTGGTTTCTTATTTTAAAACAAATCCTTATACTTTATTGTATATTTAAAAAATTTTTGGATCCAAACAAATATATGACTACATCTATCATTTTAATTCATAGCTACTCTACTAACATATTTTATCGATTAATAACATTGATTGTCTATGCAGACCCATACTTTTTAGGAAAATACTTGACTGGCCAAATCTTGTTTTCGCTACCATTGAAAATTTGACCATTCATCAATTTTTATAAAAAAATCTCAGTTTTTGTATTTCTCTCTTTTAGTTGTTAAACATTTCATAGGGATAAGGACAAAATTGCTCCTCAAAAGTAAGGAGCAAGTATTTTTCTATTTTTTTTATTAGGAGGGGAGAAAAAAAAAAAGAAAGACGAAAAAAGCTTGTCGCTTTTAAATTACCTTGTCATTAAACCATGACTTGTTATGGATGGACCTGATGGGGTATCACAGATCAAGTTGAATCACTCGTTTGTTTTCTTTCTAGTGAATGAACTTGAATTGCTTTGACAAATGACAATAATGGTGATTGATTTGTGCAATATAATTTTTGTGAGTCACTAGTTCTTTAATTATTTTGTCATTAATTGCTTACTTGATTGGAGAATGACCTTGATGGGGTGCCACACATCAAGTTGTGAATCACTCTTTTAATTTTTCTATGCAATAATTTTTTTTTAGTACTTGTATGTAATAATTGAGAAATGATAATGATAAATTTTATATTTTTATAACTTATTATGTACTCAAATTTGAAATTTATAGCTTCAAATATTCTATATTTATTCTTAATTATTTGCATAAAAAAGTTTCCTTCAATTTATTGCTAAACTTTTCTATTGCATTTAATAGAATTATTACATACCACCAATATACAATATACTTTTGCGTTAAGCAATGTCTATCAAGTCTATAGAGTAATACAAGATTTGAGATCTTTTTTAAAAAAAAATCAAGATTAAATTATGGGAAAAAATAAAATCTAAAAAGATGTACTAAGGGTGTATTTGGGAGTGGCTAAAATCACTTTTATTACGGTAAAAATCACTTCTCTTTTCATTATGTTTGAAAAATTAAAAAAAAAATTGATTTTATGAAAGTTTAAAATTACTTTAGATTAATTTTTAAGGTATCACTAAATAGTGATTTTAAAAAATCAATTATATTTAGGCGTGTTTGGGAGTGATGGTGGTTTTGAAAAAATAGATTTAAGTATAAATTGATTTTCCAAAATCACCCACCAAGTGAAACTTTTTTTTTAGTACAACATTTAGGAGTGGAAGATCGAACTCACCACCTCTTGGTTGGAGATACCTTAAAATCAATTTAAAGTAATTTTAAGCTTTTCGTGAAAGRAAGTGATTTTAATAACAACAAAAGCAGTTTGGGCAAAGCATATCAAGATTGATAGATTACATCTCAAAATCAATTGGGAAAAAAATAGGAGTAGTCATGTCTATTATAAATCTTTGTTAGATATCTTATATTTTCAATATGAGGTCCTTAACATATCCATCATGGTTTGTGGCTTATCGATCTTTACTGAATCCCATTTTTTTGGACCGGACTAGTTGCAGTCAAAAGATTATAAATGATCAGTAATTTCAATGGGTAGAATAACCCTTCCCAACTAACTACCACAAATCCGCTTTTAATCGATATATTTGACAAATTAAAAAATTAATTCTGAAAGTTTGAAATTACTCTAAATTAATTTTTAAAGTATCAATTATGCTTAAATCTATATTTTCAAAATCAATTATTTTTCCGGTGACTCCCAAACCCTCCCTAAATCTGTTTTAATTACATTACCACTCAAAAGGGGTGAAAAATGAAGGATCAAGTTTGGTCTGTTCATGAAGGCACATTGATGATTGAACACTCACCAACTAATAATCCTGCACACCTTTAATTTTATTAAATCCATCTAACCTAGTTTCCAAACTCTCAATGATCGATTCTGTTAGGTCACCAATTTCAACAAATCCCCCTTTTTCATCGGATTCAATTTTCCCTTCTCAAAATCTCTCGGAAAATAAACCCAAATCGAGAACAAAATGGCAGAGATCAAGATGTAGCAAATTTAATTAAGCCTTATATTTGACATTGAGCATCATCAATTATTCCTAATCATCGGTTTCTCGGGAAAATTTTTGAAGTATTTTCGTATATGATTTTGTAAATCTCAACCAGAGAGAGAAGTGAAAGAGGTGCGGGATGGAGCGAGAGAGCGGCGGCGGATTGTCGGAGAGTCCAGACTGCGGCGGAGGATCTGCGTCATCGCCGCTATGAGATGGGGCGTCGGGTCCGGCGGCGGTCCGGCGGCGGCGAATTTGCTGCGGAAGCTCATGTGGTTGGCCATGGCTTGGGCGGTGGTGATAAGTTGGCCGGACTTGAGAATCTCGTCTTGAACCGCCTCCGAGCAGAGACCGCAGATCCATTTTCCGGCGAATCGGCGGCGGATCCGCTCGATGTAGCCCGCCGTGCACTCCTCCGTCAGCCCACAGCACTCGCATTTCGCCAATTCAACTTCCATTTTCCCGATTACCGTGATCGTAACACCTTAATTTCCAAGAACTAGACCATAAGTTTCAGAGAAAATTGAAATTGCTCTGTTTTGTTCTGTTCTGCGAAAACGAAAACAATTATTGAGATTGGGAATTCATAAGGCGATCCATAAAATTTCAGAAACTTCAGAATGAAATCAGAATAGAAAGATTACCTTGGATTTAGGTTTTTTTGAAGTAATTCTGTGTGTTTTATCTTTCCTTTTTACATTCTCCTTCTTCACCAGAATCTTTGTCTGCAACTCTAATACGAGACGTCAAAAACATTTCAAAATAGAGACGAAAGAACAAAATAATTAAGAACTTTGACAAATTTTTAGTTTCTCTCTCTCTCTCTCTGCAGAGGAAATAATTTGACAAAATTTGAGAGAGAAAAGCCAGGGCAATGATTGATGGTTTTAAAGGGGGTGAACTGCAGTGTAATCCTTGTTGGCATTGCTGTCAGTGAATCCTAGCCGTTGATTGCTGCATTTGCCAGCAAGGAACAATTGATCTGCCCATTATATGCTACTTCATTAAACTTACCAATTTCAACTCTAAATTAATCAAATGATATTCAACAAAGAACTTGACTCGCCAATTTGGCGACCCGCAAACAACATATAAAGATACGTCGACAGTTACTTCATTATTCTAATAATCTATTAAATGTAGGAATCAAAATGATTATTTTATTGAATGTTTGGGATTGAAGTCTACCTTTTTCCAAAATTCAAGAAATAGCATAGGATCTAGAAGTTATTTTAATTATTAAACATAAAAACATAATTATCATTTTATAGTTCAACCAATATGTGGTGGGGAATTGGATTTTAAACCTCAAGAAAGATAGTCAACATGATTGCAGCTTTAAAAAAAAACAAAAAACAAGACTTTTCTACTCAATTATAGTATGAATTGGCTGCCGACCTGAGCCTAACCCGACTAGTAAGACACTAATCTCTGATCAAAAGGTCGTGAGTTCGAATCCACACCTCCAACATGTTGTACTAAAAAATGCTACTAGATTGGTTTATATATCCATTTTGGTCTCTCAACTTTTAAAGAGTAATTACTTTCGTTCTCACTATTATTCTAACGCGTAATGTCCACCGCCCACCCACACATTTGTTGAAGAGTATATATATGCTCACTTAATAACTTGCTTAATTATCAAACTTTTTTTTTAGTAAAAACAATGATAAAGTGAAATTTTGAATCTCCTATCGTCAAAAAAGTCATTTGGTGTCTGCAGAATTATTCATACTCATGTTAGCACATAATACATCTTCAAAGTCATCATATAATTATACATTTTTTACCAAGATTAAAATAGCAGATAAGTTTTAAAGTTTTAAAGTTTTAAGTAAAGCAATAGAATTTAAACTAATCACAAACAGTGTTGTGGAAGTATCACTCTCTCTATTAACGTTATAATTTTTTTTATAGATAATTCTTTAATGCTATTAACACCCAAATTATTCTTAAATTGATATTGCTCAAGCAGAAAGATCATTCTTAAATGATGTAGCACACATGAAATAGAAGTAATATCTACATTTCAGTAGTATTGAAAATTTTATCATTGCAATTTCTTTACTAACTAATTAAGGCTACCTATGTTGGAATAGGTGCTTAATTTATTCACTCTTTTTTTAGAGGGAAGAATTTTGTGGCAGACTTGTTTCTTTTACTGTTTTGTAGAAAATTTGTTAAAAAATTTAATGCCAGGACAGTCAGAATTCAATTAAAAAATGTCACCTCAACATGTCACGGCATTCCTCAACATGCCACGGCATTTTAGACCATTTAAAACTATTTTCAAAGACTAAACTAAAGTATTCATGTACTAAGAAAAGAAAACTAAAGTATTCCTTTCGAAATTTTAAGGACTAAATAGACACTAAACTCAAAATTCAAGGAACCAAAATTGCATTTTCCCGTATATTTTATCTCTCCAATCATCCTTTAACAGTCTAGTTTAAAACCTAAATACTTTCACTTATTAACATTACATATTAATTTACATTTTTTCATGTCGAAATAACAAGTTGATTATCAAATAAAATCATAACACTCTATAATTCACCATAAAGTTTAAAAGAAAAAAAGAATCTCATTCGAACAATATTTATATCATATGTATGTGTTTCTATAATCTATATCCAAAGTAAAAGAAATATTTCTCAAGACAGACCTTAAAATAGCAATTTTGAATCACTTGGGCAGCTATTCATGTCAAACACTAATTACAAAAGTCCAGTTTGCAGGTTCAGTGTTATTTTTCGGTTGCTTCTTCTGGAATAAGACAGGCTACAAGTTGTCTAACAACCAGCAAATAAACCTTGGAAGAGAAGCAGATCAAAGAATCAGCAGCTTTGAGAAACTGAAAGATCTTTGCATCAACAATAACAACATTCTGAAAGCAGCTTGCCTTGTGTTGTGTCATTATACTCGAAAGGACATTGAGCTCTGCCAACAAGTAATTACCTCGTTCAATGGAAAATTCTTGTTTTTAAGCAAATTTGTTTTCAAAATCAATTGGGGTAGGGCAACAAATCCTATTCTGTACAGCAGTGCTGAAGAAAATGTGTCAGATTTCTCTATAAAACTACCTCTCCACCCCATGAGTTTGACTATAACAAGTCTCCTTTTTCAAATTCTTTAATTAACTTTTCAATCTGTCTTCTGTAAGCTGGCATGTAGTGGTCACTTATCATTGTCTGTGACAATCTGAGTTTGCTGTAGAGTGATCTTGGTGTAAGGAAAATACCAATATTGGACTCTGCTGATGGGCTATTGCTGGACGTGGAGCTGCTGTCGCTTTCGCAATCAACGGCATCTGATTGAATATCGACAATGTGCATGATCTTCCCTGCAGGAAAGAATCTGTGTGCTTCCTTCATTTCAGACACAGACCCGTCCGACTCTCCTACTTCTGCCATAGCAGCAGCTTCTTCTTCCCTTATTTCCTTGGCCACATCAGTCTCACTCTCATCATAAAGTTCATGCTCAAGTTGCTGCCATAACTCAACTTCCGTCATTTGTTCATGTTGAATATGGCCCATGAGGGCTTGACCATCATCAGGCTCCTCTGCTATACCATGAGGATTTATCTCCTCCGAATAGGAACATTCAATTTCATTAGTCCACTGAATCCCTGTAGCTGAAGATTCAGGAAGTTCAATGGCTTCAACAGTTTCGTGAGGGGGTGATCTAAGTGGCCCACAGGATTCCGTTTTTCTTGGAGATGACTTTGGAGAATTTCCACCTTCTTCCGCCACTGAGTGAGAAGTCATGGCTCTACGGCGTGGGCCTATGCATGACCAAGATGATAAATGGAGTGAAGGTCGTGTCCATGCTGCCTGAGCCATGGTCTGGCATCTCCTCATCACAACCTGCGGAAGTACAGAACACAATAACATATAAATTTAATTATTATACACAAGACACGGGAATTAACCCGACATAACACCTTCCAAGAATATTTAGGGCCGTTTATTTTCGAGAAATTGAAATACATGTCCACCCCTTCCTCCATGTATTGCTTGACGTAAAACGTGGATTTATTTCTGGACATCTGACATCTTTATATGACTATGAAAGATGAGTTCATCCGTTTGTTTCTAAAAACATTGCATGAGGATGCCTAAGAACATCCTAAGATGCCTGAGCATCTGCGAGTGTTTCGGTATCCATCTCACTGGAATCCAAGATTACTGCAAAACAAATGGCCGCTTATTGGCAATCGCATACCTTGTTTATTTGAAGGCTAAACTAAAATCATGAGGTCCTAAAGCCTAATCATTATCCAAACGGTTTCAAGCCGCATTAGGTTTCAGTCAGCTATGAAGGAGAAGGCGAGAAGAACCAAATCACATCCACTCAAAGTTTCTGTCAAAGTCCAGATTTACTAAAATTATTAATACGTAGCAATCACAAGGGTACAATGCGTATTGCCATTACCTGTGTGCCACTAGAGACTGGTCTCAGAATTGCCCCTGCACCAGCAACTTTTTCTCTAGCACTGGCCATGGATGGGAGACGGGATCCCAATGCAGAAGCAGAACGGTAAACAGTGCTAAGAATTCGAGTGCGCTCAATTTGATTTCTCAGATCATTTACCCAGGCAGAAGCAGTCACCTATAACAGAAATTTCAGCGGCTTCAGCAAACGATTGGAGGGAAGTGCTTAAGTTAACTAAATTTCATGCCTCTTCCCTACATACATAATGTGTTTGTGTGTATATACACACACACGCATGTGTATTACCTACAGGCAACCTATTGTTTTAGTAATATAACCTATGGATGACCCCTTTAAGTGCAGAAGAAATAACGTGCTGGTTGTACACAGACATTTTCCAACTTTATAAATCTTAATAGCCAACCTTTTTCATATATCCATAAGAATTCTCAGCAAACCAACTCTACTAGGCAAAAATGTTCAAAAGGAATACGTGCAATTTTTGGGGGAGAACAAGAAATGATAAAATGAACCATAAATATTCACTACTAAATTCTAACTCAAATTTTCTTTCCCCAAAAGATAAAATATAATTTGAAAATCTTCAGAGAAAAAGACACTTAATTCATGGAGTAGTCACCTCTTAGATAAACTTAAAGCAAATAAATTTGTTTAATAATTAAATGGATTTGTAACATACCTCAGCGCGCAAGTCATCTACTGAAGCAGCTGAGAAGGTCGGCACCAAATCAGCTCCATTAATAACAGAAGTGATAAATTCATTGCCTGATTCTGCTAGTTCCCATGTCATACAAGCAGCTGCAGAGGTTACAAATATTCAGTAACGTGATACTTGATAGCTTCATAGAAAGAAATAAGAACATCATGTCCAAGCACAATGCCCATAGTCAAAAACAACCCAGAGATACCAGCAAAAATAATACAAACCTGGGGCAAATGTAACACAAGAAGTGATAGATAATTCCTTCTGCTCTCTTAAAATATAAGTTAGAAGTGCAGCTGTTCCTCCACCCAAAGAGTGCCCCACAACCTATTAGAATCCAACACAAGATTATTCCATCAAGCTTCCCTTATATTTTTATTGGTTGCAAAGCATCACGGTAAACTAACAAGAAATGTAAAACCTTAATATTATAACCAGAATATTGACCAAGTGCTTTCAAAAGACAAGGAGTAGATAGCTTTGCAATCCAACGAGCAGCTGCAACCATTCCACAATGTGCATATCCTAGAACTAAATTGCTAACCCCTCCCTCATGCACAACACTATGATGGAATGGCACCACAGCTCCAGTGGCAGCTGTAAGAGTGTCTTTGATACTGTGTGTTCCACGAATCAACAGAAGAATACATTTTGTTGTATGGTCTACTATAATGGTAAAAGCAGGCTTCAAAATCTGCAATCATGGATAGATGTGATAATGTTAAAGATAAATTAAACACAAAAGTGAGGGCGAGTATTAGAATATCTATTTCAATAGAGAGTGATTTATCCAAAGTTCATCATGACTTACTCCTGCTTTTGGTTCCTGAAGGAGAACATTTTCCTTAGAAAAACCAGTCTCTTCTAGAAACAGCGGAAATGGCTTTTTTGAGAAGTGCCAGCACAAAGTCAACAAATGCAAGAGGTACTTCAGCTCAGAAATTATTTCAGTTCCCTCAAGCTGAATACTGCCTTCATTGCCAAATACACTGCCTACATGTAAGTTTCCCTGCACATTGATGAAATACCATCAAAGACCAAACCAGCAACATTTGCCATTGATTTGAATAGTTCAGATGAAGCATTATCTTCTTATATTGAGGATTTTTTATATAAAGTAAACAAGAACTCATTGATGTCTGAAAAGTGGCAATAAAGAAAAAGGATATATCTTCCTTTAGAAGTATTACAACAGAGTACCCCAACAAAAAGAAATCTTCTTCAAGGAAATTACAACAGCATCCCCTTTAAAACTACTTCCACTCTAAAATATGCACATTGTACCCTAAAAATAACATCCCCACCCTCCCAATTCTACAAACCACATCCGATCAACAACTTCATATGGAATTGATCAAGCTAATAGCTATTATCTTCCTCCTTAATTCAAATTTCTCTAATCACCACTAAAGCAAGACTCTAAACTGATTGATCCTTTTGATAAATACAAGATTAAAAAAAAACTGAATTTTCTCCAGTAATCCACCATACCCACCATAAGAAACGAGAAAATTTTGAAGAATAACTCCTGGTTTGTTTTGAGAAGGTGAAACTCCAATATTTCCAATGTCATTTTTCTCCAAACTCAACAAGAAAGCATCCCAACCACCATAACATAAGCATTTCCGAGGAAAATTTGATAAAGCATCCTACCTTTTCCCTTAAAACCAAAAACTCCAAGACCCTTGGTATACCAAGATAATATAATCAACTCACCTTTTTTCTTCTTCCAGAAAGTCATACAAATAGACCACAAATAGATAATATAATAAAAATATACATGTTTATAGACCACAAAATAGAAGAATTTAGGCCTTCCTTTACCTCTAAGTAGATATATTAAAGATAACAATAAAATTCAACTAGAGGATAATTGCTCATCATATAAGATTTTGCGTATTTAGAGGAATGAAACCAAATTAAGTGAAGACCAGTAGACCACTATTATCGTGTACACCAAAAGTGATAGAAAACAAAACTCACACTTCAAAGCAGATACACCTTTAAGGAACCAGATTAAATATCAGTACCATCATTTTTGAAGGAAGACATAGTGAAGGAAAAAAACCAACCAGCCTGTTACATTACAATTTACATATAATAGGCTACATTTAATACCTTAAAAAACTACAACCATCCAAAAGCTCCATACCTGTCTCTTTAAGAGAAAGTTAATTCCAAATGCCAAATCCCCAATGGGCCACTTTCCAAGAGTCTCCGAGTACGTAAACCTAAGGGTCTCTGATAATGTTGAAATTGTCTCAAGCCATGTAGCAGGCGCTTGAATCAGTCTATGGGAAACTCGATCACCTCCCAGAAGAGCATGACTGGAAGTGTCATTACTATTGACATCTCCATCCCCTTGATCTCTGCTTGACTGCAATTTACGGTTCAATGTATAATATAGAAGTGCAGCAGCACCAGCAGCCGTGGCCATAGTTGCAGTTGCCATGAACTTATAATCCCTAAAGCATGAGTAGTAGAAAACAAGGTAAAACAATACGTTTACAGAAGTAAAAGCCCCTGAATTTCACAAATTTCCCAATCCCCAGACCCATGCAATAGGATCAGTTAATGATACAGAAGTTCAACTGCACGGACAAACAAAAGACAAAACTAGAGCTTTCAACTTCAACTCTGCTGATGAACAACAAAACCACAAAATTTCCCTAAAACGTGTCTATTATAAGCCGGTAGCCCACATTCGCATTCAGCAGGAGTAAAATTCATAGGGTCCGAAAGAAATAGATAGCCAAGAACGTGCTTTCTTCTCTTTCACATATTTTCGACGCAACCCAAGAGTTTACGGTTTAAACGACCAACATAGTGCCAATACCGAAACTAAATTGGAGCTGAACTTCCAAAATAAAATAGAAACCCAGAAGACATCTGAAAGTCTAGCATAAAAAGGCATATTTCAGCGAAGTTCAATTACACACCTGTCTCAGTGCAAAACAGAAAAACCCCACAAAAAAAAAAAAGAGGGAAATCGCGAATTTTTTAATCATATACCGAAAAAGCAAGATCATTCAAATGCGTACCGGAAAAACTACGATTCAGCACCGGAGTTTGATATCTTGGATTGTGCCACGAGGCTAAGAAAATTCTTGACCCCAAGCGTAACAGCTTGCTTCTCAATGGCTTCAGAGGAGGGGGCAAAAACTTACGAACGATTTCCAAGTTTATGCAATAGAATTGAGGTTTTTGGGGTTTCGATCGCTGCTTTCTCCGGAGCAGTTTAATTGATTCGCGACGAAGCAAAATAGGAAGTTTCTTAGTTTCGTTACTATATTTCTCAATTACACGCGGCAATATTTTCCTCTTTTTCCAAAATAACACGCGGCAATTTGTAATGAACCAAACCGACGTTGGAGGACAACGTTTCTAGTAAATACAATACACCAGGAATTTTATTTTAGTTAAGAATTAATACAAATTGAACAAAAATTAAAACTGCCTCAAAAAAAAAAACCAATAATGATACATGCAATAATAAGATTTTTTTTTTTTTTTGAGTTCAATATGTAATCAATTATTAATACTTTATTATCGTAAATATGATTTTTTTTAAATATAATTGTAATTACTACAAAATTATCTTCATCTATATGTTTTTATTTTTTATCCTTTTAAAAAAATGATTTGTCCAGATCGTCAAAAATTCATTTTTCTAATGGATGATTAAAGGAAATAAATACTCTAGTTTTGCCGATACTTCTGAAAAGCTGCACACAAAAAAGAAAATTACAAAAATGTAATTACCAAGTTTCCCAAGAGTCTCGTGGTATGGTATGGACTATAGAATAAACAATATCAGTAATATTTCAACAATTTTATCTACAAAATTCAAAAACGTATTGGTAGCAGAAGAAATACGTATTTTCAATATTGGTAACACGAATATTGAAATAAACAAAAGTCTGGATATTATAAAATGTTGGATTAGCAACACAGCATAGAAATAAAGAAAAAAAAGGGTCCAAACTCAAAACTAAACAGCATAATGACCTTAGAAACGTCTACAGCTACACAATGGAACCAATTTAAGGATGATGGAAACGAGTGAACCTGAACATAACTCAACTGGTTAAGACATTTACTTTAGTCGTGGGTTCAAATCCATACCCCACGTGTTTAAAAAAAAATGGAGAAACGGGGAGGAACAAACAAGGCAGCATTTCTTCCAGATTTTGTGGCAGTGGCTTTTATGCTCAAAACAAACACACTAATCTCAAGACTCAAACACACTAATCTGATACAAAGAGCCCGTTAAAGAGCATTTCGGCTCCATTCAATTCAGTCACGTTCACTTATCGCAGTCAAATGCTCGTCGATCTCCTCGGTTGTCAACACTCTGAACACAGGATTGTCTTGCCTCATCACTCCAACCTGTTCATGTAAAATTATTCAACAATAATATTACTGTAACGTTTGTACAATAATTGAGTTAACGATTATTGAGAAGTATTTGGAATGCCAAGTACTCAATCTCATGTCCTTTACATGATCTTACAAAGTAGAGTAATAATTGGAATTTGGAGCTATTAGGAGTAGTAATGAGTGCAACCCTTCAAATGATCCTAAGACTTAAATGTAGATATCAACAAATAAATAACAAAGATCATACAACAAGCTTGTTAAAATTGCTTGAATTAGATTTAAAACGCTAAAAGCTCCTTAACTGAGTTATAAATCATTATTATTTGTATCTGTGTTCATATGGTCAACATTTCTAACCTTCTTTTTTTCTTCTTCACATTTCCAAACATCTTTTTGGCATTTCCACAACATTAAAGGAAAAGGAATACTTCTCCCCAATACAATACCAAACGCTTCATCGACACAACGATAGCAATTTTACTCTATGGTTTAGATCTCCCGTCACATTAGAACTCTAGTATGATTAAAATAGATAAGTGAGACTATCAGAACCTCAATCTCATTTGCCTTGAAGTCCTCCTGCAGAACCGATTGGAGGGCTGAAATTGCAGTCTGCAAATGGAAATATCACAGTATTTAGAGGAGGCATATACATAAAAGTAAAGAAATAAGCATCCATACGTTTGCAAGGAGCCTAACTCGTTATAATTTTTAGGCTTTGCTGTGCATCATGTAAAGCTTTAAAGAAAGCACATTGACCTGTACAGTCTCTTCATAGGTGAACTCTGGATCGTTCTTCATTTTCTTTTCTAAGAAATTGATTGATTCCTGCTCCTTTAATCCCACACTCGTAGCCTAAACACATCATTTAAAAAAAAAAAAAAAAAAGGTTTCAAGCATTAAGTGATGAAATACCAAATTTAAGAAAACCAGTGGAAAATTGTCAATAAGGAATAAAAAAATTACTTAGAAAAAATGCACCATACACATGAATATCTTTGTGAGCAAATACCAGCGAAGATAAACCCATAATGTTCTATGCTATTATAGTATTATATATATAAATAGCAAAGTAAGTTCCACTATAACTAAGTCTTATGCCAAATGCACACAGCAGCGACCTGCTAAAGAAATCCACAGGAATAACAAGCTTCAGCATCTATCGCACTTGAAATGGAGCAAGAGCGTGCACCAATATATTGACATCAGTTTGATGCTTATATTATGTTTTGAAGCTCGAACGAACCTAAAGGTAGTTGGAGTAGAATAAGCTAAATCTCAAAATGATAGATAATTCATACAAATTTTACAACTCGACAATATTAACTCGGCAAGAAAATTAGATATTGAAGAGATATGTGCAGACACTATTCCAAGGTGGCAGCTGGTAATGGTACAGAAAATTGTAAATGTTTCATATGTTGGGCCTCCTAAAATATTGACCATCAAAAATGAGATGGACTAACTATACGAACCTTGTGACCAAAAAAATGACCAGCTGGATCACATTTGTAGAGTCGGGGTCCATACTCATCATCAATGCCTAAAACCATGGCAACTGGATAGAGACAGACGACAAAGTGCAAAAGATTAAAAACATGGTGAGAAAACTTTTCTTGTCCATAAATTCAAAGGTTGAAATATAAAATATAAAGCAATGCCAAGACCCGAGGAAAACATACCTACCCCAAGGGGTCTCATATAAGCATGCTGAGTATAGATTTGAGATTTGTCAGCTATCCTGCCAACCAACAACCCAGCATGAGAAGGTTTTGAAAATTATACACTGACACCAAAGTTCTAAGTATCATGGTAACAGAACTACTAGTAATTGTAGTTACTACATAATGTAGATCAATATGCAGGTGGATGAAATCTGAAAGCAACAGCATGATGAAAATTCTAACTCAAAAACTTTCCTACGAAACATACAACAAGTTGCTATCCATTTTGCAAATCATAAATTAACAATATCCAGAAATACATTATGGATTTTTTTTTCTTTTTTGATATCCGTGTGCCGGGCCAGCTTGCGCGCACCTCAACTATTCACGGGCCAACCGCCTGACCCTACTACATTTGGTTGACAAGGAAACTCGTAGGATATTAAATCCTAGGTAGGTAGCCACCGTGGTTTGAACTCATTCCCTCTAAGTCCTTTGCTATTTACATTGGCCCTCATTGACCACTTGAGCCATCCCATGATGGTTAAATACATTATGGATTATGGAAAGATAAACTAAGGTCAGTAAGCAACATATGGAGCTATTCTCTGCTCTACAATCCAGAATTCAAATAAATTGATTGAATAGATTGTATGTCTGTGACGTATATAACTAAACGACAATGGCTTAGTATAGTATGAAATAAATATGGTACCATTTAGCTAATACATCCACAGGCATCTCATATCCATATCTAAAACGAAACTCAGCTGCTTCGTTCCTTGCTTGCTGAACCAAGGTTCTGGCATCAGCTGAAAAGAGTACAGTATAAAAATTGTATCAGTGACTACTCATCCCAAGAAGCCATTGGAAAAGTTGCCCATGAGATAAGCACTAAAATCTAAGCTCAACTAATAAATTGACTGAAAATCAAATTAAAAGCCGAGTGTAAATGTACAATGTGCATCATATAGTTTAAAGCCATATTTATAGGTCCAATATACCATATCATTTTGATACATTTATTATTTTGGATGGAAGAGTAGCTGGTTCCAGTAAATTTTTCAAACAATAACTAAGCAATATCTAGGCAGGAGTAGTGCAACATTATGTCCAGAGATCACGTCAATACATCACAATACCATGCCACGTTATAATTCGTCAATAGCTAGATTTAGATGCAATCCTACATAGTATATGTTGCATGTCAAGAATTAATGATTAACTATAACTACTTTATGTTGCATATTTGGCATAATGAACAAAAAAGCATCTGGCTGACGACCATCCCCTACCATAACAAAGTTGTAAGTAAATCTGAAAAAGACACGAGAAATACCTGTCATGCCTGTTGCTAACAACCCTAGGTACTTTGTTATGGGGAAAAGATGTGAGACACTTGTTTGATCCAAAAGCTTATCCTGCATTGAATTTCAGAATTTACACATTCAACATCATCCATAGATTATATTATTAATAAAGATGAAAAGTCCTCTCGGAGTCGAACCAATTGTACTTACCGGAACCTTCTTTTGGGTCACAACACAAACTGAATCTTTACCCCGAACACCAATAGAAGTAATTCCAGCAGCCTTGACAGCCTTAAATGCATATTCTGTTTTCCATTTAAAAAAAAAAAAAAAAAAACTAAATCACCTAAAGTTATAAGAACATACTATGATCCTCAAGCTAAACTGATAGGTTAATTTTACTGACTGAAAGTCCACTAGAGATAGACTAGATAACATATATTGAGAATATATTAAATGATGAAATTTACGTAAACTTAATAGTATAAGCTTTAACGAAAAAAGGGTGATTTACCATGGTATTATAGTAAAATTTCCAAGTTTCCATGGATTAAAGTTCGTGCAATAAACCCATTTACGAGCCTAAAATGAGTGAGTATTGAAAATATAATAAATAATTGAATCTATCCCAAGTGAATAGCTTAAACGTTTTGTGTAGTGGCAATTAGCAACATCCAAATCACCCAAACCTAGATTACCCGTGCATAAAGAACAAAAAAGAAATAGGAATTGGAGTTTTATAAACAATTTTAAGAGCAAGAAGGATTAAGACGCTCCACGTAAAGCTCAAAGAAACAGATAAACTATTCTGTAGTTGGAGTTTGAGCCTCTTAAACAAAATGAGATTCGAATTCGTATTTTTCACTGGAATCAAGGGCTACTATTCAATCCAAAGACTCTGGCCACAATCACTCTAAATAACCATGAACACCACAACAAAGAATCAAAATATACATACCAACTTGAAATAGACGGCCTTCTGGCGAGAAAATAGTGATGTGGCGATCGTATCCACCTCCACTTCCACGACTCATGGCTTAGGGCTCAACCTCTTCCGCTTCTTCGGTCGCAGTTTTTCAGTGAATTATCAATTATGCGAAGGAGAAGAAGACTGATAAGAAGGAGGAGCGATGTAAAGAAAGCTTTCTCCCCAAGAATACTCTTATCAGCAGCAGCAGTTTAATTTTTCTTTCATTTAAATAAAAATTTGAAAGGGCTTTATACAGTTTAAAATCTTTTTCGATAACAGTTTCTGTAATTACCAATGTTTTCCCAAAAATAAACAGTAAATTAAACAGGTCTCATTAAGATTAAAATGAGAACTTATATTCAATTAAAAAAAAATTAGGCCAAGGAAATTTATAATAGGTACCTTTTCAACATTTGGGCTGATTTTTATTTTGGGACTTTATTTTTAATATTGCTAATTTTTAAACTTGTTTTAAAAATAACACTAATTCAAAATTTATTCAAAAAATAATACTTTAAAAATTCTTCTACTGCTAGGTCATCTGCCTCTCAGAGAGAGGCCCAAGTCTGCTAAAGACAACTTCTTGAAAAAACGACATGCAGTTCCATTATTACAAAAAAGAAAAAAAAAATAGTATGTCGTCTATTCAAGAGACGACATATATCAAATGTGAGCAATAATGTTAATTCGGTGAAGTTTCTTTCTAACCACTTTTGTAACCTAGAGATCTTAGGTATAAATCTTAACAGTAACACTCATGTTTTTTTTTAGCAAATTAAATGTTATATTGCAGTTTCCTTTTAAATAAATTTCACTTATTAAAATTTGGTTAAAAAAACACATTTAGTCTGTAATTTCATTAAAGTAATGATTTAGTCATTAAACTTTCAAAAAGTAACGATTTAGTTCATGTATTTTAACATTAGTTACAATTTGGTCCCTATCGTTAAAAATGGGATGGTTGGACTTGGGACCATACATAAATTTGTGCCAATCTTCTTTCTTCCAACTTGATTTTGAAATTGTGGGAAGATTCAACTGTTAAATCTCTTCGATTATGTCGATGGAGCTCGGAACTTGGTGCAGCTTGCACAATATCTACAAGATGAAGGAAAGATTAAATCTGGAGACTGCAGCTTAACCATGAGATGGCGTCGAGAATGGGTTGAGAGAGGGATTCATACAGCTGGCAATTTAATTTGTACACATCTATACGACACGACAGTTCTCTGTTAAATCTAACTTATTATTTAACGATAGAGACCAAATTGTAATCAATGTTCAAGTACATAGATTAAATCATTACGTTTGAAAGTTCAATAACTAAATCGTTATTTAACGAAAGTTCACAGACCAAATGTGTTTTTTAAACTTAAAATTTTTATTCTCCCCTAAAAAGAAAATAATTACCATTCAAAATTGTAATAACTTTTTATATTTATTAAAAATATATAATTTTTTAATCTTACGAGGGAAGATTGGAGAGAGATATTAATAACTAATATATATATATATATATATATATATATATATTATAATAACTATTTCTTATTGAAAAAATTATAGTTTTTTAAGAGTAATTATCTTATGTTAGGAGAGAGTATAAATTTGAATAAGTAAATTTTTTAAAAATAACAATATAACATTCAAAATGTCAAAAAAAAAATTATGAGATAATTGAAATTTGAACCTAAAAACTCCCTGGTCAACGTAGTGATAAAGAATGTCACTCCACCAAATAAATATTATTATCTATGATATGATAGGTATATATTGTCTCTTAAGAGATGACCTACCCTTTTTTGTATTTTAAAAAAATAACGTCAAGACAACATGCAATATCACGTATATAGGTTGTCTCTTAGAGACGATCTAGTGACGGAAAAACTTCTATAAAACTTTTTTTTCTAATAAGTTTCGAATTAATATTATTCTAAAATAAATTTAAACAGGACTATGAAAAAAATCTCAATTTTGGCTAAACAACTAAACCTAACAGTTTTTTTTTTCATAAAAAAATAAATAAAATAAAATAAAAACCTCCACCATCAAACTAGTCAAAACAATAATTTTCAATTTTATAGTGAACCAATGCATTTTGCCCAAAAGATCCAAACCAACTTGATTTGGTTGGTTCATAAATAGAATTTATTTTTTATTTTATTTTGGCTACGCTTACACATTGATCGATAAGCAAAGCCTTCTATTTGAGGGGTTGTCACCCATTTCCAAAGTGGGGTTGGGAGATATGGCGAAGCTAGTTTTGGTGTTAATGCAGTAAAATAAAAGGATCAACAACACCCGCAAAACATGTAGAATAACACTTTAAAAATTATCAAAGTTGAGAATCTTAATGTGTCCAGGAGATTCGGACATCTGAACCTCGTAATTGACCCAATGTCGAATCCATGGTCGAGACCAGGTAACCTCGAATCGGTTTGCGCGGAGGTCGAGAGAAAACCATCGGGGTTCTCGATTGGGGGCCGAGAACTCCTCGGCGTCGAGAAGGTCAGCATTGAAGCCTGGTTGGCTATGGTCGACCCGAATCGCCGAGTTTCAACTTTCTTATCTAGTGAGCCCACTCCTCCTCCCGCCCAACTCTGCTCATCCAATCTGGTCTATAACACCATGAGTGGTTTTACGCTTAAGAAATACAATTATATAATTATTCCAAGTATGAATTAAACCCATGTGAATGTCTTCTTAATTTTCTCCACATCTGTTTGTATTTCCCCAAAAAAAAGAGGTCAAAATGGCTCCAACTCCAAAACTTCCTCCACTCTACGTATCCCAAATGTAACCATTAGTTAATAAAAAGAAATTAGAAGCAAAATGGCATGGATTGAACTTCTCTATTATCTCTAGATCCAAAAATGGAAAAGACAGTTTATAATAAAGGGCCGACACAAGCTTTGAGTGGAAGCAAATGCAAAATTGTATCATCATCTCGTAGTTGTAAAAAGCCTAATTTCCACATTCATCATCTCTCATTTGTCCCTTAATTCCTGCATTAATCTTTAAATTAATTACTCTTAGTCTTTATAATAACCCCCAACACCCAACTTCTCCCACTCCCCATAGCTTTGAAGGAGAGCCCTCCAACCAAAATGAAGGTGAGTTTTCATGTTTGTTTGTTTGTTTTTTTTAATTTTTCTTTTGTTGAGTGAGTAACCCTTTTGCTAATTTTGATTAATTATTTCAGTTGTTTAGTTGGATGCAAAGTAAACTCCAAGGAAAAGTAAAATTTCACAACAAAGAATCACATTACTCATCATTTCCTTCAAGTGCGTAATTGCATGCACTCTTTTTTTTTTTCCTTTTTCTTTTTAATCTCTCAATTCAAAACCGTAGCTGGCTACTAATTTCGTTTAATTTTCTTAAATTTTAGTTCAATCAGATGATTTTGTTGATGAAGAAGAAGGTGAAAGCATTCCCTCTTTGCCGATTGGGCTGCTGGCAATTGGAACTTTTGGCAACGACAATGGCAAAAGTAACAGTAATAATGAGGATCCAATTGATGATGAAACAGTACTAGAATTTGAAGCAGAGAATGGTGAGGGTGACAACAAAAGTCATCGCAACTCTATTGTGAAGAAATCTATTCCATTTCTCGTCAAGAAGTTGTTTGTGTGTGGGAGTGGAAGCAGTGGTTTTGCAGTTACACTGCCCCTGCCCCGGCTCCTGCCCACGCCCCAAGACGCCAGGATGAACAAGGTACATGCAATACACACACACATATATATATAATATGGTAAAATACGTTTTAGTCCCTGAGTTTGATACGCTCGATCCCTAACGTCAGAGGAACTAGCCCGCTTCCCATTACTCGACRAAGGCTATTGTCCGGTCCTCTTTCATGTGGAATCGTTTTAGTTAGATCGTACCCAAGCCCGCCTCCACTTTCTTATGTGAAAGAGGTCTTGCTTCATGAGACTGAACCTTCTTTATTCAATCGGAGTACAGCTTTCTATTTAATCCTAAGTTTCAAAAGGTAACAGTACGATCCCAATCTTTAGAAAATAGTTTTAAAAAATTCCTTGAATTCAGCATTAACATAATATTGACGTAGCATTGATGGGTGACAAGTTTTAGATGTTATAAGAATATTTATTAATTTTATATCATTTATAATTTCTTTTCCTTCTTAATTCCCTCCTCTCCTTCATCAATTTTCGAAATTTAGACACCCAATAGAAACATATCCTAAAAAGACTAAAATGTATTTTACCTTATATTAGAATTCATAAAATTGATTTGCTAATGATATATCTTATCCATCCGATCTCCACAGATTTTGAAGATGATGCTTCACAAGAAAATCTACCCTAAGAATTCTTCTAACACAGCTCCCTTGAAGAGATTTATAAAGGAGAAAGAGATGAGTGATAAGAGAAATGAAGATAATAAAGAATATAATAATTAGAGATAATGTCTACCACCGAGCCTCTCCTCTAGTAGTCACTCATCCGTCTACTCTCGAAGACCAGAAACGAGAGCTTGTTCTTATCAAAGGCTCAAGGATGCAACACAACCTTGATACAGCACACCCACGGATTACACCATGACTACACATTTTCGAGACTCACTGCTTCTTTATTCGACACCCGAAGATTCACCGACACAGCTAGGTTTAGACCATGGCTCTGATATGCTATTTTAGAAACTTATTTACACAAATGTCTAAAGTTTTCTAATTTTACACTTTTAGATTTCTGCATGTAGAATTTTATTTTAATTCCGATTTTGCCTTGCATTTACATTTATTATAGTTATTTGTTTTTTTGAAATATAAAAGATTGAATTCCATAAATTATTATATCCTTTAATTATTGTGGGCCTCGTACTAATTTTCAACACAAATCTCTTAATTCACTCCCTCAAAATCTTAATTTACTCCTTCAAAAATATTGATTTTCTCTTAATTCACTTGCTCAATCTTTAAGGACAATTCAAAATCACACAAACATCTTTTAAGTTTCAATAAACATATATCCACATATTCAAAAAATATATTTAAAATCACAATATATATCCACTTATATATCCGCATATATACATTCAAAATCACTATAATATATATCTGCATATATACAAGTTAAGTTATAAGATATATATCCTAATCAAACTCACTATAATATATATCCTCATAGACACATAATAATTCACATGAAATCGAAAATCGAAAACAACGGTTGGAATGCAAACCTGTCGATCGGTATAAAA